AGAAGCTCGACAAAAAAGTGCAAATCACTTCATTAATGCATTGCGACTCCTCCCGACGGCTGCAGGCATCATCACAACACTCTTGCGCAAGTCTTTGGTCTGGAACGCAGGCTGCACATCATTTGGCTTAATGGATCCGCTGCAACAACAACAACAACAGCAACAGAAATGACAACAAATATCTTTGACCCGCAAAAAGATCGTAAGGCTTACAGTGTTGGGAATCCTACAAAAAAAAAAAACAGGAAAGCAGAGCGAACTTAGTCACAACGAAGATTATACACCCTTGCAGAGGTCAATGAACATATGTCTACAGATATTTGTCCATATATTAGAAAGATAATGGCAAGTATAAATAGTGAATTTGGTTTGGATATCTTGGTAAACTTTCTAACTTTGTATATAAACAGACCTGCAGACAAACACATATAGCTATATCCACTCGGCTAATGATGCTGCTCAGGTATTCATATAATAAACTCCATCGATTCGGAGATATATTTTTCAATGCGTTGCAAACTGCATGACCAAGTTGTAGTTCTCTCGGCAAGTGCATAAAGTTGACGTTCGAATAAAAATGTGGTCGGCATCGGCCTCGTTCGCTGATGTGTTTGCTCAGATATGCAACATTGTTGCATGAGAATGGTGCAAGCGAGGAGCAACAGTTGCAGCTCATTGCCGTTGTCACTTATCTGAGCATTTTCTTTTTTATGTGGGCGCATTTGAGTGTTTTTAATTGAGTGCTGAACCTTGTTTGATTTGAAATCTGAATCGCTTTGAATCCCTCAATCGATGGACCTTCAGAATCATTGATTCGTTAAAGATTATTGTGCCATTTCTGTAACATTAATTACTGCGCATACTTTAACAGTTAAAACGATTTGGCGCATTGTCATAGAAAGCAAAACGAAAGCAACAAAAAAAAAAATCAACAACAACAAAAATACAATAAAAAATAAAAATAAAAAGACCCAGAAAAACAATTCAAGCCAAAAGCAACGGCAATAGAAAATGGTGTTAAGTATTTACACGCGCGTTGGCCATAAATGTCAGCCGAGACTTTTGGAGGTAACTGTTTTGACTTTGCTCTACCATTCGAAACTATATAGACAATGCCTGAGCTGAGATCTGTCATTCAAAATGTACTTTGCTATTGGTGAATATGTGATTTAAGAGTTGATTGATCAATTCCATAATTAAAAACTAAAGAATTTGTTAATTCATATAGATTTAGTAATGCTTTTAGCTTAAAATTCATACTGACTTCCACTTGATCAGTTTTAGTCTAAAAAATTGCATCCGTTAGGGCATTCCGTAGATCATATTCCCTTGCAGCTTCAAAAGCAATAGTGAAACGCAACTGGTGGGTGAGCTAAATGAGAGTTTCAAAGTCTGCAGTGCGTAAATTGGACAAACGAAACATTTAAGCCAGGCACGAAATGAATCTCAAGAGTCGAACACACAAATAACAACAGCGGCAGCAGCGAGCAATGAGAAGTAGGCAAACAGCAACCACAACAAAATAATAAGCAACAAAAATGTGTAAAGCAAACCAAAGTCATATATAATCTTCATGATTATTACGGTAAGGTGTCATTGAAGGTGAGAAATGGGAGCACACGTGTGTGCCTCTTAAACAACCAACAACCAACAACCAACAAACACAAACACAAACCTAAGCCCAAAACTCAAAAACAAACCCGAACCACAAGCCAAAAAAAATAACTGAAGATCGACAAGTGTAAAAGTGAAAAGTCTTTTGAATACCCAGTATTCGTCAAACATATTTCAAGGGGTATATGCGTAGTCAAATCATCAGTAAAATAAAGTTCTTAGTTTCAGCAAAGACTTTAGATTGAGAAAATTTGAGTTATATAGAAATTTTATATATTCATCAATTCGAGTTCTATAAAATATTTAAATTGAATTTTTTGTAAGACAGTTTTTTACAAGAATAAAAAGCAATTGATTATTTTTGATTACTTTTACACGGTATCCGCAGTTTGAATACCAGCTTGGCAAAAGCTGGATGGTTGGGTAAACACCTGATTCCTGAAGCTATTATAGTCTATTTTTGTTGTTAGTTCGTTTTTTGCGCTATGTTAAGCTGACAACGCCGGTTTCAATCAGTTTCATAGGCAAACCACCAAAAAGCAAACATTGGATCGGAGCTGTGATTTCATGAATGAATTCATGATTGCTCCACGCGGACCCCCTTGTTGTCCATCCAGTGGGCACTGTGCTGTGGCTCATTGTTTTTTTTTTTTTTGGTTTTGACTTATTATCAAACACGTACAATTCACACACACACACACACACACACACTTACACACACGCACACAGATACTAACTCACAGTTTGAGTGGTTTGGTGTTTAATTTTGAGTCCACGTTTTGTATTCGTTGTTGTCTTAATTCATAAATTATAAAAGTTATATGGTGAATTCTGGTCAATTGCTCGTTGTGCGTTTGAGGGAACATAAATTATTTGAGTTGTAAATTTTTCGAAATGTTTAATTATAAGTTATTTATGGCATTTGATTTGAAATGCGTGCCGCGCATTTCAATCACCAGCTGGAGAATTTCATTTGTCGGTGCTAAACAAGTCATTAAAGCGTAGATGTGACCGGAAATGAGACAACTTACTGACTATTTAACCATCAACACAGCAACGGCTGTTCGGGCTTCCCACGATCTGAAATCGAGCGGAACTAAAACTATTACATGAGTACAGTAAAATGACATAAATGAGTTTCTTTAACCCATAAAAGTTGGTACGTTCGAATACCAAATCTTGGTCTTGCTCTTGCTCTTGCTCTTGCTCTCATGATCATTTACGAATGATGATAACAGAATTGCTCAACTCGGACTCAAAGTGCAAACAGTTAACATTCAAAGCTAAAATGCAAATGTGACTTAATTTAATTTCATTTAACTAAAGTCTTCATCGCTTTAATTGCAAATTGTCTTTGGCTGCTTTCAGTTGTATTCCCCAAATAGTTTTGGCTGCAACTCAAAAAAAAAAAAAAAACAGAAACAGAAAGCACGAAAGGAAGTAACGAAAAACTGAAAATTTCCAATCAATGCAGGGAAAACTTCTCGCAAGGCGGTCGAGCTGGTGGGTGGTGGAGATAGCTAGCTATTTAATGGCTTGTCTAATATCCTCTAACTGCCAGGCAAGCCATTAAAAAGCATAAAGTCATTTAGTAATTAATTTTCATGTCCTGACGACTGCCATTCGACTGGTAGGGAGGGATTGGGGAGTAGGAAGTCGGAATACACCCAAACTAAACGGGGCGCGGTCTTTGCAGCAATATAGGCAGCCGATGGCAATATTAGACCAACACCAACACAAGGATATGCATCTACTATGAGTTTGCTTTGCATTTGTGAGCAGCCTTCAACCACACACACACACACACACGCATGCATATACATATATGTTGAGATGTGTGTGCCTTTTGAAAAACGCGCCAAACATGTCCTACCTCGCATTAATTTCCAGTGCGCACGTCACGAAAATGCCGCTGTCGTTATTCAGGATGCAGGCGCACTGGATGCCGCCTTTTTCCAGCTTCCAATACTACGAATTTTTACTACGTTTTATCGATCCAAGTTGTATATATATATATTTATATATGTGTGTAGTTTTATGGATACATAGCGCAGCTGGCTGCTGTATGCCCAGCCAAAAGAGCAGGCGCCACAAGCCCGAAGTGCCAAGTCCGTCGTCCTGCGAGCCGAACAGATGAAACGCTTCTCGTGGCGCGTTTCAAATTATCAGTGGGTGGTGCATGGTTGGCTGGGTGGTCTAGCTGGCGAGGCCGAGGGCGAGGCCACATCAAAAGAGCACCAACGCAAAGGCTGAGTCTCTCGTTTCACTTTCCACTTGATTCCTTGCGCTTGACAGCCAAACAGTGGGCGACAACAGTGGGCGGCAAAAGGATGTGAGTTGATGCTGCTGGTGTTGCTGCTGCTGCCGTTACATTCTGCTGCTGCTGTTGCTGCTGCTGATGCTGCTGCTGTGGCTGCAACTAAATGCAGGGCTGCCTGCATGTGGCAGGGTGTTTCTCGCCTGTTCCTGGCATTCCCTTGCGACAGGCAATCGCTCTCTCTCTCTCTCTCTCTCTTTCTCTCTCCTTCTCTCTCTCTCACACACTCAGTCTCCGCCTCTGACTCTCGCCTCGCTCTTGGCCCGGCCATTGACCTCTGATGTCAAACAAAATCGGCGTGCACTTATTATATATACCAAGCTGTTAGCAGGAGAGTTGGGGTACAGCTAAAACTCTCGGCCACGGTCCACTGCTGTAGCGCCTCCCCAACTGTACCTCCACTCCAGTAACTTTAGTGGCAACTTCAACTCGCTGGTTGAAAAACGATGCTGGGCGCATCTAGTTAAAATAAGGGGTGATCTGAGAGTGGTGTGGGGGCAGTAGCGGAACAGGGAGTTGTGGACTGGCAAGCTAGTTGCTTTTGGGGGCCAGCGGCAGTTTGCTTTTGTTGTGTAAATTACGTTATGTATTGTGTATACTTTTTGGGTTTTGTGCTAAACCCGCTGAACGAATGAGCCTTGGCTACAAATTTTGTATTTGCATTTGTGTGTTTGCATTTCTATTCGAATGGCAGGAGTAAATGGGGGGTGGGGTGGCGGTGTGTTGGTCCAAAACGCTTTAAGCTTGGTTAATTCATCTGCAGTGATTCTGTTATCCTGTTGAAATCTGTTGAATGTGAACTCTCTAAAGAATTAAACTCATGTTTTCGGATTTTCGGGCTTGTTACATTTTAAATTGATTTAAGATGCGCAAGGATGCACAATATGATTTCTACATCGCTCTCTTTCTCACACTTATAAACTTTTTAGTTTGTGAAATTAATAAAGTGAATTTAATTTCACAGTATTTATGATAATGGTGGGAAATTCTTAGCAAAATCTTAGCTACAAATTTCAAGATTTATCTAAAATATAAAGTATAAATTTAGTTTAAAAGAAAAAGTACACAATTCTGTTCACTAAGCATTAAATGATTTATTCAAATATATTAAAGTCCGTTAATTATCAGAAAGCTTTCAAACTGTACGTTTCAAATCAAAGACAATTTGGGTTTGTGTCCAAACTGCAAGCAAAGCTTCTAGTCACTGCCTTGTGGATTGTGGCATGGCTTATTGTGCACAATGACCCCACAACTGTAGAAAACTATGCAGTTCCAGTGTGAAAATGAATTGATATTTAATATATGGTCATTGGCACAGAGTTCTCACAGGTGTCCTCATCACTATAAGCAAATAAAATGTATGAATACATAAATTGTTATCAATTTGAATGTGTTGAACTTACTTATTTTCGTTGATGCGTAGCAGAAAGAGCTGAATCTGTTGATTCTTTCCGATTAACGCATATAGCGCCGCAAATCCATGAAAAGCCGTGCAAAAGCAAACGGCATAGTTCAAATGCGATTTCTCTTTGCGCCAATAGTTGAAGGCAAAGGAACAGACGCATACCAAATACGTGAGTGCAGTGTAGGTGAAGAACTTCCAAAAGGAACTCAGGCGATTCTTCTCCAACGACTCGAAACTCTTCTCCGAATCGTGATCGTGCTCATCGTCAATCTTAATCAGTGTGAGTATATAAAAGAAACTGCTTATTGCACAGGCAATGAAAATTGGAGCAAAGAAATAAATCATAACCGTCCAAGTGCGGGCTGGAAAGAAATGAAATAGTTATCCTTGAAGCTCCTACTTTGATATATTTTGTTCACTTACGATCGAACCAACATGTATCGCCTCCAAAGACCAACTTTGCTCCATGATAGCTAAAGCCCACAAAGAAAGACCAGCCAATGGCAATCAGGACGATCGGTCCAAGAATCATCCAGAACATCAGCTTGGTGAGGACAACTCCATGGAAGCTCAGATACAATTTGAACGAAATGAAGCTCAGTATATAGAAGGAAAGCACCAAGAAGAGCAGCGCAAAGCTGGCTGCAGATCAATCAGTTAGTCTATAAATACAATACTATATGTGCTATACTCACGTATGATCCGACAGCCAGCTGTTGACAGATTGGCTGGATTGTGCAGTGTGAGGTGAGCCAACAGTGCATAGCCAATAATAACACACGTTGTGTAGGCCTTTACTGCAACGCCATAGAAACTATTACGCATTTGCGAGCACGCCAAATGCACAATCAATACGATAAACATCGATATAATGCAGATCAGAAGGCCTAAGGAAAAGGGATGTGGAGGGAGGTTGAACAGAGTTGATCCAGATGAAGAGACAGAGCGGCAAAGATAGTGATGGAGTTGATATTAGTAGACTAAAAAACCATAGACTTCCCTTATTGCTAGTAGGTTTTTCACGGCTTGGCTTTAGGTCTATGTTTTTAAGAGGATTAACATTGCGAAGATAGCAGATAGTCTTAGAACTACATCTTTGTTTCCCTAAATGTGGAATTTATTCAGATATAAATAAAAACCACTATATAGTAAGTTTGATGATCTCCTTAAGGAGAAGTATGATTTCCGCAACATAAAATGAATTTACTTAATACATTTCAAATAAACATTGTGGTCATACTATCAAGAATATAGTAATAGTATGTATGCTAGAGTTCGCATGCTGGCCAGTTCCCTTGAAGTTTTCATGGCTATCATAAATTTATTCAGATAATGATCTGCCATTTATTGATCGGATGAATCGCTACACATGAAAATAGAACAATTATTTTTATTGGCTATCTGTGTTTATTTTTGTCTATCCCCCCCAAAAGGAATTTGCACTCAGATTCGCTATCGAAGCAAGCCGCAAACATTTTAATGATTATGGGAATGAAGAGAGCTAAAACGTTAGAAGTGCGATTAAAAGACTTACATATAGCATAAGTCCACTCGCGGACGCCCAGAACAAAGTGAATTTTCTCGGGAGCACAGGCCAAAGGCTGCCAGCTCCAGGTCCTGTTCCCTAACAAGACGAGCGTGTAACAGTAATGCTTGGTGAACAGATGCTCCCGATGGATTATCGAACCATCCTGCAGATATTGAATAGGAGCTTATGATAAACTATGATTTGTGCAGGTATTTGTTTAGTATCCCACCTCATACAACGTCCAGTTGAAGTAGTCGCCGTCTTTGATCACCGCTCTCATATTATCGCAGGGTGTCTCCACATGAACACTAAATCTGGATGCAATCTCCATTTGCAGTTGCGTGCCATTCCTCAGCCCAACTGTCATGTGACTGTGTCCAGGCGGTTGTGGATGCTCCGCAGAGTGTGGCACACACTTGTGATCCTGCAGATCGTACAGCTGTCCGTTGGGGCAACAGAAGCGCACACAAGGTCGCTGCTTGCAGATGCAGGCACGCAGATGCCGCTCGGTCGGCACCCGTATGCCATTCTCAATCACAAAGTCGTAGTCAGTGACGAACTCCTTGGGAATAACCGTCCAGTTGTGCACGTAGGAGTTGTTCAGGGAGCCATCCATGCGGTAGCTACCTGTTATGTTCACCGTATCGATGAAGGCGCACGGATGGCGACCCTCCTCTTGGTAGCCGCTCGTGCAACACTGATTCACAATTAGTAAGCAACCAATGAGCCACAATTGCGCCGTTGCCGAAGACATATTGGTGCATTAAGGCCAACCCGTGTTTATGTTTATGCCAATATGTAATTAGTTGTTGTGTGTGTTTATTTCCCAGTATTGAATTCAAAATCAAAGTCCCACAATTAAAATCAAAACACAAACACACAGCAATATTCTTAATACACGGCACGATGACGTCCCTAAAGAGCTCTTCGAGCAGAGTAGCGGAAACAGATCATCCGCACCTGGCGCAGGTTCAACTTTGACTACCGCCGCAGACTGCTCCCAAACCGAACCAAATCGAATAAAATGAAACGGAACGCAATGTCTATGCCCCATATACACCACACACCACACACACCCACAACATGTGGTTTCTTGCTTGTTGTTGTTGCCACAGCGGCGGCGATTTGTTTACAACAACCAAAAAGCCAACTGGAGCTGAGCATATAAAAATTGAGGAGCAGCATTTTGCTCTGCGAATTGCTCTACTTTAGATAGGGTATTTATGTTGGTATATATCGCAAGACTTGACTTGTTGGAGCTATTAGAATCGTTGGATATTCAGTATTTAGAAACGGTAGTATCAATATATAAGATACCTTAGACTTGACAGTTGAAATATTTTAGATGCCTTCATCATTATAATTATTATACATATTTTGTTCTTGTTCAATTCTAGACTGGCTCTCTTTTCTCTATGTGAACAGTTTTTTATATTACTATTTTAACTCTTAACCTTTCAATAATGTTAATTCAGATTGATTCTCTACTCTGTAAGCGAACACTTCTTTTCCAATTCCTTTAAAATATTCCAAATTAGCCAAAAACGTGTTGCACGCTTAGCGTATTTGCAGTTCGTTGAGTTAACGTTTCGAGAGACTCTACAAAAATGCCGAAGACCCATAATAAGATATTTACCGCCATGCCGTGAGTTCGTCAAATGGTCGCAACCGAGACGGACAGCACTCAGTGCCACCATTAACAGCACATTTGTTGCGTGCCCCTTGACTGGTGAATACGGCGACACACTAGTTCCCAATGCGACCCACTCAACTCGACTCGACGACCTTAACTACCTCAATTCGCGACGTTACGAATTTTTTCAAATGTTCGTGTTCGTTTCTTGAATTACTTTGGTGGGGAGTTGTAGAGGAATTTATGTTCTTTGTTATTTGTTGGGTATTTGGTATGTTTTAGGGGCTGGTCACCTGTTTGCAACTGGACAATTTGAACAAACAAATAATTCATTCGCTATTTACAGGGCTTACTACGCCAGAATTAAATTACTATAACTGAAGTGTAATTTGGAAGGTTGAGTTGGTAAAGGAAATTACTTAATTATAAAGCAGTCAGAGGTAATGATTTTATCACATGTGTAATACAAATTGTTGACATTGATTGCTATCGGGTTCTGCTGACAGTTCCATTAAGAAGTGATTTACTGTCACATTTATCGGGTACTTTTTCTGAACTCAGAATTGTGTATAATTCAAAATAAAAGCGAAACTTTAGCTTGACTACTGACTGGATTTGGAAAGAATATTCAAAAATTATCCCAAATTTGTAGATTAGTTACAAACTTTTAATTGTTAATGATAAGTGTATAATGTAACAAGTCTTAATAATGCTTAAGTGCTATCGTTCAATATGTGACTCAGAACAAAGCTGAGTAAAGACCAGTATGTGTCATAAATATGCAAATGATATATGAATACCAGTTGACAGAGTTGGCAGTCGCGCAAAATTTGAGGCAGTCGATTGTCATTCAAAGCGATGTCACTGTTGGCTTATAAGGTGAATCTGTAGACATAGATTGGGTATTTACAACTGAATTAGTTTTAAATTATATATAATTGCTTACCGGGTGATTTGAGATCGCCCTTCTCATCGAATTTATAAACACGCGCGTTTATAACGCTCAGATCGGTTTGACTGGTTTCGCTGTGTAGAGCATATTATTGGGAGGTATTCAAGATTAAGTATTCTGATTACTTACACATTAATGGACCACCAGGACTTGACGTACATATTCTTGCCCAGCAACAGAGCGAATCCTGCTATGGCCAGCACCAGGATACAAATGCCGCTCCAGAAATCAATGATGAAGAAATGTTCCCGCACTCGCGCCAATATATAGACAATCATCTCGCGCACCCAAACAGAGAACACACCCACCAAATACACACTAAAAGCGTAAAAGCTGTAATTAAAAGAAAATTGTAATTAATAGTTGAATTTTAGATATAGATTTACAGTTTTCTGTCTTACTGTGTCTTCATAATGCGCAGCTGGGTGCCCTGAATATATTGCGTATCTGCTGGCAGCTCATAAATAGAGAAATACGTCTTCAGACAGCAACCAATGCTAAAGATCAGGAGCAGGGCAATGGGTGCATAGTAATACATCAAAATGCCCCAGAGACGCACTGAAAATGGACGAAAGCAAAGAAATATGTTACTGTGGTTTGGCAAAGTTAGAATAGCCTTTCCGATATATAAATAATATAGCCAAAATATATATTTATATATCAGTATCCATTTACGCAATGTGATCTACAAAGCGTTACACATTCAGTGACAAATCGAAGATACTCTTTTGGATTACAAACCATCAAACCAGCAATAATCCTCGCCAATGCCGGGCTTCAAATGTTTGGGCAGGTTGGAGGACTGTGCGAAGGATACTAGGAATCGTAGTACGATCACACAGACAAAGGATAAGGAGTACCACAAGATGCGCCACCAATTCTTTATGGGTATCAGTCGGAACTTCAAGAGAAAGTCCAAACTGCAGTTGGCCAAATAGACAAAGGACAACATGATGAAGAAGTAGGCCAGATAACCTGTAAAAAGGAAGGAGACCTTTCAGTCAGGTGACAGTTTAGATAAGTAGCTGTGGGAAACAAACCTATGTTGCGGCAGGCTTCATGCGATAGATTCATGGGATTCTTGAGGGTGAGATAGACGATCAGGGAGTGTCCACAAATGGCAAAGAACAGATAATAGATGATCAGCTTGCCAAAATGACTGCGACGTGCCTCATTAACGGAGCTCAGCAGCGCCATTATAAAGATGTTGATCAATATGGCAATAATGCAGCCTGCAAAGGAAAACAGAATTAGTTGGGTGCCTTAGACATCTGCCAAGATTCAACTTACATATGGCATAGATCCACACTCGATAGCCACGCTGAAAGCGCTCACAATTCAGCGGTGCTAGCTCCCAGGCTGAGTTGTGCTCCAGCGGCGTGAAGCAGTATTCATCGGTGCTCCACAAGCGATCATCCCGCTGCAGCGAGCCATTCGCATGCAGATCCCATTGCCAGAAGGAGTCGTGATTCGAGTCCACGAACTTGTTGCGACAACCCAACTCTGTGCGCACCACAAAATGATCCATGATCTTCACCTGTTCCACACTCCGATTGCCGCTGGCGCTCAGCTCAATGTGCGTTATCTGACGAACCTGATTCGGCCGAGTGCAGTTCCATCTCTGCGCATTGAACACCAAGTCCGGCGGACAGCAGAACGTGATGCACGGCTTTATCTGGCAGACGCAGCCACGCAGATGTCGAGCAGCCTTATACTCCACACCATCGATAACCTAAGAGATTATTAAAAAAATCGATAATTCTGATAAATTGTGATATTTTTAATCTGTTTTACTTTTATAAGTATCAAGCATTCTTCTTACTGGCATCTTTCGTTTCTTAAATAGCTTGTTATAATAAAATATAGAACACTGAAATGCTCTTGATCTGCAGATGACCTTGACCTATACTCGAGTCTCAGCTAACATTTGATAGACAATTCTTAAGCTGTAGAGTGCATAGCTGGTATTCACCTTAAAGTTATATTCGGCTGTCAATTCGGCTGGCACCAGGACTCCCGCAAACGAATAGGATCCATCCCTGAGGCGCAAACCATCCGTAATGTTCACCGTATCCGCATACGGGCAGGGAAAATTTCCATGAGCTTTGGCTATTGTTGTCTCCGTGCTTATTGTTGTTATTGTGGTGGCAATAATTATCAGCCACACGAGCATTGCAAACATTTTAATGATAAAAGATCTCTTCGCTAATTCCTCAATTAAACACGCTGCGCTTTTAATCTGTATAACGAAGACGATGAAGATTATTCTGCTGTTTGCCTTTGGCGCTTGGCTTTAGGTGTGGCAATTGTTTTCTTTTCGGGCTTAAATCGAAAATACTGTGCGAGTGACGTCACAACGCGAGAATTAAATAAATAAATAAAAACGATCGTTTTCAAAATATAAAAGCATTTATTTTTTTTTGGCTGCTCGGTTTTTGGCCTTTAAGCACACACACAGCACACACAGCACACACAACACACACAGCACACACACATGCGCAACACACACGCAAAATAAAACTGACCGCCTAAACAATAAAAATTAAAATTGACAGCGTTGACGCCGACGTCAACGTTGACGCTGACGGTGACGGTGACGCTGACGACGACGTCTAAAAACGGCTATATGATTGCGACAACAACGACAATAATTTTATATGGTCTGCGTATTGGCAGTGAGAGCGAGCGAGATAGATGCGATGGAACGGACTTTGATGTGTTGCTAAGTTTCACGCTAAAATTTGAAACGAAGCCAAGCGAAACCGGCAACGCTCCATGCCGGCCAAGAATAAAAAACAAACTAAACTGATTAACCAGTCAGTCAACAAAAGCGGACGGGCCAAAGCAGACCCGAGAAACAAAACACAGATAGAGAAAACTTTTGCAGCTGCTGAGAAACAAATGGATTGCCATTGTTGCTTCTGTACCTGCGTTGTCTTGTGTGTTTGGAATCGGAATCTCAGTATTTGGCTTTAGCGCGAGACTCATTCAAATTTCATTTCTCTTGGTCGGATTAACCACAGCCACAAATAACAGCAGCAGTTGGGTTTTTTAACATTTTAAGTTGCATGCGCAGTTGAAAGCTTTCTGTGGTTAACAGTCAGCAAGCGGTTGGTTGCTGTCTTTGCTAGCAGCAGTGTCCAAAGTGGGAACAGTTTTCAAACTACCTAAATGTAGTTATGTTAAACAACGCAAACCAAAATGGTTTGCAGACGTGAGTTTCATGTTCCTTTTAACCATTTTTCTGCATTCAGGATAATTCTCTAATTGAAGTCGAATCTGACTTTCTATGTTTATAGGGTATTTGTTATGTGTCACAAGCCATTTCAAAAGATCTATGCACTAACCTGTTTCTTATACGCTTAAGCATGATTAGTGCTCAACTAATTGTATAATAAAACAAGTCCTAAATACTACTTGTTCCTTTCACTTTTTATGAGCGATGCTTGTATATTATTGTTGGAAAATTATGCGCTTAGATAATTAATGTGCAATTTCATTACGCTTATTAGGGAGCTGTACGTAGAAACAGGAAAAGCCACTCACATTGCGTGACAAATGGCAGTTAAATTGCAGTAAGTTCAAAGTACAGATATATCGACATATATGATTATAATAAATATAATGCTTCTATTGTTTACAAATATCAGACAAATACACTAATTGTAAGCAAAGTACGGGGGATCGATGAGCTAGCCAAGTTCAGATTTTCCAATCGAAAATGTTGTGGACTACTAACCAACTCACACATGTCTTACAGGTAAATGAACCACTCCAACCCCCAACAAAAGGCGGTGAAGTGGAAAGAGGTGTTCCGCTCCGCCTTCATGGACTGGTGCTTGAAGGTACTCATTAAGTATTAATTAGAGACCAGTAGCCTGAATAGCAGAGAGGTTAGTCAGCACTCCTCTCTGATGACATAACCATTGTCTGTAAAGGAAACAGCTTTCAGGACACTGATGATTGTCATGAAAATCTCACAAACTTATGTGCACCAAATTTTTCGCAGAAGTTTACTATGAGTAAATTACAGTAAGGTGCCCCAAATCTGTCTATGTGTACTCTATATGTACTCATATTTTTAAGACCCATTGAAATCTTTAATTAAAGGGTATAAAATGAAGCATTTCCTGCACAGAACTGCTTTTTAGCAGAGTTCCATACCTAATAAATGCCTTGCATGCCATTGAAAAGAAAGCAGTGCGCAAAGCAGTTCATAGGGGGTACAGATAAGCTGGCGCCTGCAACGCGATTTTTGCCAGTGGATAGGCTTTGTTAAAATCAGTCCGATCAAACGTATAAATTGACTCCAGCTCGTCTAAAATCTTACAGATTTTTGTAAAGATCACTTCTATCGTACTGCAATCAAAGAAACACTTTGAAATCGTAAAAACCTAGCTGTCTCATAGGTTGTTGCCTTTGCTATTGAGCTGCATCCAAAACGAGAACAGAAACTAGGTTGGTGTATAGGCTAATTTTCCCTCAAGGAAAAAAGTTGCGGCATGCTTTGACAAGCACACAGTTGTCGAGAGGATGGTTGTAGCCATATCCCAACGGATATTCGAAGGACAAAGTAGGTTGCTAATACATAAATCCATTAACTATTTCGTTTTCTTTGGTTTTATTATATTTTTAAGCTTGACATAAAATAGTTTTTGTTTTACATATACAAACAGACATATAAAAAATTGATCTCTTGGCAAACCAGTAGCCTAGACATTATAAAAAATAATTTCAGATATATGATAAGGTTTACTTCTCTAAATCAGATATAGGATGACAAAACGATATATTTACTATATGCTATAAAGATACACGTTGTGCCTGACGGGAGAAGTATAATCACAAGACATAGAAACACAAAAGCAGGTAGATATGGAAGCTATATATGTATGTATATATATATACATAGATAGATAGATAGATGTAATGTCTTTTTTTAAGTCTACGATATAATAGTATGGCTGCTGGAGCTGTAGGCACTGCATATTGTATTCCAGCTATTCGATGCTTAGTGCGACGCAACGATGACGTCATCAATGGACTAGACCACAAACATATTCATTCAATCCAATTCCAACTTAAAGATATGTTTTGGGGGGCGCTGTTGCTGTAGCTGCTGCTGTTGTGGTACTGCTGAGTGTTTATCCGGCACGGTGGAGACAAGCGGCCTCTCCACAGAGCTCTTCTCCTGCAGCGATAAATTTGCCACACTGCTGGAAGTGGTTTTCGTGGAATATTGACTCTGACGCTGATTGCTTCCCTCGCGCACTCTCGAACATCTAAATGGAAAATTGGAGGTAATACACAAATAGATGATTAGTCGTCAATTTGGGTCGGGGTAAATATTTGATAACACAAAAGCACCGATAAACCGATTAATTAGTATTTATCGCAGATATGCTTGAAATGATTTCTGGTGATACAATGGAAATCAGAGAGATAGGGATAGGGAGCAATAAATATTAGCTATTAATGTTAATGCTCTTTGAATTGATTTACATGCGATTAGAATTTGAATTATTATTACATAGATAGCGAAGTGCGAAGAGATACTTAATAGCATTTGCTGTTTTTGGCTGAGGGAGAGGGTGTTATTTTAGTTATTGTTCTTGTTGTCGTTGTTGTTGTTAATCACAGTTTTTTGATTCTGCAGCAGCTAACTACTTGGAGTCTTTACCTTTTATTTTTGTATTTTGTTTACGGTTTTGTTATTGTCTTAGCAGCCGCCTCTGACATCTTCGTATTACCCATGGCGCTTGGGCTCAGCTGTGTGCCAGACTTCATTTTTAACTTTTCCTGTTGCACACTTATGTCGGTTGATGTTGAGTTTGTTGTATTCGATTGTCTCGAACCGGGCGACTTTGGCTTCAAGAGTCTTCAGTGCAGTTGAACGGAAAATTACGATACGTTGATACACAAATATATATTTATATTTATATATTGTATATACAGATTGTTTTTAAAATATCACTACATGCTGTTACATGGTATTATTACTACATTTACAATAAATGGACGGATTTGTTCATTAGACTCGATTATTGAATGTATACTTGTGTGTTTGTGTGTCTGTTATTATAGCCTTATATAGATAGCATTTTACATTTTGCTTTGCTAGTCACAACACTCAAGTTTTAATGCTTGATTTCTCTTGTATGTGGGGCTTGTCTTGTGTTGGCTGCTTATTACTGTTGCTGTTGTTGGAGTTCTTTTGCGTTAGCGATATCGAAAGCAGGCTGACAACGAAATACAAGAGAATAATTTATATAACCAGCAGCCAAATTATATACATATATATGCCATTTGATTTACTACGTAAATTTCTAAGAATGCATGCACGGGCTGGATTGGGATATCTTTTAGTACTTGGTATTGCCACGTTGCACAACACTAAACAGCGAAGAGGAAGAGCAGAGGATCACTGCTTACAATAGTGCAAATATCATCGTAGTTACAGTTGCCGTTAACAGCTATTCCACTTAAACAGCATGTGAGTGAACATCGCTCGTGGAGTTGGTAAACGCATTGCGGATGACGACCAGCTTACGTATGTGCTGGGAGGCATCCATGAATCTCTGGCGCATCGTGCTGCTGCCCGCAACTGTAGTCTCCGTTTGCCTCAACTTCGCACACGTATCGTTCTGATAGGATTTTTTTTTGTTTTTTTTTTTAAGGATTTTTTTTTGAGATAGGATTTTAAGTCAATTTAAGAATTAGATACGAATCCGATACAATTCAAGACTTGAGATACAACACAAAGAGATAACGCTTTCGAGGACTTACACAGTTATGAACTTATTTATGGATAATACAATTGAGGGCAAGGAACATAGCTAGAAGTTCTAAGGAAAAGGTTCACTTACCTGTTGGTAATCAGGTGCTTGACCTTCTTTTTCAGCACAAACAGCATAAAGATGAGAAAACCTTGCATCGCATTGCACAGATCGGAAACGTAGAATATCTTCGACCACTTCTTATCGCTGCCGACAAAGTATGAGATTATCTCCGAGGACCAGGTAACTCCCATGATGAGAAACAGTCGCAGGAAAAGTCCAAATCTAATAAGGTTTCTGTTAGAGTGCGGTTAATTCAATCAAATCAATTGCTTACTTGTCCTTCTCGGTGCGTAGATTCTTTGTGCTATCCTCCCGAGCAATTATTCTTGCCATTTCGCGCTGCACGCTGTGTATTTTGCAGGCCGTCATCACAAACATTATGGTGTTGGCCACAATGATAATCAGGATGGGCCCGAAGAAGTACAGCATCGCCGACCAGTTCCTCATTTCCAGCCAACAAAGCTCGCCACCCCCAATGCCGGGCTTGAGTTCCGTTGGCCAATCCGAATACTCCTGCGCGAGCACAGTGAAGACAAGGAAGCACAGCGCCGATCCCCACGAGTAGAGAGAGTAGAGCAGGAAGCGTTTCTTCTCCTGGAATCGATTGATTCCACGCGTGCCACGGAAATTGTGCCACAGATCAAAGCTAATCACATTCAACCAGAAGAAGGCGGACATGAAGAAGAAATAGGTCGTGTAGCCAAACAACTTGCAAGGCAACCCATTCGGATGGATGTTTTTCAACAGGAGCAGGCAGCAGAGAAGCGAATATCCAATGGATATGCCCAGCAGATAGCAAACCAGAGATTTTCCATGCTGGTTACGCAATTCCGGAATTAACAGGTAGACGGCAATTGTAAGTAGCATAAAAGGTATGGAAAACAGCATAGCTAAAAATGAAAATGGAATGGAAAATGGTGTCCTTGAGTTACTTTCAAAACTGAGAGAATAGTTTGCATCAAAACTAACAGATATATATCCATTATACATAATACAAATTCAAGGCTCAGCACTTACCATATCCATTGATTATCTTCACCGTAGAGCTCACACTTAACATATTGCAGTTTGCTGGATTTATTGAGTAATAGATATCCGTATCGTTGACATAGGTGGGCACAAGACAGAACTCGTCCTTGTGTATATAGAGCATATCGTCCTCCCGCAGTAGCGAACCATTCTCATACAGCTGATAGGTGTCGTAGGAGCTAAGCTCCGGCTGCAGGGCAAACATCTCCGTGCAGGGTCTAAAACTCTGCACCACAAACTTTTCTTCAATGTCGACAGTCTGAATGGAACCGTTATTCAATGTGACATTCATCAGTTTTTCTGGCCATAGCTTTGTGCTCGTATCAATTTCACAACCATTATCTTTGTAGATCTGTCCCCACGGACAGCAGATATTAATGCAGGACTTTATTTTACAGATGCAGGCACGCTTATGCTCAGGTACATCCACTCGATCCCCCAGATGCTTGTAGATATAGTCGAAAGTGCCCACCTCATGACTGGGTATCAGGACACCCATGTAACTGTAGCTACCATTCTCAAACGAGGGAGACCCCGTCAAATCTACCGTATCGAAAAAGCTACACCTTGTGTGTATGCCATTTCGCTCGTGATATTTCCCCTCCCCCAGAGCGTATACCCCAAAATGATTGCCCGGCAAGAGGCGAATCACGACCAGGAGTACGACTCCTATCAATGTGGCACCACAGTAGATCGGGCCAGTTCTGTGTTTGACTTGCTTCTTCAGCATTTTGTGTGATCTGTGAAAAGAAGGCGAACAAAATTAGTGTGGAGTTGATAAGGTTTCAATCAGATGCTATGTTTATGGTTACATCTTAAGATTTGGATGTAGTATTATTCTAGAATCTTAGCCAAAATTCAAACGACTGACTATCCATTGAGTTTCTAGACAAATTTGGCAGTGGAAAGTTTGCCTCAGTTTTAAAACACATCTTGTTTGACAGTACAAACCCGAATTGGATCATTATCATTATATTATATAGATTTGTTCTCGTATGAAAAACAATTGGTTCCCAAAAAAAGGCCAATCTTTCATGTTGCTCTCTCATCTGTCCCAAATCAAACTTGAGGCTACACATATTCAACAGGTTAGCGCAAACAAACAAGGCTAACAAGGACATGTGGATTCATTACTTCCGATGTTAGTTGCTGCAATTAGGATAACACGTCCAAGTTGTGTGCCAAAAACACACCCTCACACACACACACGTAGAGAAATTACACACTCAGCAAAAGTCAATGGGCGTCTGTCTAGTGTCCATTGTCAATGCCTGCGGGGCATTAATCATCTGAAACTACACAAAGCATTTACGAACTGGTATTAAATTGATACTTAGTAAACCAATCTTGTCAATTTATCGTGTACAGTTGCCAGTTCCAGTTTGCTGACTGCGTCAATAACTCCCACCCCTGATTGATGCCAATGTTGTCTATTAATTCACGACACTATCTTATCGGGCTAACATCATTATGACCGCAATGTATAAGCCAAAGTCAAATTACGCTTAATTCATTGATCGCTAACTATTTGCATTTGATGTCCACAGCAAACATTTATGAAAGGCTTGTGCGTGTGTGTGTGTGTGACATTGATAGAACTGTGGTGTGTATGTGCGCACCTTAGAATTATCGTGAAATTTATTGGCCCATTGGGTAAACAGACATTAAACGCCTCCACCTCTAACCTCCAGCAGTGCCACAAGTTAAGTGTTTGTTAAAATTAGCATAATTAATCGCTCAGCATACGATTGGAATTTCATCTGGTATTTCAAAACACCATTAAACTCCAATCAACACACGTTCTCACTCGGATTGCTGCAAATCTATACATGTACATCAATAAATGGCCAAAGAATTGAATTATGGCCGGGCATTTTCATGAACAATTTTTACGATTTGCCGAATTTCTATTGGGAACTTTGTGGCTGCCATAACTTTTCTATACAGACGTATACGTATCTATTTGCCTCTTTTCGTAATTGTTTAATTTTTGTGTTGCATATTTATTGTTTGTTTTGCGTACAGATAAATGCAACAACTGCTGTTTTGAATCAACAAACGGCTTTGCTCCGATTGCCATTTCCCATGCACACTTAAGTCTAAATACATAAATAAATGTTTGTGTATAGTTTAAACAGATGCGATACGCCATCGATCGATTTATAAATTTATAATGCCGATCATATAGCATCAAGTTCAATGATTCACTGAAACATACGTTACTCAACCAGTTCTTGCTGAGTTCCCTAGTTGATAGTGGATAGGTGTGACTGTTTGCCTCTTACTGGAATGCAAATTGCTTTATCCACCCACTGATCGGGAGATTATGCCAGCTGGCAATATAGACGATAGACTATTCACGTTATAAGCTTGACAATTAAAGAACCTACAAGTTGGCAGACAGAGAGGTAGAGAGAGAGAGATAGCAACAATGGGGAACTGTTGAAGCGTAATGCGAATAAGTCTTCGATAAGATAATGGCAAAGAGTTGCTCATGTCGGACAAAGAGCATTTACTAGACATTTATTGATTCCAAGAAACGGAATTATATATTATATTTTTCATTTCAATGTTTTGCCCGGTAATAAAACAGTTGAAACATTGCAAGAACTTTATATGAATTGTCTTTTCGGTGCAGATTTTCGCACATATGAGTAATTAAATATGTGAGACACTTAATGGGTTTTTATTTTATATTTATTATCATTATGTTTATGTTTTTTCGTGGAGCTTCCGTTCCAAATAACGATAACGAGGCACTAAATGTTGTAACTCAAGACTCAGCACAGTGATTCATGCGGTGTCCTAAGGCATTTCCGATAGACCCCACTGGTCCAGGTTCACGAGTATTATTTGCGATAGAAGCAATCATAAATGGGAAACCAGAGACTTTTGTTATGTATCCAAAGCAGCTGTTGTAGATTTTTTATTCTATTTATGGAGGCTCATTTAATAATTATGTATGCTTAAATGTATAAAGTTCTACGTCGATTTATCGACTGACTGATAAAGCGAATGTTGCGAATCGTATCACGGGGCATATGCGAAATATGTTATGAACATATTTAAATAGACAAACATATTTGAAAAACCCGTTAAAAATGATTCTAATATTCATTTGTAAGTTGTGAATCTCACGCAATTAAAAACAGACAAAAATATAATAAAAACACTCACAATTTAGTAATAAAAGTTCTGCGTATCAGCTGAGTACTTTATATTTATGTACGTATTTTATTTATCAGATAGCACCAAATACGTTTATTTTTATATCAGTTATATTATTTCTTCTTTTATTATTTAATTATATGTCGGTTGCCATATCGCCATAAGTGCCGCGACTGTGGTCATATTAAAAACCGAAGTAAACTAATCGTGGCGCCAGTTGAAAAGACAGCGAACCCCGACAAAAAAACACTGAAACTGAAAACTGAAATGGAAAACCACCACAAGGTGGAGGTGAGTTAGATAAACAATATACCACACAGCCAGGAATTTGGCGGCTGCGATTATTTTCAAATTCAACAAGAGTTCTTTGCCTGCGGTTTTTAATTGTGATTATTTTTGTGTGGCGCCCATTGACGGGTTGCCCCATCACTCTATTTTTGTGTATCTTTGTTTGTTTTTTTTTGTTGTTGGCTTTTATTTGTACACTTTCAATTCATGGGAAAACTATTTTTTATACTCGAGCAATTTTAGCGCTTGTAAAACAACCATCACAAAAGGGGAATTCCGATTAATCCCTCACGTGTCACCCGATTGGAAGCACACTTAACTTGATTGGTAATCCTCTTGGCTCATATTACTAACTCAATATTGTAAAAGGCAGTCCAGCAAGACCTTTAGCTACAAAAGCGCGCTTTAAACTTTTGATTTATCTCTTTTTAACTAGCATTTTAATATTTATTATTTAAATTCTTCTGATTATATTAGGCTCTGATGGTCTTTCCCCAAAATTAATTTATACTTACGTTATGTAAAACAACGTAGCCTCATCAATCAAAACAAATTTATTCTTTATAGACATACGATCTATCTTGTTTTTAACTCCTTTCTGTTGCACAGTTCTTAAACTCTCATCCAAAAAGAACATATTATGGAGTTTAGTAGTCTTGTTTTTCTATCTATTTAAAAGAATATTTTGTCAGTTAACCTATGCCCCACAGACACTTCTATGTCCCACATCTATTCATATTCTTTATACGTCTAAGCACGACATTTTCATTTGAAATAGTTTATGAACTATTTTTGTAGCAAATGACATTGCTGGAATTTAATGCATTTAGCTAATTAAAGTGCAATTTCATTACGCTTATCAGGGAACTGTACATGGAAACGGAAAAGGCCAACCTTGCTGCGTGATATATGGCAGCGAAATTGCAGTAAATTCAAATTATAGATAAACCCACACATATGATTATAATAAATATAATGTATATCTTGCTCAATAATATATAGCTTTATATAAATATATATATATATTCCTGCTGGAAACTGTTTACAAAACAATGCGACGTGTCGTATGGCACTGATCCGGAAACTTCTTTAGAAAATCGTGCATTGGACGCGGATTCTCCATTATGTGCAATAAACCAAAGTGAAGGTATACAATAAACAATTTAAGCAATTAGAAATAAGAAACATTTAAACAAACGCCAGCCAAATGTGCAAATTGTAAACAACTTGTACAGTTTTGATGAGTAAAGAGGCCAATGAGCAGAGAGACTCCCTGGATGAGGGCTGGCGAGTTGCGTTAACGCACTCAAGCTGAGTTTATCCAATCGATTAATCTATTACTCAAACACACTCAAAACATGCAGTTAGAAAAGTATACGCATTAAGGGAGCTCAAAGTTGCGTTTGAAGCAGCAGTTAAAAAACTACGCCTAGATTCGGGTCTGACTAAATGGCGGAGTGGAGGGAGGGTTAATAGTCGGCACCTCAACAATTAGGACTCGTCTCTTGAGCATTGTCGCTAATGAATTCCTGTTCAAACTTAACAATGGCTTGCAGAGCAAAGGTTATACTGACGACATTGTATATATAAAGCACACCCTATGTAGGATCCATAGAACAGGCTGTGAAGAATATGCAGCAACTGGTGTGTTAGCGAAATACCCACAGGATTCAGAGATCCGTAGATAGGAGATGAAGTTTGTTTCTATATGCTTCCAGACTTAAGCATCACACATAATCAGGACAATTGTAAATATTTTTCAGGCAAAAATATATGCTATTTAGTAAGCCAACAAATATGCAGCCATCTTCTCAGACAGCTAGGTAGAAAAGAACAATAGGGTATCTGTTATCTGCTGAGACCTTTTCCGGGCAATCTATATGCCGACGCTGTACAAAGGACCCCTATTATGCTAGAGGAATCAGAGCTCTGAACCCATTTATCAGTTAAGGGCACAAAAGATCCAAGTGATTGCAGTGCACAAACCCTAATGGAAGAACTATGACTCACAACAAGTGTTTACTTTACAAAATTGATATTTGTCTTGAAATTAATTGAAATAATACAACACTTAAGTACAGCTATTTTTCCTAGAAGTTTGCTTTCAGTAAATTGCTGACTCAGTTATGCGACCCAGATCTGTCAACGACTATTTCTATATAGACTCTTGTGTATCCATTTTTATAAATAAATGTCTAGTAAAAACTATAAAAATACAAACTAGCAAATTAATTTCCACGCTGATTAGGAGAATTAGCCACACATATACAAAATGAAATACATTTTTAATTAATAGGCATTTCCATATTTTTTCCCCATGTGCCATCAAAATATTTAATTGTCGTATTATGTTTTGGTGGAGACGCCCACTTGAATGGCAGGGCATTTATTTATTTTGCGTTGTTTACAATTAGTTCTTAGGGGAATGCAAAGCGTTATCTTTTAAACACTTACCTAAGTTATTTATGTCGATATATAATTGTATATCTGTATTGTTGATATGTATATAGTTTTCAGGCAATATTTGCTTCAATCAAGTTGTTTGTTGTGCTCAACGTTTTTGTGTTTTTGCTTCTCAGTAATATTATTATTGTTTGTAAATCTTTTGTCACTTTTGCTGGTACTTCAAATTATTTTACAAATACTCGGTGCTATGTTCGAATATTAAATATATACACAGTGAAAAAATAAATATCTTAAATGGAATCTTTATTTGAGAATTCTTAAATCGAATTCTAGCCATAAATTCAAATTTAAAGTTTCAAATCAACAAGGTTTTTTTTACATATGAACAATCTAAGAATAGTTTACGATTTAGCCGCTCTTAAAACTTTTTATACGCGTTGTACTTGAATCAAAAATATATATTATATATATTTTTCATTTTTAAATGATTTTTTTCTGTGTGTATGTATAACATATATAAAGTTAGCCCCTCGATATTAGGTATGCAAAGCAGCTTAACAGTTGCACGCCATTGATTCGCGATTCTCTTTTAAAGCAATTAACGAGTTGGGTTTTTCTATTTGTCATATACATAATTATGTATACAAAGGCTCACGAACTGGATATTTGTTTTGGATGACAAGTACCCGTGAATATTGTGATAAGGCTGAACAGTTTTGCATGCCTTGCAATACCAATGCAAGAATCTGCGATCGCGAAACACGAAACTCAGACACATAACATAAAATGTGCATATATAGATGTGTATGCGGGTGTATATTACAATGCACGTCAATAATTATATCTTTGTTCACATGATCATCATTTGGTAACTGGAAATTTGAAATGGGAATTCCCATGTAGAAACACAAACAGATCACAAACCTATTGGAATAACTCGCGTTGTGACGTTGTTCGATTCAACCGGTTATTTTATTTTATCATAGCAATTAAAAAAGCAAAAGCGCTAGAGACGTAGATCATTTTATTAATGAGTTATCAGCAACTCCACATTTAATGAGTGTCTCTAACGTTTCTCTCCTTCTTAATTCCGCGGCACGTCCACCAAAGCCGACGAACTTAAACGAACTGAACTAATGGACGGGACGACCGATAAACTTGTCTTTCTGTTATGCGGACTTGTACAAGCACTGTTAACTGTTCACTGTTAACTGCTCAACTCATAAATGTTAATGCACTTGCACTGTTATTCACAAAGAGGGAGAATTACTGGAAGATTTCTTAGTAAACTGGTGTTTCTGTCGTAAACTTTGTTAAAAATGTACTTTTATATGTATATATATAAAATTTCAAATGAAATTAAAAAATGAATTCTGTGCTCGGTCAAAACACTTTCTGGACATACTGTTATGCGTTATATAAATTTCAGAAATAACTTAAAGTACTTAAGGTATTTATATTTGTTTGTCTGTTTGCATGCAAACAAATATACAATTTTTTAATGATGATTTTTGCATTACAAGTCTTTGTTGGTGGCGTTCCTCCATTGCCTTGTCCGCATGTAGGTGGAAGACAAAAGCCACATGGCAATTGATAGACGCTCGCCAGCTCATTGCTGCTCACTGCTGCTCACAGCTTGCAAGCGGTTGAAATGTAAACAAACCCATAAGTGTTCGATGAACGGGTGCTTGAGGCAACCTGCTGATTGGCTCTCAACTCAAATCGAAGCTGTGCCCTCAGGCTGTGATTCAAAGTGTTTTTATTTTGTCATTTTATCGATTTAATTGGCCTGCGACGGCAATACAATTAGCCAGTCCGTTGCTGAAACTGAAGCGGCTCACGCGAATACTTTTATATTCCCCATGAGTCAAAGATCAGCACGGTCTATTAGTGCTTTGTGCTTTGAAACAAACTGTATGCAAACTTATACACATAGACAATAGCACACAATCACATTGAACACGGTACAAGTCAATTATAGTGGCTGCCCTTACAGTGGCTGCCATAAATATGCACATCTAAAAATAGGTAAATATTTACAACTTTCTTCTTTAACAAATTTAATTGATTTTATTTTCCTCATTTTTTCTTCTTTTTAAAAATACATACATATTATTTATAAGTGGTTACTATGAATATATACATCTATACTTAGATATATATACTTATATTTTAGTTTCTTAGTAAATTCAAGTATTCCTTGTCTTACTTTTTTCTCTATAAAAAATACTATACATACATACATATTATTTATATATACCGATGTATATATGTTCGATTTGACACGTAGGGCGTTCAAAAATATAGTCGTACCTTGGGTGTACGTGTTTTAAACGATAAACCGCAATTATGATTGTGAGACAATATGCTAATTTGATAAAATTCATATGGAAAAAATAGCACATACGAGCTGCTGATGGTGATCAAAATTTCGGGTGGTCTCCTCGTCGTTAATTGCTCGAAAGCATCCCAAAAACTAACAGCGCAATTGCGCAATTTTAATTATTTTTATGACTTTGAATACAATCGAATTGGATATGGCGTGTGAGTGCAGAGTTTGTGCGAACATATCTATATATCTACATCTGTCTGTATATATATATGGTCGCATTTGTATTAATAAGCCCATCAAATGTGGTTAACGATCGAGACGTGCACTGTTTCTGATTCGCAGCCGGTTCAGCTTAGGTTCAGGGAACGGAAATTGTTGCATGGTATTCCCGATATTATATGCTATTTGACATTGTCGAAGACGAGTGATTTTATTGAAAATAAAACTGGTTTTGCGCTTAGCATTGAGCCTCAAGTGCCGGCAACTACATGTATGCCGATATATTGGCACAAACACCACCAGCAATTGCGACACAGAAAGAAAGAAACACAAACTTGTGGGCAGCTCTCTCATTTAAATCGTCAGCCAGGCATCCAAGGCCTATGATATTGAAGATCATAATGCGTCGGATGCCAAAACTAGCGAACCTTGAGCCCCTCTCTGCATGTTGCATGGTTAACCGTATTCCCAAACAGATGTTCAGGTTTGTCGTACTTAATAAGTACCACGTACTTATCAAGAGTCACAGTTCGCACTCAAAACACACAAGTCAACACTAATCAGAGATATTAAATATTTATAAATTATTTAAAGATAAGTGTAGACGCGTTCACTTTATCGAAAACACGATTCCAATTCTGATATCTTTCACATGTAGTAAAGTTGAAGGTTTAAACTTAACGTATTTTCATTTAATTAATTCTGCTAGCTGCTGTTTGCTAGCTTGTTTATTTAACCGCTGCCGAACTTCTTGGATGGCGAATTCGCTGAAACTGAGCAAAAGTTTTTACCCAATTCGCTAAGTTTGTTAACGGGCGGCGGCGAGCTTTCAAAAGTTTTCGCCGCCTGAGTTAACAGAAAATTGAACTGTTATTTGGGTAAAAGCTTTTTATGGGCTGAATGATAATTTGATATTTAAAGCTATAATGATTTCAAATTTAAAGCTTTCCTAGCACTTTTCACTTTTTATTTTTAACTGAAATTGTTAACGCTTATATAGCAATTGATAAGTGGACCAGATCATTCTTAAAACGACAGGTGTTCCAGAAATAATAGGTTGAGTTTTATTGAATGGAAGTCGATATGTTTACACACGCGTACAACTGCTCTGAATGATATTTCAGATATATAAGTTATCAAGCTATATTAGTGAAGAAAGATATGCCTTTGTGTTGGTTCTCTTTTAATATACGAAACATCTAGCCATGTCGATTGTACAACAGCGAATAACTAAATATCATATAGGTACTTCCATTCATAAACACAGTCAATCGATTTATTTCAATTTCAATACGTTACAAGATTTTCAATCTTAACGCCTGCACCTCCATTCGCAATCTTCCCGCCTGCAAAAGCGATTGTCATTGCCACCACATCCCCAATAAAGCATAGTCTTGCAGGTCCTGTCACTACTATCGAAATACCATATTTCGGCATTTCTATTCCAACGGCAGTTGCCGTTGCTATGTCCTTGATTTCGGCCACCAGTGCAAAGTACCCGGTTATCTGTAGAACAATAAACCCTTAGTTGCAGTATTATTTATGGGAATTCCCACATTACTTACTTCGAACAGCACCAGCACACTGGGCCTGGGTATAGGCCACAAAAAACGCCAGACAAGCGAGGAGAACAATTAATTTCATTTTTAACAAGCTCGTTAAAATATTTTTAACTGAAAATATTGGTCCTTATATAGCAGATAAGTCAACCAGATCATTTATAAAATAGCAGCTGGTCCACAAACAAAACGAGTTGAATTGTTTGCCTTTGAATGAATTGACCTCCTTTCCATTGCATTATGCAATACCAAATGCGCACAACTGTTCTGAATGAAATTTCGAATAAGTCTCGTAGAAAAACGCAATCAATCCTTTTAATAAGTAAAAAAAAAAACTATAAGAAAGCTCTACCAACTGCGTTGTAACATACTTATTCAATTAAATTTTCAATTAACGACATTTTATATGGCCAAGAAATAGAACGGGTTGAATTGTTCGCTTTTGAATGGAGGACAATATGTTTGCATTATGAAATACAACATGCGCACAACTGTTCTATAAACAATTTTGAATAAATCGCGTTTAAAAAAGGCATTTAATGAGTACACCAGTCTTTTCTCATGCTGTCTTACCAATAAGCAAACTTCATTGTAACATATTTATTCGACTCCTGATACTGGATTTTTATTGGGCACAAGGTAGCTTATAAAGTATATTAGATACACAAGTATTTAATCATATCCGTCTGTATGGCAAAGACTTGCACCTCCGTTCGCAATCTTCCCGCCCGCAAAATCGATTGGAGTTGCCACCACATCCACGATAAATCAGTTTCTTGCAGATCCTGTCAACTTTATCGAAATACCACATTTTGGCATTTGAATTCCAACGGCAGATACTAGAGTATCTGTTTCCTTCATTTCGGCCACCAGTGCAAAGTGCCCGCTTTTCTGTAGAATAGTAAATAGTTAGTTGCAGTATTACTTATAGGAATTCCCGATTACTTACTGGGAACAGCACCACGACACTGAGCCTGGGCGTAGGCCACAAAAAACGCCAGACAAGCGAGGAGAACAATAAATTTCATTTTTTAGCAAGTTCGTTAAATTCGGCGAGGCATAAACTGATTTTTAACTGAAAGTATTGGTCCTTATATAGCAGATTGAAAAGTCAACCAGATCATATATAAAACAGCAGCTGGTCCACAAACAAAACGAGTTGAATTGTTTGCCTTTGAATGAATTGACCTCATTTCCATTGCATTATGCAATACCAAATGCGCACAACTGTTCTGAATGAAATTTCGAATAAATCTCGGAGAAAAACGCATTCAATCCTTTTAATAAGTAAAAAAAAAACAATAAGAAAGCTCTACCAACTGCGTTGTAACATACTTATTCAACTCAATTTTCAATTAACGACATTTTATATACTCTGATATAAAGGGGATTAAAAAGATGTGGGGGAAATTATAGTTTAAGTAGTAGATCCGAGTGAAGGCCGTAATCGTCGTCATATAACTACAATGTCATATCAAAGAGTCTCTTTTAAAACTTTTGAATTAAGTTGTAAAAAACGAGCTCTTTAAAAATTGGTTGTCCTTCATAGTGCAAAAAATGGACTGTCAATTTAAGCAAACTAAGTTTCATATTTGTGTTTTATATTGTGTACATAAACACATTCATTTGATTTATTTCAATTCCAACATGCCACAAGATATTCAATGTTAACGCCTGCACCTCCTTTCACAATCTTCCCGAGTGCAAAAGCGATTGCCGCTGCCACCACACCCGAAATAGTACAAGTGCCTGCAGATGCCCATTCTAGGGTCAAAAAACCACATTAGATTATTGAGATTTCTGCGGCAGCCTTCATTGCGGCGGTCTCCTTGATCTCTGCCACCAATGCAAGAAACCTTGTTATCTGTAGAGCAGTAAAAGGTTAGCTGATTTATAAGTGAAATTGAAGGAATTCCCGATTACTTACTTGGAACAGCACCACGACACTGGGCCTGAATGTAGGACGCAAAGAGCGCAAGGCAAGCAAGGATAAGAATCAATTTCATTTTTAATAAACTTGTCAAACTCTGCGTGGCTTGAACTGATTTTTAACTGAGAAGGTGACTGCTTATATAGTCAATCTGCTATAAGTAGATCATTTTAAAAATGACAGGTGTTCCAAAAATAAAACGAGTTGAGTTGTTGAATGGAGGTCGCTATATTTACATTATATACTACTTGTGTTGTGTGTGAATGGCAAACTTTCAGTAATTAACGACATTTTATAAAAAGGTATTATGAGAAGGTAGCATATGTGATCCCATAAAGTATATAATTTCTCTGCAGTATTATTTATGGGTAAATTGGGAGGAGTCTATTTTACTTCAAAAACAAGTATTTCTCTTAACGAATTTCCATCCACATGCACACATAATACTGTAGTAAAATCAGCTAGCTATAAAACACAGTATTATTAAAATATTAGTTTATTCTTTATTAAAATGTGCTTTGGAAACAGTGTGCTTAATATTAAAAAATTCTGTAAAAATAGCTATATTTATTTATGTATTCGTTATTGTAAAAAAGTTTCAACTTAATTTCCATAAATTAGCATCTTAAGAAAATACTGTGTTAATGAACACTTCGCAAGAGGAACAAAATAGTTGATTTTTAAATATATTAGTGTGTTAGATATGAAAAGTACTATTTCATTTTACATTGATTTATGTGCAAATAATGGCTTACTGTAAATAACCAGTTTCTGGCACCAATTGTGTTCCTGAGTCGGCTTTTTCCTGCTTTTTAAATGCATAAATTAAATATATATCTTTATCGTTAGAATATCAATGTTCTGATGATCTTAGGGAACGACTGATTTTATATGTTTAATATGAGTGTTTTGTGTCCGTTTGTTCCCTGATGCATTCTGAAAGAAGGCACTAATTACATACATTGAAATATAATACGCAAATGGCTTGGTTAGTTAGACCTCTGTTACCAAACTGGATAACACTTTACATAAACAGAAATTAATAATTAATAGTAAAAGCTATGAGTTAACCCTTACCAATTAGTACAGAAACATAACGAGATTGAGTTTACCTAATGCAAGATTTTTGGCCCGATCTCTTGAACACCACCATTCCTTTCGTGCAACGCAATTTCTTCTTCTTGTTCGGAAAGGTTGCCATCGTCTGCTGAATCGATTCCTCGAATACTTTACCATAAACGAGAAGTAGCAAGAATCAAAAATTACAAATATTTACATTGAGGAGCCCTCCATATCTGTTATTCTCTCACTTACCGATTCAAAATGAGTCTCAACACACTGCGTTTTAGAACGAAAAGTACGAATATAATGATTCCCTGGGCACAGTTAATGTAATCGGAAATGTCGAAGATTCTCTCAAGCGGAGACCACTCCAATCTTGCCGCAAGATATGAGAAGATTTCGAAAGTCCAGGCCACGCCCATAATGACAAATAGGCGCACAAATTGAGTGCAACTATATAGGAAGATTAGAAATCGATTTTTAATTTTCCTCAAAGCATTTCTCCAATTCCTCTCACCTTCGCTCATTGTATTTGTGCGATTGTTCACGTTCCTCCGCTGTCGCAACGACCTTAAGCTCCCTCTTTAGCTCTGCAAATCGTCGAGCCTATAGTACAGATAATAAGTTTAGATTATCAATAAAAAACAGATCGAAATTCACAAATTCGACATTTAGTAAGTAAAATTATCATACCGTTAGTGTAAACATTATTAAATTGAAAATGATCTGAAGTGCCATTGGACCGTAGAAATAAAGCATCGCCGACCAATCCATTGCTGTAAGCATTTATATATACATATATATATACTTGAATAGTTCATAACTGGAGATAAGCTCTATGGCTATACTCACTATTAACCCAACAAGAGTAAAAGGCGACTCCCGGCCTCCATAGCGTTTGATCGTCATCATCAACATCCAAGACTTGGTCGAGTACGATTACAGTGATCGTTAGTAGAGCACCAACTCCCCATGCATATATACTGTAGATTAAGAAGCGATATTTTGGCGTATATCGTTGAATGTTGTAGTTGTTGTCACGAAAACAGGTCCACAGATCATAGCTGATGACAGTCAGCCAAAGGAAGCCAGCCATTACGGCAAAGTAACCCACATAGCCTGGATGGATAGATCTTAGTAAGTATATTGACGAAAAAACGGTGTAATACATACCATTTACCATACAGCCCGCTAATGTCCAATCATCTCCCCAAGAATCAACTTGTAGCAATGCAAATGCCAAAGCAATGCAAATCATATAGCAGATGAAACAATATCCGTGTAGATTTCTCAGTTTCGACAGCGAAAGGTAAACGATAATTGTAAGGATTAAAAAAATTATCGAGAGCACTCTAACTGAAATTGATTTTAGACAACAGTTAACCACATTAGCCAAACACATTAACAGACAAATTACCTCCCCAGTTACCCAATTGAATTAATTATAATTATATTTAAAGCGACTCCATCTAACCACAAAAATCCCGCAGGGAAAGTTAAGCAAAATGAACTCCTATTTCGGTTCAGAAGAAAATAATAATACTGAACCTTATAAAATCCTAGGGTTCTTTTGCTTACGTATATTTTGGAGCCATTGATTAGGAACTGTAACCGCGCAAATGTGTGGCACTAGTGTGATTATTGTCTCATTTTCGCCAGTCTTGATTGGATGAGGCTGTAGGCAGTATTCCTGCTTCGACATATTTATTTGATCAAAGTGACGTTGCAAAGTTCCATCCTAAAAAATAGAAGATATTATATATTTCCTGCGCACTTCATAATTAATTCCGGTCAAACCTCGAACAGTGTCCAATTATGATTTTTTTCATTCTCAGCATCCATATGATAATGTGCCGCGCAAGGAACGGGCAGATGTCGTTGTACGATAAAATCATCGAGAATATGTTTAATCACCTGTTTGCCATCGCTTTGAGTAATGCTCACATAGGGATCAAAGTCAACTGCCCTGCTTATATCACCGCTGCAGGTGCGTTGATCCTGAACCAGAAACAGATTTTTATGACAACAGAATCGCACACAGGCGCCCAGTTTACAGGCACATCCTCGCAGGTGCTTTTTCACCGACTCCTTTTCACCATCCACCAGAATTTCGTAGTCATATTCACCAGTTTGCTCGGCTGGAATTATCAGATTCTCGTATTGAAATGATCCATTGGGGTATCTTTTGGATTCCGTTAAGTCAACTGTATCAAAGTAATCGCATCCTGGTATATCGGCCACTACAAGGTCTGTTATTATCAGCATTAACACCAGTGGTCGCCACATGTTGCCTAGAAGCGAGTTCTCTACTGAAATAGATACATTTGGATATATGTAGTGAATAAAGTAAATAAGATTTAAATTTCGAATAATTTACAAAATGATATCATGCTTAGTTAGCAACGACAGATTTCATCATAGCTGCCATTCATTAAACTAGCTTAATGTTATTTAAAATTTCCGAGAATTCGAAATTTTAATATTATTTTTTCGCCGACCAGATTAACTCAAGCATACGCAAGCGAGTTGGAGTCGGGCGTACACGACTGTGGAATACTCTGCTGCCAGTGTAATAACAGCAGATAACCGCTGTCAAAGAACCTTTAGTAGATAATCCGCGTTAGCACGAGTCGCGATTTTAATGGTTTTAATGGTTAGTATATATACAACAAAGCTGATTATATTTATAAAATGTAGAATCGATTTAATTTGAAGCACATTTTTAGCATACCCGCTGCAAGTGTATGCAAATACAGCGCATACCACTTGGCGCATCTGTCTGTGACTTTAACACATGGCTATAAATACACCGATCTACGTACATTTTTTACTCGCTATGCAGTCACAATACAAGCTGTGAGTACAAATGAATGGAAGGCAGAAAGAAGTTCAGTAGAAGTTCAATTCACTGTGTATTTATTTGTATTTATTTATTTGGCAAATCGAAAAATCAATTTCAATTATTTTAAAACATTTTTAAACATATTTAAATATATTTAATTTAAAAATGTTAATTATTGATGTCTATTTACAAGTGCACTTGTGATTTTCAACCTTATCCATTATACTCAATTTACCAGTTGTACATTGTTTTATTGGGAACTTATTCGACACACTGAATTATTTTAGTCACTTTTTTTAGTGGTTAATATTAACAAGCACGAATGTTACTGATTTGTCGGCTTGGTAGCCTGCATAACATACATATTTATTTATTTTGTGCAAATATTTTGCAGAAGCAAAGAGTCCGCAGCTAAAGTTATTCGTAGGCCGCACGATTCATGACTGAATATTCGCTCTTCAAAAGATAACGAATAACGAATAAGTGAACGCAGACCATATTCTCAGAAAATAAAACCTACAATTGCATTATGTATACGAGAATATACCCATTATCTCAAACCATTAACGAACAGCGCCCCAAAATAACGAAAAGTCAATAACAATTTGAATTCTTGGGAAAAATGTACAAAGAATTTGTGAGACAAAGAGCATTATTTTGGGAAGCATACAGATAGTATACACCATATGTGTGCCTGCTTGGTTGGTATGTATGTGTGTATTTGTCTCTATTCGCTCAGTGGCATCATAGGTTGTGGTTGTGTTTGACGTCTGTTGCCGGGTGGCTAAATAATTGCATTTATTATATGTTTGCATAGATTATCAGTTTTCAGAATTTGTAGTGCATAAATGAATATTTAAATGAGTGCGAAGCTTTCATCTGTTTCTTTAGACTGAGATTAGCTTAATTGTTATATTTATAATTAATATTTTATATATAAAAGAATATTATAATTCCGAGTGTTATGTGTACACTGCCTCTGGCATACATTCAACAATTTTTATGATACTCACTTTATATATATAAAATTGTTACAGGGTATGCAAACAGGTTACGCCGATGTGCGTGAAAGATATGCAGACAACGCCCCAGCAAAGTGACGAGCCAACCTCGGCAGTATTCGAGTTCCTCATGTTTCAACAGCTGCATTGAAAAAACAGAAAGCAAAAAGAACGTTCTGCGCTCTCGATTTGCCACTCATTCAGAGAGTCAGCTAGTCGCTTGTGTACGTGCTAGATGATCTTGATTCTGCGACGTGTTTCAAGCCATTGAATCTCTCTCTGTCTGTCTCTCTCTCTCTCTCTCTCTCTCTCTCCCTCTCTCTCTCTCTCTCTCTCTCTCTCGCTCTCTGTCTCTCCCATTTGCACTCTCTGCGCATTGACGCCACTTAATTATGCGGTTCTCTTGATGAAACTTGGTAAGTATGTATGTCGGTTGGAGCCAGTCGGACCGATATTTAAGAGATCGCTTTTGAAAGCACGAGCGTAATAATCCCAATAATCCCAACTATCTCAATTTATCAAATTAAAACTAAAATTATTAAAGTACTTTCCGATTTACTAATGTTGAACTTAGTTAGATTAGTTGTCCTACGATGGTTGATATATTATTCGTATATATGTATTGGGTACTAGCTAAACCGAACTTTATAACCTATAGATATTTGCCCTAGTAAATATGTTACAATGGAGTTACTTCGCAAATGTATTGCTTATTGGCAAAATAAAAAAACACCATTCAATACCTTCCTATACGTGATATAGCTTCATATTTAATGCTCTATATTTCATATAGAACAGTTGTGCAAATGTGATGCATAAGGCAAAAATATGACCTCGTTTTAAAAATGACATCACTTTTTAAATCTGGAACAGCTGTCGGTTAATAAAAGACCCCTAATATGCTATATAAGCGATAACATTTTCAGTTAAAAATCAGTTCAAACTTCATAGAGTTTAACGGGCTTATTTAAAATGAAACTGATTCTTATTCTTGCTTGCCTGGCGCTTTACTTGGCCCACACTCAGGCCCAGGTGCGTTATTGTCGTGGTGCTGCTGCATGTAAGTAATCGGGAATTCCTCCTTCATATGATATATAAACTAAGCTTTCCTATTTTACAGTTGACTTTACACAATGCTTTGGTTTTAGAGATTCAGGAATTACGTCTCCCGTCTGTCGATCCAGGTCAAATAACAACATGTGGTGGTTTGACACCAGGGACAGGACCTGCAAGCAATTTGCCTATCTTGGATGTCTTGGCAACTTCAATCGCTTTTGCACTCGTGGCGATTGCGAAATAAGGTGCCGGCGTTAATACTGAACGGAAGAACAGTCGAGTGACTTTGTATATGATTCGAAATATAAATATGGCATTTAATTTTCCGTTTGTTCCTTAAAATCAAACTTTGGTTTGTTATATATCATTATGTATCAGAGGTGTCCAACTGTTGTTCTGCAGTAGACATATTACTTGTTATTCATTGTTATCCTTGCTTGCCTGGCGCTTTAGGGTTTCGTTTCATGTAAGTAATTCCTTTGTCTTCACCTCTTTATCTAAATAAATAATACAACGAACGTTTATCTACAGTTGAGCGAACAGTTTGCACTAGCCTTAGAGATTATGGGAATGGACATCGCAATTGCCGTCGATCTTTCAATCACAACATGTGGTGGTACGACAGCAGGAGCTCTCAATGCAGGCAAATGATCTATCACGGATGTGATGGCAACAACAATCGGTTTTGCTCTTGGCACGATTGCTTAAAAAGGTGCAGGCGCTAATATTGAAAGGCAAGACATTGAAGTAAAATAAAATAACTGTGGAAATTAATTGAAATATAAATATGACATTAAGTCAATTAAAATTACAGCAGTAACTTGACCAAATTCTCATGATTGTATCAGTTGTGTTGACAAAAGTTCTATATTTTATTTGTATACATTAATATGAGATTACGGGTGGAAATAAGAGAAGAGTGAGGCCTCTGGAAATAATATGATTAGCTAATGTCAAGATGACACATCGCATGCAGTGTGAATTAATTATTAATAAATAAGTGTAATTCTTATTAAAGTACTTTTATATAATAGTTGATAATTATGTGAGTTGATTATACAAATTAGAAGGTTATTTTTTATAAGCTACGGCCTGCTGTACATTTGCCTGAGAACAGCCATAATGGAATATGCCTTGCTTATTATATATGTGAAGCTTGGCAAATGTAAGCCCATAAAGCCTCCGGCAGTAAACAGAAATGGACGCTCAGCATTTACCATGAATATCAACAGAGTTTTTCTGAACTTCGTATCGAATAAATACCAATTGCAACCAAAGCCAGAAGTGGCCAGCGTCATACTCTAAACAAAAAAATGTAAAAGCAAATAAATATTTAAGAAATTATATATTTAGATAATGGAGACCAATTTAGAATGCTCTACTCGAAAAGGATCGACTAGGAGGTACCCTGCACCGAGCTGTTTAGTAAAACAGGCAGACACCCTAAGCCCCGCTCGCTGCAGGCAATCCTTCTAGTCTGTCATTTTGAATAATATTAATTATAAGATTCACTAACACACCTGTTCGTAGACCTCGTTGCCAAACCAGCAATAAAAGAACAATTGACAAAGGACACAGCACAGCAGCATATCCATAATAATGGAGCTAGTCGAGCCATCTCCAATGACAAGAACTTGAAATACAGTCATTGCCACAATTACCACAGAGCTGACAAATTGCAACATGACGGGCAAATTGAAGATGCGTTCCACCTTCTGTCGTAAGCTGTGAAGTGAAAAAAAAATGTGAATATATATAATCTATAATAATTAATCTATAATCATTAATTACACAATTAATTCGCAGTGATATTTCACAATGGACACAAGCCAGTTGTTAGGATCCTCACGCAACTTCTGCTGGTCAGTAGGGAGGAGCTCGTCAAAGGCCAGGTTTATAACCTTTAGATGCATGCATAGCTGAACCATACACGATACGTTCATATAGTCAATTTGTGTAATATCCAACGCCACTACAGCAACGCCCAGACCCTTGTACAGATATTGTACAACGGGCGGCAGAAAATCGGGCATTGCGGCCCGATATGGAAAACGATCACCAGCAAAATTATCTGGAGCTACTCGATCAGTATATATTTGTTATGTCTGCATGCATATAAATATATTTGTTGCCAACTTGCCAATCAGTATATAAACTGTTCCCATTGCGCCTGGAAGCAGGACTAAACTGAAGTACAAAAGCATTGCAGACTTGCTCTCTATTTCAGCTCTTTGAAAAGTTTCCCTTTGTTTCTCGGATAAAATACACCGTCGCGTGATGTCTCTGAATTTGTTGATAATGTCCTTTAGGGTGGTGTAGTGATAGCAAATGTTGAAAACCTACAGAAAATGCATAACAGTAGTATTTAAACCTACTTAAATGTAACCTTGAAAGTTCCAAAACTTTGCAAATTGTGATCAGCAAATTATTTCACTTCAAATTAATTTCAAAAGTATTGTGCACTTCTTTGTTTTATCCCGAGAAATTTGAACTATTGTAATGCTTACCTTTAACCAATAGACGGCATGTGTTAAGGACAACACAATATTCTGTGTAAGTGCATCCAAGTTCTGCCAGTTAAGGTACAGATCGTATAGCTCAAGACCGAGATAGCAAAAGAGTGCAGACTGCACCAGCCCACCAAATGATATGATGATCAAACTCTGGAGCGGTGTCTCCGGCTTTAATCCAAAAAGGGGCAGTCCCACTAACTGCGCCAGCCACAAGTTCATCTCGATGGAACCAATCTTGCCCTCGGCCGCATTTGAGGACAGAACGTGCTGAGTTAATCGCATTAACTTTTCCATTTCTCAAATGGTATCCTTACCCGACACACACTGCCTTAAATACATATGCTCTTTAGACGATTGCGTGAATTACCTGCCAGCCTACCATTAAATAAGTTATAATTTAAAGTGTTTGACAACCTAATTATTAGTAATCATTCCAGCTAGCTGATAGATTGATTGGCGGTTTTGTTGTCACGCCATAAATAATTGCCTATTAGGCAAGTGTGAACCATTTACCAACCCCCTTGGGACTCCAAATTGAAACTAACTATTGACTACTGCCATATTCGATATATTTCAGTTTTCATATGTACCTTCTTTCTTACAAAATTAACGCCTGCATCTCCCTTCGCAAACTTCCCGAGTGCAAAAGCGATTGTCGTTGTCACCACATCCGCGATAGGACATTGGATAAGAATGAATTCCATTTTGAATAGACTTGTTAACTTGAACTGATTTTTAAGTAAGAAGCAGATACAAACCTCGACCTGATCATTCATAAAAAGACAGCTGTTCCAAAAATAAAACTGGTTGAATTGTTCGTGTTTGAATGGACATCGAAAATTTTCCATTATCCACAACATGCGCACAACTGTTTTCAATAAAATTCTAAATATATCACGCACGAAAGGTATGTAATGAATAGATACATGTCTTTTGTCACTGTTTTATACAGTGATACCGACGGTATGCTGTCTGCCCGTCTGTATGAACGTAACTCTTTTCGACACCCTTAGAGATAGACACTTGAAAACAGGAAAGTGATAAGTCCACTAAGAGGCCAAGAAATTGATAAAATGAATCATTGCAATTCGAAAACCCCCATATCTTCCACAATGTAGATTCACCAAGGTATAGTCCTAGTAATACCCTTAAAAATCCTGAAAACAAATTTTGAATCCCGCGCACTCGCTGCCCTATAAACGATACAAGCCTATATCTTCCGCAATTTAGGAGCTATTCTTAGCAAACGTGGAAGGAAGATTACTAGGAACCTTCTCTATGATTTTGTTCAGTATAGCATACAAAGGTCTATATTATATATATGTCATTTAGTGAAATCAATCTCACTGCGGACACACTAAATAACATGATTACTTTTTAATTCACAAATCATTTTATTTATTTCAATATTCATGTCTTTATTTCCTAAATGGAACCCCGCACCTCCTGGAGCAATCTCCCTGAGTGCAATAGCGATTATTATTGCCACCGCATCCGCGATACGACATTCTCCTGCACACCCCGCTACCCCTGTCGTAAAACCACATGTTGTTATTTGCATTCCTAAAGCAGGAGAAATTGCGCGTATCTCCATCATTTCTGGTATTAATGCAAATTGACTCCGCAACTGTAGAGTAATAAAAGGTATTATTTATAGATGAGGATGGAGGACTATATGGTTACTTACTTCGAACAGCACCAGGACACTGTGCCTGAGTCTGGGCCACATAAAGCGCCAGGCAAGCGAGGATTAGAATAAGTTTCATTTTGAAAAACTTTGTTAAGCTTGTGAAGTTTGAACTGTTTTAAACAGAAATTGTGAACGCTTATATAGGTAAACAATTCATTTATAAAACGACAATTGTACCAGAAATAAAAAGGATTGAATGATGAATGGAATATGTTTACATTATGCACCTCACGTGCACAACTGTTCTGTATTCAACTTCATTTGTATCATTAATGAAAAGGTATTTAATAAATAATTATATTTACACCTGTCCTTTGTCATGCACTTTGAAAGACAGCGTAATATTTGCTAAATGAGCTCCATATTACATACATCTTAGTCAACCAATTATATTGTAGAATGAGTCCGCGATTGCTTATAACCCAACCTGTTTTCCTTCAAGCAAAACAATTGTTGATTAATTTCTATTAACTCCGTTGTAACATTATTTACGGGGACAATTAATTAAATCTTTATATTTCTATTCGACCAATTAATATTAATATTCTTATTAACATATCCGCTGTATACAAATTTCAAGAATTAACATTTTTTATACACTGATCTCACACAAAATATTCAAATACATAGAAATATATTTTTATCTGGCAAAAGTTAGTATTTATTATCCCATAAAGTATATATGGTATATATATATTTAGCTATGTCCGTCTGTATGCACAGATATGTATGCGAACCAGACACCTAAGTAATGGGATCAACCGCCATGATGTTCCGCTCAATGCTTTGGTTCCGATACGATTCCAATTCTGAATTTTAATCCCAATTTCCCAAGCCAAAATTGTCCGCTGGCATTTATGGGATACGGTTGCAACACACAAAGCAAGGACTGACAAACTGACAATTAAATGACACTTTTATATTTCAATTTGCATTCGATGTATTTCGATATTTATATGATTCTCCTTGCAATTTTAACGCCTGCAGTTCTGCATGCATAATTGATGATTGCAGTAGCGATTGTTGTTGCCACCACATCCACGATATATCATTGGCCTGCAGCTCCTGTCCCGAGAGTCGTAAAAATACATGTTATGATTTGCATTCCAATGGCAGTTCGAGCCCCTTTGGTGTCCTTCATCTCTGGAACCATGGCACCATAGCATATGACCTTTAGAGAAGCAAAGTGATATATACAGAAATATTTATAAATAATGAGAGGGATATTCTCAATTACTTACGTGGAACAGCACCGCGACACTGAGCACTAGCGTGGGCCACATAAAGCGCCAGGCAAGCGAGGATAAGAATGAATTTCATTTTTAATAAACTTGTTAAGCTCTGTAATCTTTAACACTGACTTTTAAGTGAAAATGCGAGCGCTTATAAAGCAGGTGGACAAGTCGAACAGATTATTTATAAAAGGACAGCTGTTCTAGAATACAAATGGTTTTTAAGATTCAATAAATGAGGTGCTAAATTATGAATAAAGATTCTCTATTATATTGTTCTGTATAACTGCTTAATAAAGCTCGATATGTTTGCGTTGTAGACTGCAAGAATATATATATTAAGCTAAGCGACCAGAAATATCTGTTGTTTTATTCTAAAGAATCAAGAACAACAGAAAGCGCTTGATGACTGTTTTATCTTTCTTTTGTTATTTATTATATTTAACAGCTGGGCTTAACTTATCTCCCAGTCAAGTTCTCTTTAACTGGAGCCTTTTCCTTGTGAAATCTTGTGCGCGTGGATATTATCAACAATCACACAAAAATTACTGTTTTAAAGTGCAACCTTGGAGCTATTGTTTGCGGCAGGCTGTGAAACCGATGTCCTTAATTCTCTAGCCATTATCGACAATTAAACTTATAAACCAAAGAAAATAACATCCACCCTATGCTGAGACGCTCCGAATCAGTAACAGAACGTCTGGTGTTATTGATAAAATATATTTAACTGGGAAAAAATCTTTATTCAACATTCAAATAAGTAACCCAATGATGTCGCAAATATACGCACTCATACTCATATACTCTGCACTCCAAACCGGATGGCCATATCTGCAATAAAATCGGTGACTTCGACAGAGTCAGCATCGAGTACATAAGTATTCATATTTTAGTGTTGAAGTTAACTTTGGGTAAGTCGGTTTATTTTTTATAACAAACGCTTAATTGGCGTTCCAGCTAGGAACCAATCTAACTCAACTTCCTCGAAAGGACAACGCGCAAGTGCCTCAATATAACCAGAGTGAGCAAAAAGCGTCTCAAAGACTTAAGCTGCGTATGCAACTAATAGTGATAAAAGTGTCTGATAAACAAAGAAGCCGCGTTTAACTTGATTCTGAATGATCTGATCTGAATGCTATTATTTGATTTCCGATTATTGAAACTATTATAAAGTCTTCTGTTATAGTTTTTACACTAACTTATCTATTTCAGCATAAATCTCGCATTCCTCAAATATGTGGGGATCTGTTCTGCTAATGCTGATAGTTATAAATTTTGTAGTATCCGATATACCAGAATGCGATTACTTTGATACAGTTGACTTAAGGGAATCCACAAGATACCCCAATGGATCATTTCAATACGAGAATCTGATAATTCCAGCCGAGCAAACTGGTGAATATGACTACGAAATTCTGGTGGATGGTGAAAAGGAGTCGGTGAAAAAGCACCTGCGAGGATGTGCCTGTAAACTGGGCGCCTGTGTGCGATTCTGTTGTCATAAAAATCTGTTTCTGGTTCAGGATCAACGCACCTGCAGCGGTGATATAAGCAGGGCAGTTGACTTTGATCCCTATGTGAGCATTACTCAAAGCGATGGCAAACAGGTGATTAAACATATTCTCGATGATTTTATCGTACAACGACATCTGCCCGTTCCTTGCGCGGCACATCACCATATGGATGCTGAGAATGATAAAAATCATAATTGGACACTGTTCGAGGTTTGACTGGAATTAATTATGAAGTGCGCAGGAAATATATAATATCTTCTGTTTTTTAGGATGGAACTTTACAACGTCACTCTGATAAAATAAATATGTCGAAGCAGGAATACTGCCTACAGCCTCATCCAATCAAGACTGGCGAAAATGAGACAATAATCACACTAGTGCCACACATGTGCGCGGTTACAGTTCCTAGTCAATGGCTCCAACATATACGTAAGCAAAAGAACGCTAGGATTTTATAAGGTTCAGTATTATTATTTTCTCCTGAAGCGAAATACAAGTTAATTTTGTTTAACTTTCCCTGCGAGATTTTTGTGGTTAGATGGAGTCGCTTTAAATATAATTATAATTAATTCACTGTAACTGGGGAGGTAATTTGTCTGTTAATGTGTTTGGCTAATGTGGTTAACTGTTGTCTAAAATCAATTTCAGTTAGAGTGCTCTCGATAATTTTTTTAATCCTTACAATTATCGTTTACCTTTCGCTGTCGAAACTGAGAAATCTACACGGATATTGTTTCATCTGCTATATGATTTGCATTGCTTTGGCATTTGCATTGCTACAAGTTGATTCTTGGGGAGATGATTGGACATTAGCGGGCTGTATGGTAAATGGTATGTATTACACAGTTTTTTCGTCAATATACTTACTAAGATCTATCCATCCAGGCTATGTGGGTTACTTTGCCGTAATGGCTGGCTTCCTTTGGCTGACTGTCATCAGCTATGATCTGTGGACCTGTTTTCGTAGCAACAACTACAACATTCAACGATATACGCCAAAATATCGCTTCTTAATATACAGTATATATGCATGGGGAGTTGCTGCTCTGCTAACGATCACTGTAATCGTACTCGACCAAGTCTTGGATGTTGATGATGAAGATCAAACGCTATGGAGGCCGGGAGTTGCCTTTTACAGTTGTTGGGTTAATAGTGAGTATAGCCATAAAGCTTATCTCCAGATATGAACTATTCAAGTATATATATATGTATATATAAATGCTTACAGCAATGGATTGGTCGGCGATGCTTTATTTCTACGGTCCAATGGCACTTCAGATCATTTTCAATTTAATAATGTTTACATTAACGGTAAGATAATTTAAATATTAACTTTCGGTCTGATTTGATGATGCCATCATAATATTCTCTGTTTTGTAGGCTCGTGGTATTCTTCGGGTGAAGAGAGAGCTTCAAAGCGTTGCAACAAAAAGCGAAAAATCGCAAAAATTTTATCAAAAAAAGTAATGCTTTAAGGAAACCAAAAAAAAAAAAGTCAAAATTTAAATATTCCATAAATATTCTCTTCACTCAGATACACTCTATTTGTCCGCCTATTTGTCATTATGGGCGTGGCCTGGACCTTCGAAATCCTCTCATATCTGTCGAAAATATTAGAGTATTCCGCGCTTGAGATAATCTTCGAAATCTTCGATTACATTAACTGTGCCCAAGGAATAATTATATTCGGAATGTTTGTTGTGAAGCGCAGAGTGTTGAAACTCATTTTAAGCCGGTAAGTGTCAGATAAGCCGAACTCCTTAATGTAAATATATGTTATTTGGGGTTCATCGTATTCCTCGTATATGGTAAAGCATTCGAGGCATATACTCAACAAAATATTTAATAAACCGCTTCTTTCAGATTTCATCAAGAGGACCGAAGGATACGACACACTGAAATGAGCTCATTTCGAACATATAAATTCAGCCGATCCCAAGTTCATCGAAACAGAAATTTTCCGAGCCTTAAGGAAACATATAAAGTTTTGCCGTTTTAGAAGCATCAAGATCTTAAGTTGACTTTCGGTTAACAAAGAAAATTCGTTTAAGAATCTTGTTTGTAACGACAAATTTAAATAATCGAAGCGTGCACTTTTTTATTAGTAATATTTAATGTCTTATGTGTATATTGTTTTTATAGTGAACTATTTCGATACACTCTATTATTTTAAGCTATTTTTATTAATTAATTTTAATCCTTACAAGCTTTAAGAGATGCTATTTTAAGTGGGTTGCTTGTCTTGTAGCAAAAAACAGACATTTTTCATATTTAGTTACACATATTTCCAGCAAACTAGTAGACCGCGAAAATAGTAAATTTACTGCGAATTATTCGAACAGTCGAAATGCAATGCTAATATAGTATATATAGTCGAGAGAGCTCGACTCGGAGGTACCCTAAACTAAGCTGTTAAATATTTTAATTATATTTATTTGCTCAATATGAAAATATATCAGAGTAAATGTTGTTATAGAATAAAATCATCAATCATGTGTCAATCACCTTTTTTTTTGCGATTTCTTAATTAAGTTCCTTTATTTGCTGAATTAATCTCACGCAAAAAAAAGAACAGCATAATTTAAAAAGCAGGCAGGCTACGAAAGAAAACTCAAATCCGCTCATATTTCGACATACGCTAAAAATCAAACTTTTAAAAGTCGAATTTTAAATGACTTTTATTTTACAATGTTAAATTATACGTAAAAGAAACGAAACATGAAGTTTATCACACTAGTACCACCCTTTGAAAAATAAAAAACATTGTGGCTGCATTACATCCTAGCAATTTATTGAAATATCAAACCTGTGTGCGTAGTTAATCGATTTATTTCACTATGCAGTATATATATATCCTTCCTTTAAATATTAACGTCTGCACCTAGTCTCGCATTCTGCTCGATTGCAATAGCGATTGCGACTGCCAGCACTTCCGCGATAAGAATGTTTCGTGCAGGTTCCGTCAGATTATTATTATTTATAAAAGTACAGCTGTTCTAGAATACAAATGGTTTTTAAGATTCAATAAATGAGGTGCTAAATTATGAATAAAGATTCTCTATTATATTGTTCTGTATAACTGCTTAATAAAGCTCGATATGTTTGCGTTGTAGACTGCAAGAATATATATATTAAGCTAAGCGACCAGAAATATCTGTTGTTTTATTCTAAAGAATCAAGAACAACAGAAAGCGCTTGATGACTGTTTTATCTTTCTTTTGTTATTTATTATATTTAACAGCTGGGCTTAACTTATCTCCCAGTCAAGTTCTCTTTAACTGGAGCCTTTTCCTTGTGAAATCTTGTGCGCGTGGATATTATCAACAATCACACAAAAATTACTGTTTTAAAGTGCAACCTTGGAGCTATTGTTTGCGGCAGGCTGTGAAACCGATGTCCTTAATTCTCTAGCCATTATCGACAATTAAACTTATAAACCAAAGAAAATAACATCCACCCTATGCTGAGACGCTCCGAATCAGTAACAGAACGTCTGGTGTTATTGATAAAATATATTTAGCTTGGGAAAAAACTCTTATTCACTATTCAAATGAGTAATCCAATGATGTCGCAAATATACGCACTCATACTCATATACTCTGCACTCCAAACCGGATGGCCATATCTGCAATAAAATCGGTGACTTCGACAGAGTCAGCATCGAGTACATAAGTATTCATATTTTAGTGTTGAAGTTAACTTTGGGTAAGTCGGTTTATTTTTTATAACAAACGCTTAATTGGCGTTCCAGCTAGGAACCAACCTAACTCAACTTCCTCGAAAGGACAACGCACAAGTGCCTCAATATAACCAGAGTGAGCAAAAAGCGTCTCAAAGACTTAAGCTGCGTATGCAACTAATAGTGATAAAAGTGTCTGATAAACAAAGAAGCCGCGTTTAACTTGATTCTGAATGATCTGATCTGAATGCTATTATTTGATTTCCGATTATTGAAACTATTATAAAGTCTTCTGTTATAGTTTTTACACTAACTTATCTATTTCAGCATAAATCTCGCATTCCTCAAATATGTGGGGATCTGTTCTGCTAATGCTGATAATTATAAATTTTGTAGTATCCGATATACCAGAATGCGATTACTTTGATACAGTTGACTTAAGGGAATCCACAAGATACCCCAATGGATCATTTCAATACGAGAATCTGATAATTCCAGCCGAGCAAACTGGTGAATATGACTACGAAATTCTGGTGGATGGTGAAAAGGAGTCGGTGAAAAAGCACCTGCGAGGATGTGCCTGTAAACTGGGCGCCTGTGTGCGATTCTGTTGTCATAAAAATCTGTTTCTGGTTCAGGATCAACGCACCTGCAGCGGTGATATAAGCAGGGCAGTTGACTTTGATCCCTATGTGAGCATTACTCAAAGCGATGGCAAACAGGTGATTAAACATATTCTCGATGATTTTATCGTACAACGACATCTGCCCGTTCCTTGCGCGGCACATCACCATATGGATGCTGAGAATGATAAAAATCATAATTGGACACTGTTCGAGGTTTGACTGGAATTAATTATGAAGTGCGCAGGAAATATATAATATCTTCTGTTTTTTAGGATGGAACTTTACAACGTCACTCTGATAAAATAAATATGTCGAAGCAGGAATACTGCCTACAGCCTCATCCAATCAAGACTGGCGAAAATGAGACAATAATCACACTAGTGCCACACATTTGCGCGGTTACAGTTCCTAGTCAATGGCTCCAACATATACGTAAGCAAAAGAACCCTAGGATTTTATAAGGTTCAGTATTATTATTTTCTCCTGAAGCGAAATAGGAGTTAATTTTGTTTAACTTTCCCTGCGAGATTTTTGTGGTTAGATGGAGTCGCTTTAAATATAATTATAATTAATTCACTGTAACTGGGGAGGTAATTTGTATGTTAAAGTGTTTGGCTAATGTGGTTAACTGTTGTCTAAAATCAATTTCAGTTAGAGTGCTCTCGATAATTTTTTTAATCCTTACAATTATCGTTTACCTTTCGCTGTCGAAACTGAGAAATCTACACGGATATTGTTTCATCTGCTATATGATTTGCATTGCTTTGGCATTTGCATTGCTACAAGTTGATTCTTGGGGAGATGATTGGACATTAGCGGGCTGTATGGTAAATGGTATGTATTACACAGTTTTTTCGTCAATATACTTACTAAGATCTATCCATCCAGGCTATGTGGGTTACTTTGCCGTAATGGCTGGCTTCCTTTGGCTGACTGTCATCAGCTATGATCTGTGGACCTGTTTTCGTGACAACAACTACAACATTCAACGATATACGCCAAAATATCGCTTCTTAATATACAGTATATATGCATGGGGAGTTGCTGCTCTGCTAACGATCACTGTAATCGTACTCGACCAAGTCTTGGATGTTGATGATGAAGATCAAACGCTATGGAGGCCGGGAGTTGCCTTTTACAGTTGTTGGGTTAATAGTGAGTATAGCCATAAAGCTTATCTCCAGATATGAACTATTCAAGTATATATATATGTATATATAAATGCTTACAGCAATGGATTGGTCGGCGATGCTTTATTTCTACGGTCCAATGGCACTTCAGATCATTTTCAATTTAATAATGTTTACATTAACGGTAAGATAATTTAAATATTAACTTTCGGTCTGATTTGATGATGCCATCATAATATTCTCTCTTTTATAGGCTCGTGGTATTCTTCGGGTGAAGAGAGAGCTTCACAGCGTTGCAACAAAAAGCGAAAAATCGCAAAAATTTGATCAACAAACGTAATGCTTTAAGGAAACCAAAAAAAAGTCAACATTTAAATATTCCATAAATATTATCTTCACTCAGATACACTCTATTTGTGCGCCTATTTGTCATTATGGGCGTGGCCTGGACTTTCGAAATCTTCTCATATCTTGCGGCAAGATTGGAGTGGTCTCCGCTTGAGAAAATTTTCGAAATCTTCGATTGCATTAACTGTGCCCAAGGAATAATTATATTCGGAATGTTTGTTGTGAAGCGCAGAGTGTTGAAACTCATTTTAAGCCGGTAAGTGTCAGATAAGCCGAACTCCTTAATGTAAATATATGTTATTTGGGGTTCATCGTATTCATCGTATATGCTAAAGCATTCGAGGCATATACTCAACAAATGATGACAACTCTTCAGATGAAGAAGAACTTGAATTCCAAGAATGGGATGGTGCCCAAAAGTTCGGACCAACTATCTTGTTTTAGGTAATCTCAGTCAATTCATGATTCTGCTGTGTATTTAAAATTTCTGTAAAGGTTAATTACAAAGTTTCTGCTTTAACTTACTATATTCTTGACTCGTTCTAGTTTTTAATTCCTGTTTTAGTTGTGTTATCCATAATAACTTGACTAACAATGCTAAAACACTATTATAGTTAACTAACTATGAAAATTCCGCATTATATTTCAATATATTTAATAAACCGCTTCTTTCAGATTTCATCAAGAGGACCGAAGGATACGACACACTGAAATGAGCTCATTTCGAACATATAAATTCAGCCGATCCCAAGTTCATCGAAGCAGACATTTTCCGAGCCTTAAGGAAACAGATAAAGTTTTGCCGTTTTAGAAGCATCAAGATCTTAAGTAGACTTTCGGTTAACAAAGAAAATTCGTTTAAGAATCTTGTTTGTAACGACAAATTTAAATAATCGAAGCGTGCACTTTTTTATTAGTAATATTTAATGTCTTATGTGTATATTGTTTTTATAGTGAACTATTTCGATACACTCTATTATTTTAAGCTATTTTTATTAATTAATTTTAATACTTACAAGTTTTAAGAGATGCTATTTTAAGTGGGTTGCTTGTCTTGTAGCAAAAAACAGACATGTTTTCATATTTAGTCACACATATTTCCAGCAAACTAGTAGACCGCGAAAATAGTAAATTTATTGCGAATTATTCGAACAGTCGTAATGCAATGCTAATATAGTATATATAGTCGAGAGAGCTCGACTCAGAGGTACCCTAAACTAAGCTGTTAAATATTTTAATTATATTTATTTGCTCAATATGAAAATATATCAGAGTAAATGTTGTTATAGAATAAAATCATCAATCATGAGTCTATCACCTGCCTGCCATCCCTTAGAGTAATGCTCACATAGGGATCAAAGTCAACTGCCTCGCTTATATCATCTCTGCAGGTGCGTTGATCCTGAACCAGAAACAGATTCTTATGACAGCCGAATCGCACACAGGCGCCCAGTTTACAGGCACATCCTCACAGATGCTTTTTCACCGGCTCCTTTTTACCATCCACCAGAATTTCATAGTCATATTCACCAGTTTGCTCGGCTGGAATTATCATACTAAGTTGATTCTTTGGCTAAATCTAAATTTAAGAAAATTTTTTTTTGCGATTTCTTAAGCACATCCGCGATAAGAATGTTTCTTGCAGGTTCCGTCAGTAAAGTCGTACCAAAACATTGAATTTGCTATACAGCCACTATATATATATATATGTATACCACCAATAAATCAAAATAACCATTTAAGTTCTTATGCACACTCAATCAATTTATTTCAATATTCAAATGGGCTTTCTTTCAATTATGCAGCAGGTTCAGGAGCAGCAGTGGTAGGAGCAGCAGTCGTAGGAGCAGCAGTAGTAGGAGCTGTACGCCTGCACCTCCTCTCGCATTCCGCCCGAGTGCAATAGCGATTGTTGTTGCCACCACATCCGCGATAGTTCATTGTCTTGCAGGTGCTGTCAGTAGTGTCGTACCACCACATGTTTCGATTTGCATTCCTTGCGCAATTGCGACCTCGGGCAGTTCCCTCATTGCGACCACCAGTGCAAGCTTTCCTGTTTGCTGTAGAGAAACAAAAGAGTTAGTTTTTGTATTATTTTTAGATAAATGAGGATAATCACCCGATTACTTACCCGGAAGACGACCGCGACACCGCTGAGCATGAATGTGGGCCACAAAAAGCGCCAGACAAGCGAGAATTAGAATGAATTTCATGTTGAATAAGCTTGTTAAACTCTGTGAAGTTTGAACTGATTTCCAACTGAAAATGCGAGTGCTTTTATAGCAGATAGATAGTCGACAGCTGTTCCAGAATACAATCGGCATTTAAAATTAATTGAATGAGGTGGTGAATGATGAATAAAGGTTTTGTTATATCACGTTCGTTTTATTTGTTTAATAAAGGTCGATAAATGTGGCATTATGGAACACACGTGTGCAACTGCGCACGCAGCTTTTCACAAAGAAATACAAGTCTTTGTTTTTTTAATAGTAACTTGCAAATGTATATACACATATATGCATCATATATGTATCGCAATCATTCGACATATTGTGTTTTTGAGAAGCATTTAAATTTTTGAATAAAACATATGTTATAAAAATGTTGTACATCATGAAATTGCTTTAAAAAAAGGATGTTAAATGGGCTTACGAACGCTGGCAACATTGTCGAAGATTCGACAGTTGTGCTGCCAGAGACGTGCAATCACATGCCAGATCTCTATAGATTAATTACACTGTATTATTTTGTACATATGTATTAATAGATATTCATGTTTTTGATATATTTGTGCAGTATTGAGTGTTAGTGGACCTCAGCTGTTTTAATGGGTTCCTTAGCAGATTAACTAGAAGTCCAGTCTAATACTAAGCAAATTGGTAAGGTACTTGTTCGGAGTTTAGAGCCTACAACACTCTTCAGCCCATAAAGTTGCATAAAATCCATTAATCTCCCTCTGAGCTATCCATTACCGCAATCGTTGACTTCTAATTTTAATTTAATACCATTGTTCTGCAGGTCCTGCCATTATTTGCACCCATTACGCACCTCCGACCGGACGAAGTTCCCTCATCTCGCCAGCGCAACTTGCCACTACAACTATGAAATCAAAGATAAGTTGTAGTTGTATTTATATATAAACTTCGTAAGGTTTGAACTGATTTTGAACTGAAAATCTGAGCGCTGATATAGGAGATGGATAATTCAAACAGAACCATATAAACACAGCTGTTCCAAAATTAAAACATGAACTAAAACTAAATAAATGAGGTGATAAATTATAATAAAAGGTTCAGCAATATCAAGCTCGCCTAACTGTTTAATAAAGGTCGGTATTTTTGCATTATGCGTAACTGAATATCACAAAAGTTGAAAAAGAATTTTAATTGTATTACAGATAGAAATATAAAGAAATTGTTTTTAAATTGTTGGACTAAAAATACTTTGAAAACATTCACAGGGTTCAAAACATATCCTTAGTATATGGGAGAAAACTGGGAAAACAATTTGATTGCCATTACAAATGAAGTTGCTACACTGGCTAAATTGCCCTTAAGAAAAATGAGACGCCGCACTTTTAGGAAGAGAAAAAAGAGAAAAGAAAAGGGCGGAGAAAAGAGTCACTAACTCGGCCAAATCCTTACAAATTTGAACCTACTCTATCGAATAAAATTTAACGATTATGAGGTCATCTAAGATTCAAAATGTTAAGTAGACATTTTTAAGCGACTTCGATTTTTCCATGATAAAAGCTTAACAAAATACTACATTTGTGAGACAACCCCGAACATTTTAAGAAACTTACAGGGGTTGTATTATATCGGAGCAATTAATAAAAATAACAATATAAATTCCTTTCCACAATCACTCGATTTATTTCAATATTCAAATGGGCTTTCTTTCAATTATGCAGGGGGAGCAGCAGTAGGAGCAGCAGTAGTAGGAGCAGCAGTAGTAGGAGCAGCAGTAACAGGAGCAGCAGTAATAGGAGCAGCAGTAGTAGGAGCAGCAGTAGTAGGAGCAGCAGTAGTTGGAGCAGCAGTAGTAGGAGCAGCAGTAGTAGGAGCTCTACGCCTGCACCTCCTCTCGCATTCCGCCCGAGTGCAATAGCGATTGTTGTTGCCACCACATCCGCGATAGCTCATTCTCTTGCAGGTTCTGTCAGTAGTGTCGTACCACCACATGTTTCGATTTGCATTCCTTGCGCAATTGCGACCTCTGCAATGTCCTACATTTCGACCACCAGTGCAAGCTTTCCTGTTTGCTGTAGAGAAACAAAAGAGTTAGTTTGAGTATTATTTAAAAAAATTGGGATAATCTCCCGATTACTTACGTGCAAGACGTCCGCGACACCGCTGAGCATGAATGTGGGCCACAAAAAGCGCCAGACAAGCGAGGATAAGAATGAATTTCATGTTGAATAAGCTTGTTAAACTCTGTGAAGTTTGAACTGAATTCCAACTGAAAATGCGAGTGCTTTTATAGCAGATAAATAGTCGACCAGATCATTCAGAAAACGACAGCTGTTCCAGAATACAATCGGGATACAAAATGAAATAAAGGAAATTTTTATTAAGGTTCTGTTGTATCACGTTTGCTTAATTGCCATGATGTAATACACGTGCGCAACTGCGTAACTGAATAACTGAATATCACAAAAGTTGGAAAACATTTTTTAAATGTATTACAGATGGAAATATAAATAAATTGTTTTTAATTGTTTAACTAAAAATACAACATACTCGTACTTCCGAGATGAATTGAATTTTGAGGAAAATCAAAGGGTTCAATACATACCCTTAGTATATGGGAGAAAACTGGGAAAACAATTTGATTGCCATTACAAATGAAGTTGCTACACTGGCTAAATTGCCCTTAAGAAAATTGAGTAGACACACCTTAGGAGTATAAGCATGGAGAAAAGTCTCTAGCTCTGCCAAATCTTTACAGATTTGAATCTTCTCTATCGAATGGCATTTTACGATTATGGAGTCATCTAAGAACCAATTTGTTAATTGGTGATTTAAAGTGACTTCTGTATTCCCATGATAACAAAATAACAACGTACTAAATATGTGAGTCAAACCCCAACATTTTAAAATACTTACAGGGGTTGTATTATATCGGAGCAATTAATAAAAATAACAATATAAATTCCTTTCCACAATCACTCGATTTATTTCAATATTCAAATGGGCTTTCTTTCAATTATGCAGGGGGAGCAGCAGTAGGAGCAGCAGTAGTAGGAGCAGCAGTAACAGGAGCAGCAGTAATAGGAGCAGCAGTAGTAGGAACATCAGTAGTAGGATCAGCAGTAGTAGGAGCAGCAGTAGTTGGAGCAGCAGTAGTAGTAGCTCTACGCCTGCACCTCCTCTCGCATTCCGCCCGAGTGCAATAGCGATTGTTGTTGCCACCACATCCGCGATAGTTCATTCTTTTGCAGGTGCTGTCAGTAGTATCGTACCACCACATGTTTCGATTTGCATTCCTTGCGCAATTGCGACCTCTGCCAATTCCCTCATTTCGACCACCAGTGCAAGCTTTCCTGTTTGCTGTAGAGAAACAAAAGAGTTAGTTGTAGATGGGGATAATCTCCCGATTACTTACGTGCAAGACGTCCGCGACACCGCTGAGCATGAATGTGGGCCACAAAAAGCGCCAGACAAGCGAGGATAAGAATGAATTTCATGTTGAATAAGCTTGTTAAACTCTGTGAAGTTTGAACTGAATTCCAACTGAAAATGCGAGTGCTTTTATATCAGATAAATAGTCGACAGCTGTTCCAGAATACAATCGGCATTTAAAATTAATTGAATGAGGTGGTGAATGATGAATAAAGGTTTTGTTATATCACGTTCGTTTTATTTGTTTAATAAAGGTTGATAAATGTGGCATTATGGAACACACGTGTGCAACTGCGCACGCAGCTTTTCACAAAGAAATACAAGTCAATGTTTTTTTAATAGTAACTTGCAAATGTATACACACATATATGCATCATATATGTATCGCAATCATTCGACATATTGTGTTTTTGAGAAGCATTTAAATTTTTGAATAAAACATATGTTATAAAAATGTTGTACATCATGAAATTGCTTTAAAAAAAGGATGTTAAATGGGCTTACGAACGCTGGCAACATTGTCGAAGATTCGACAGTTGTGCTGCCAGAGACGTGCAATCACATGCCAGTTGCGCTGCCAGATCTCTATAGATTAATTACACTGTATTATTTTGTACATATGTATTAATAGATATTCATGTTTTTGATATATTTGTGCAGTATTGAGTGTTAGTGGACCTCAGCTGTTTTAATGGGTTCCTTAGCAGATTAACTAGAAGTCCAGTCTAATACTAAGCAAATTGGTAAGGTACTTGTTCGGAGTTTAGAGCCTACAACACTCTTCAGCCCATAAAGTTGCATAAAATCCATTAATCTCCCCCTGAGCTATGCATTACCGCAATTGTTGACTTCTAATTTTAATTTAATAATTTTTTTCTTTTACCCGTATTAAAAATGCAACCGCTGCTGTTATTATTTAATACATCGAAATTGAGTATTCAGACTTTGAGAACAACCTTGCCAGTTGTCAGTTTCTCTCTGGCTACAGCAGTGTCGCTAAAATTTAAATACGCACTTCATCGCTCGGCATTAAATACAATAAACATATGGCAAAATTGTCAACGTGTGAAAGCAGGCTTTCACAAATGAAAAAAGCATATTTGTTCTCAACTTTCAGGATGATCGAAATTTATGAATGCCGGAAAGTCAGTCAAATATAAAGCATAATTAGGGGCTGATTAATAAATTTACATTTAATATAAAATTTAAAGAATTTTAAATTTTAATACATATTCGTAGCCTAAGCAATAAAATCTACTTAGTCTCCGAAAATAACAAAGGCTATAAATAAATCTGGTGCAACAATTCCTTTGAAATTTCTTAGCCAATTTGCCGAATTGGCAATGTCATCTCTTATCCAAAAGAAATAAGATCCGATATAATTTTAGGTCGCTCCAACACGGCCAAATCGTTGCTAGTTTGGTTATGCTTTATCGAATTGTATTAGACTATTATAAGGTAAAAGATAAAAGATAAAATTAGAAATATTATACTTTACGTGATTGTTATTATTATAAATAACTACATTTGCCTATGTACACCGCAGCTTGTCTTGCATTCCCGTTTTGTAGTCTTAATCGGTTCTTGCCTGCGAGCAACGGTAATTGTAAGTTCCTTATGATCAAGACCTTCTTCGATGGTATGTTAACTACTTTCATGTAGTTTGAGTCAGTCGCTTTTGGTCGCTTGAATCGCGTGGTATAAATTGGATGAAGTGGCCATATTTTCTGTATTAAATACAAAGCTCTGAATAAATATAAGCCCCAAGTTATAATAGGTTATGGGCCCAGAACAAGGAAAATTTAGCTCGTAGAAAATACAGTGCATTGTTCTAAGAATTACTTGTAGAAGGTGAATGAGCATTCTGGACTTTCTTGGACAAGTGTCATAACTGTGTGGTTAAAGAAAATGAATACCTCGATGAGTTCGATTGAGAAGTTGGATGACCAGAATTATAGTGCGTGGGTCGTTAAAATTAAAAGCGTACTCATGTATTCAGAGCTATGTCAGTATGTGTGCGGTCGTGTCGTGACAAACGAAAATGAAGTGCTGAGCAAATAATGTAAAGAATTGCCAACAACATCAGCAAGTGCCGTCGCTAAAAATCAAGTTACTCGAAGGGAGTGAACGGCGTAGAGCAGACGGACAGACAGAGTCAAGCGGAGAGGCAAAAATGGCCTCGATGCGTATAAACAATCAAGCAAACAGAAATACAGACGAAAGTAACGGTAATGTGAATCGTAGAAGTGCGCAGCAGAAAAAGGAAACACAGGCCGGCTGCTGGACATGTGGTCGTCGTGGCCACATTGCTCCAAATTGTCGCGCAAAAGACAGCTCCGAAAAGAGCAAGGCAAGAGAAATAAGGAGAGTAAGAAATCGTACTCAGTGTTTACAAGTTGTGTTGGCTATGCAAAGAACACGTGGTGTCTAGACAGTGTAACGATAGATATGTAACGATAGCTCTTGCTTTATAGAATTGAGAGAGCACAAAGGGAAAATTATTTTAGCTGGAATTAATTAAATACAGGCATATGAGCGTGGAAAAACACGCTTAAAGTGGAAAAATAACACTATTGATTTGACCGATACATTATATGTGAAAGACCTTCAATGTAACTTTGTGTCCGTATCGAAAGTAGTCCAAAATGGATTCAGCGTCCGCGTGAAGCGGAAATATTTTCTGTATTAAGGACAAAGCTCTCAATAATTATAAACCCCAAGTTATAATAGTTATTTCGTAAATATAAAAGATTAACATCATATAATATTTTGTACCAATTAATTATAATAACTCTTTTAATTCTTATGAGTTGTCATTCGATTTATTTCAGTATTCATTTGTCCCTCCTTAAATATGCATTCGATTTATTTATTTAAATGACCTTCCTTTAAATATTAACGTCTGCACCTAGCCTCGCAGTCCTGCCGAGTGCAATAGCGATTGCGATTGCCACCACATCCCCGATAGGACATTGTCTTGCAGGTTCTGTCACTACCATCGTACCACCACATGTTTGGATTTGCATTCGTTTCGCAATCGCGACGAAAGCTAATTCCTTCATCTCGACCTCCAATGCAAAATTGCGCGTTTGCTGTAACAAAGAAACGAAAGAGTTAGTTGTATTTTTAGATAACTACGGAAAAGCTCTCGATTACTTACTCGGAAGACGACCGCGACACCGCTGAGCATGAATGTGGGCCACAAAAAGCGCCAGACAAGCGAGGATTAGAATAAATTTCATGTTGAATAAGCTTGTTAAACTCTGTGAAATTTTAACTGATTTCCAACTGAAAATGCGAGTGCTTTTATAGCAGATAGATAGTCGACAGCTGTTCCAGAATACAATCGGCTTTTAAAATTAAATAAACAAGGTAGTGAATGATGAATAAAGGTTTTGTTCGCTTAATTGTTTAATAAAAGTCGATAAATGTGGCATTATGGTACACACGTGTGCAACTGCGTATGCAGCTTTTCACACATACACATCACGTATATGACCCTTTTTATAGACTTGCACAGGGTATAATAATATTATTCTGAAGCATTTAACTTATTGAAGGACATATACCCAACCCTCGAGGTATATACATTTAAATATTATTCGAGCTTCTTAATTTTAGAATAAAAATCACTTATATAAATAAATAGATGTACACATTACCCACAAATTGTTAAGCTTAGTTTACAGGTTACTGAATAGCACAAAAGTTGCAAATAAATAATAAATGTATAACTTATGAAAAGAAATATACATAAATTGTTTCCAATTGGCTTAGTAAAGCACTGCGGGATGAATTGAGTCTTTGGCATTTAAATCAAAAGTGATACGTATATGCATCATACTGAATACTAGACTCACTAGTAAAGTAAAACATTTTTCAAAGCTAAGCAATAATATCTCTCTCTCAGAAAATCAATAGGCTCAAAACATTCCCTTAGTATACGATAAAAAAAATAAAACCGGGACAAAAATTTGCTTGGCATTTCTGGTTTAATTGCCCTAAGCAAAAAAAAATACGATTTTATAGTACATAGGTGGATAAAAAGCCTTACAGATTTGAACCTAATCTATCGAATTAAATTTAACGGTGCTGAGATCATCTTAAAACCAAAATGTTAAGTAGTAAATTTTAAACGACTTTTATTTTTTCATGATAAAAGCGTAATATTTTAAAAAACTTACAGGGGTTGTATTATATTGGAGCAATTAATAAAAATAACAATCTAAATTCCTTTGTACAGTCACTCGATTTATTTCAATATTCAAATGGGATTTCTTTCAATTATGCAGGGGGAGCAGCAGTAGGAGCAGCAGTAGTAGGAGCAGCAGTAGTAGGAGCAGCAGTAGTAACAGCAGCAGTAAGCCTGCACCTCCTCTCGCATTCCGCACGAGTGCAATAGCGATTGTTGTTGCCACCACATCCGCGATACATCATTCTCTTGCAGGTCCTGTCACTACCATCGTACCACCACATATTTGGATTTGTAAACCTTTCGCAGCCGCGACCTGTGCGACCTTCATCTCGACCACCAATACAGACTTTCCTGTTTGCTGTAGAGAAACAAAAGCGTTAGTTTTGTATTTTTTATAGATAAATTGGGATAATCCCTCGATTACTTACGCAGAAGACGACCGCGACACTGTTGAGCCTGAGTGTGGGCCACAAAAAGCGCCAGACAAGCGAGAATGAGAATGAATTTCATGTTGAATAAGCTTGTTAAACTCAGTGAAGTTTGAACTGATTTCCAAATGAAATGCGACTGCTTATATAGCAGATAGATAAATAGGCCGTATCATTCATAAAATACAGCTGTTTCAGAATACAATCGGTATTTAACATTGAATACTGTGCTGAATTATGAACAAAGGCTCTTTTATATCACTTTCGCTTAACTGATCTTTAGAGTATGAAATATTTGCATTATTTGTAGACACGTATGCAACTGCGTTATCAACAAAGAAAGTTTCTGAAGGATTTTATTTCTATTTTGTATTTTTTCTTCAATGACAGTGGCAACTGCTACATCTTTATGAGCCGGAATAGATCTTGGGGCTAGCATATTTTTTAAGTATGGGACAAATAAGACCATACTTTAAAAAAGAATGCTAAATTCTCTAGTAAAACAATATTTAAGAACTGTTCAAAGCTTAAGACTGTTTATACGAAAGTAAAAACCTAGTTTCTGAAAATGAAAATGTTTAAAACACTCATTTTAGATAGTACATAAGACTGAGAGCACAATGCGAATAATTGTTTAAATTATTTTCAAGCTAAAATATATTCGGCATAATTTTAGGACGAAGTCCGGATGTGAACATGATCTATAGTACTGCATCTAAAACTCAAACGTTAATTTGTAACTTCTAAGGAACAATTATTTTGCAATAATAAAAATACTAGCAAAAATTAAATTTGACAGAATGACAAATTCTTGTTTACAAAACCAAGTATATCCTTTCAGTTAATCAAAACATCTACTTAAATTATTATGCACAGTAATTCGATTTATTTCAATATTCATATATCCGTCCTTTAATTATTAACGTAAGCACCTCGTCCGGCATTGCTCCCGAGTGCAAAAGCGATTGCGGTTGCCACCACATCCGCGAAAGTTCAGTACCCTGCAGGTCCTGTCACTACTATCGTACCACCACATGTTTGGATTTCTATTAAGTCCGCAATGGGGAAGAAAGGTATTTCCTTCATCTCGAGGTCCAACGCAAACTCTCAAGGGTGCTGTATAAAAACGAATGGGTTACCAGCATAGTTATATAAATACGGAAAAGCTGCCGATTACTTACGCGTAACACTACCGCGGCAGTTTTGGGCCTGAGTGTGGGCCACGAAAAGCGCCAGACAAGCGAGGATAAGAATGAATTTCATGTTGAATAAGCTTGTTAAACTCTGTGAAGTTTGAACTGATTTCCAACTGAAAATTCGAGTGCTTTTATAGCAGATAGATAAATAGGCCGTATCATTCATACAAATACAGCTGTTTCAGAATACAATCGGTATTTAAAATTGAATACTGTGCTGAATTATGAACAAAGGTTCTTTTATAACACTTTCGCTTAACTGATCTTTAAAGGATGATATATTTGCATTATTTGTACTCACGTATGCAAATGCGTTATCAACAAAGAACGTTTCTGAATGATTTTATTTCTTTTTTGTTTTTTTTTTTTATGACAATGACAACTGATACATCTTTCTGAGCTGGAATCGATCTTTTGGTTAGCATATTTTTTAAATATGGGACTATAAAAAACGAAAATTTAAGAATGATTGCAAAATTCTCTCAATTTTTTTTTATATATGGGACAAATAAAACCAGACTTTGAAAGCTAATACAAAATTCCCAAGTAAATCAATATTTAGGATATGTACAAGTTTAAAGCATGTTTATAGGAAAGTAAAGAACTAGTTTCTGAAAATGAAAATGCTTAAAACATACTTTTGGTATGAAACAAAAGACTGGGAGAACAACTCGATTGCAATTTCTGAACTACACTGCTACATTGTCTCAATTATTGTCAAGTTAAAATACGTTTGGAATGATTTTAGGAACACACAGGCTACGAAAAATACACTGTAACTCGGCCATGTGCGTACAAATTTCGACATGATCTATCCTACTGCTGTCAGCGAATATGGGGTCATCATAATCAACTTTTCATTACAGAACTGTGTATATCCTTTTTATTAATTAAAACAACAATTGAAATTCTTATGTACAGTCATTCGATTTATTTCAATATTCATATATCCGTCCTTTAATTAGCTCTGCACCTCCTCACGCATTGCTCCCGAGTGCAGTAGCGATTGCGGTTGCCACCACATCCGCGAAAGTTCAGTGGCTTGCAGGTCCTGTCACTACCATCGTACCACCACATGTTTGGATTTCCACGACCTGCGCAATGGGGAACAAAGGTTGTTCCTTCATTTCGAGGTCCAACGCAAGTTCTCCTGAATGCTGTATAAAAACGAAAGGGTTACCAGCATTTTTATATAAATACGGAAAAGCTCCCGATTACTTACCCACAACCATACCGAGGCAGTTTTGGGCCTGAGTGTGGGCCACGAAAAGCGCCAGACAAGCGAGGATAAGAATGAATTTCATGTTGAATAAACTTGTTAAACTCTGTGAAGTTTGACCTGATTTCCAACTGAAAATGCGAGTGCTTTTATAGCAGATAGATAGTCGACGAGATCATTCATAAAACGACAGCTGTTTCAGAATACAATCAGTATTTAAAATTGAATACTGTGGTGAATTATGAAGAAAGGCTCTTTTATATAAATTTAGCTTAACTGATCTTTAAAGGATGATATATTTGCATTATTTGTACACACGTAGGCAAGTGCGTTATCAACAAAGAAAGTTCCTGAACGTTTTTATTTCTATTTCTATTTTGTTTTTTTTTTTTTTCAATGACAGTGGCAACTGCTACATCTTTATGAGCCGGAATCGATCTTTTGGTTAGCATATTTTTTAAATATGGGACTATAAAAAACGAAAATTCAAGAATGATTGCAAAATTCTCCGCTTTTTTTTTTAATATGGGACAAATAAAACCAGACTTTGAAAGCTAATACTAAGTAAATTAATATTTAGGATTTGTACAAGTTTAAAGCAAGTTTATAGGAAAGTAAAGAACTAGTTTCTGAAAATGAAAATGCTTAAAACATACTTTTGGTATGAAACAAAAGACTGGGAGAACAACTCGATTGCAATTTCTGAACTACACTGCTACATTGTCTCAATTATTGTCAAGTTAAAATACGTTTGGAATGATTTTAGGAACACACAGGCTACGAAAAATACACTGTAACTCGGTCAAGTCAGATTTGGAAATGATCTATCCTACTGCTGTCAGCGAATATGTTGTCATCATAATCAACTTTTAATTACAGAACTGTGTATATCCTTTCAATTAATTAAAACAACAATTGAAATTATTATCCACAGTCATTCGATTTATTTCAATATTCATATGTCCGTCCTTTAATGATTAACGTCTGCACCTCGTCTCGCATTCCGCCCGAGTGCAATAGCGATTGTTGTTGCCACCACATCCGCGATAGGCCATCAACTTACAGGTCCTGTCAGTACTATCGTAAAACCACATGAGTGGATTTGCTCTACTTGCGCAACCAGTACCTGTGCGACCTTGATTTCGACCACCAGCGCAACCTTTATCGTTTTCTATATAGAAACAAAAGGTTAGTTGTAGTATTATTGATGGGGAGGAGTCCCCGATTATTTACCTGCAAGACGACCCCGGCAGTTTTGGGCCTGAGTGTGGGCCACAAAAAGCGCCAGACAAGCGAGGAAAAGAATGAATTTCATTTTGAATAAACTTGTTAAGCTCTGTGAAGCTTGAACTGATTTTAATCTGAAAATGTCATCGCTTATATAGCTGATTGATAAGTAAATCAGAACAATTAAAGACTTAACGAATTAAAGACATCTGTTTCTGAATTAAGAGGGCATTTAAAAATAAATAAATGAGGTGCTGAGTTATGAAATGAGAGCTTCTGCTGCATCACGTACGCTTAATTGTTGAATGAAGGTCGATATGAATGGAAATTTCAACAAGTTTGTATAAGTTTAGAATGTATTTTTTTGTTGTTCGATATACATATTTACAATAACAAACCCGGATCATAGACATATATGAATACGTACTTATGTGCATACATTGCCACGATGTTCATAATCGGGACAAAAATAAAAAATGTTTAATCTTCGTGGCATGCCGAAGCTTTTAGAACCTTTTCAAACTATTTATGCAATATTTTTGTTTATAAAATATATAAAAGTTTTTAAGTTTTTAAATAGGTACGCTTGAAAAGATTTAACAAATTCTTGAACATAACTAACATTGGTATATGAAATTTTGGTATAAAAATATCTATAAACTAAACACATATTGTGTTTTTGTGTTCCTCATTTGTACAAAACGATATACCCCAAAAATGTTTGATACGCATATTTGTTCATACAATAAGCCAGCATTTCTAGGCAATTAGATCGCCAGCTGGCGCCGCAAGTGCCACCAATTCAGCCGGTTTGGGCTCCTTAACATTTGGTGCAAGCAGAAGGCTGCTTTTCACTTTGATCTTTGAGGACTCGCTTGGCGCCGTGTCGTGTTTGGCCTGATGAACCAGCAGCAGGCCGCGATTGATGCTGGAAAAGGTGCACGCATTGCATTTGTATATAATGCTGGACAGCTCCTGCTCCGGATGCATCTTCTGCAGGTGTATCTGTTCGATGCACAAAAGGTAATCATTAAATTGAGGATATAATGCATTCAGTAATTGGACTTGCCCGATAGGCGGTGCTTTGGATGGCCTTAAAATCGCAGTGTGGACACGCATAGCGTTTGGCCTCCCGATGTGTGGCCAGATGACGCCGGAAGGCATTGTGATCATTCGCTTCATGATCGCACTTTTCGCACTTGAATCGCTTGCTCTCCTGATGACTGCGCATGTGCAACTTGAGGCTGCTCTTCGAGCTAAAGACGCGCTGCAAACGCACAAAAGTACAGTAATAATTAAAATAATTGTAAATCTTAATTCAAGAATATCTAAGTTAAGAATTAAGAACTACAACCTCAACACGATGTATATTTATACATATATATTATAGAATATATTCTTGATCTTACCTGACAAGTGGTGCACTGTGGCTGCTCGTTGCGCTGCTTGCACAGATGCTCCCGCAGCGTTTTGCGATGCTTGAAGGCGGTACCGCAATCCTCGCAGCGATGCAGAATTGGTAACGCCATCTGCTCCTCGCTGATGCTTGGCTTGGCTGACATGCCCAGGCCCTGGGTGCGATGCAATCGTCGATGGTTCTTTAGCTGTTTGGTGTTCTTGAATCCCTTGCCGCATTGCTCGCACTTGTAGTTGCGCTCCTCGGAGTGGATCTTGGCATGGGTGTTCACCAGCCTGGAGTAAATTGGCGTCTTAAAGCTGCACAGCTGGCAGCAGTACAGTTCCATGTCGATCTCATGGGTGCGCCACAGATGGGTGTGCAGGCAATTCCAATTGCTGAACTGTGTAGATCGGCACTCGGGACAGATCATCGGCTGTGTGGAGCCGAGCGAGCCATTGTGACAACGTCCATGGTACTCCAAGGTGGTCGGTGACTTGAAGCGGAACATGCAACCCTCCACGGTGCATTTGCCACCCTCCAGCGACTGCACTGCGCTCTGTGCCGGTCGTCGTTTGGCCGTTTGACCTGCTTGCTTGGCACCATATGGACGACCACGCACCGAGGTGCCACCTGGCAGCGGCGCTGGCTCCACAGCAGTGGGCAGCAAATTGTTGGCCACATAAATGCGAGCGGGCTTCTCATCGGCGCCGCCAGCAGCAGCACCAGCAGCTGCCGCCTCTGCAGCGAGGGGCACCAGCGGCGGTACGGGTAGCCCGCACAAATTCTCTGCAGGCACAGCTGAGCTCCCCACCAGTTCCGGTGAGCCGGTGACCGGCACCAGAGGCGGCACAGCATCCGCTGTGGGCGTCTGCGATGCATAGAGTTGCGGAAAATCCTTAATCAGAATATCGTCGGCATTGTGTGGCAACTCCAGCTGTTCTGTAACATCGTGCTCCGTCTCTGTGGCTGTGTCTATGCCCGCTGGCACCGACTCCTCCATCCAGGGCCAGATTTCCAGATTCTCGGCCAAGTCATAGCTATCATCATAGCTCAATGGCGCTGATGGCGCCTGCTCGAAATCGACGAGAGTCGATTCCAGTGCGACAGCAGCAGCAGCAGCCGCAGCAGCAGCTGTGTCATTTAGTGGCAGCTGCTCCAGCTGCAGCGGCTCCCTATGGGGCACAATCAGATGCTCGACCTCGTTGCGATTCATCAGATTCAGTTCGTCGACGGTGCGCAGATGCAATGTGCCACGCTGTGGCGCCTTCAATATATCCACATTCTTGATGAAGATCTTTTGCTTCGACGATGTCGTCCTTGATAAATAGTTATCCAGCTCATCTTGTGGCAGTGCACCCAGCTCCGCCAGCTGCGCACTTATAAGTGACTGCTGTGATGGAGGCTCTACTGTTGCTTCCGTCGATACTGCTGCTCCAGCTGCTGCTGCTGTGACTGCTGATGATGGTGCTGGTGGTGGTGGTGGTGTTGTCTCCAGCTGCACACTGTGCTCGAAATCGACACCAAAATCCAAATCCAAGGCACTGAAATTGTTACTGCTGACACTGTTGCTGCTGGTGGTGCCAGCACCACTGAGCACAGCATCAAAATTGAACGACTCACCGCACATGTTGGCCAACGGAGCCAGAGCTGGCTCAAAGCCGGGCAGCGGACCCACCGGACCCGTAGGCGTTAGCAGCGTTTCGGCGGGAAACATCTCCACGGAACTTTCGATTGCCGTCGTGGTGGGTGCCTCGTTGAAACCCATGCCCGGCAGCAACATGGGCTCTTTTAGTATGTCCACATTGCGTATGTAGATCTTGGGCTGACGGGGTTTCTCCGGCTCCGATACGTCCACAACATGTACATCCAGCAAACTGTTGCCCATTAGCAGGCTTGGTAGTGGAGGCAACGACAACGGCAACTGTTGCTGCTGCTGCAGTTGCTCTCCGCCATTGGGCAGATGGAAATCAAAGGGCAGCAGCGCCGGCTCTCGCAGCACATCGACACTCTTTATGGATATCTTTTGCACGGCTGTCTTTTGGCTCATTGGCAAGATTTGCAGTTGCTGTTGCTGCTCCTCGTCAACATCATCGAGAAGGTCTAGTATATTGCCAGTGCTGCTATCTGGCGAGTTGGGCAACAGCGGCAGAAAGTCGGACAATGGATTGATTGCATCCTGCTCGCGATGCGGCTCCCTCAAGCAATCCACATTCTTGATAAAGATGCGACTTTTGGGCAGCGATTGGTGCTGCTGCTGCTGTGGTTTTCTGGCTCCTCTTTCGCTGGATTTGCCGGTCAGCTTGGCTATCTCCTGCGGCTCCAGCTGATGATCAGCGCTCAGATGCAACTGCAGCACATCGATGCTGTAGAAAACGTTCGCACAACCTTAAGAAAACATAAGCAGTTTGTTAATTATGCATAGATTCCTTTAAGATTGCTCACCTGGACACTGCAGGCGTCGCTGGGCATCGACGCCAAAGCAGCTGCTGATGTGCGTTTGGGCCTTCAGCTGGCAGAGACTGAGGAACGGGCAGCTGGGACACTTGTGCAGCGGCAGATCCGAGCAACCCTCGCTCGCGATTGTCTTTGTGGCTGTGGGCGGTGTGGGTGTGGCATTGATGCGTTCCTTAGCCGCCGCATCCGCCTGCTCTGATTTAATGAGTTCCGCCTCCGATTTGATTTCAGCTGTGCGTCGTCGGAATCCATTGCGATAGCTGCGACCCGGTTCGAGTTGCTGTTGCAAGTCTGTCGTATGGATCTGCACAAATGGAATGCAGGCGGTCTCCGTTACAACGCCCGTTGCAACCTTATGGGTCGCGACTGCTGCTACAGCTGCTGCTCCCGATATTGTCGACAGGGGAAGCGAGAGCAGGGCGGGATCATCGTCAAAGAGACCGGTGAAATTGCTATCGTGCTCCAGGGCATGGATAGGCGTCGATAGCGACAGCTCCGCATGCTGTAGCTGCAGCAAAACAACAACAACATCAGCATACACACACTCCAGCAGAAGTGGAGACAAGAAAGAGTGCTGCTCACCTGGCTGCCAACGTAGAAACTGGAGAAGGCCGCATCCGCCACATCGTTCATGTTGCAATGCATTTGGAATATTGTGTTTATTGTTGTTGCATTTCGTCTAACTTCGCATTACATTTTCGCTCGAGCGGAATCTGTGTGGCAAAAACTGATCTGATATCATATCAAAACATCTGATAACAACAACAACAACAACAATAACAACAACAACGGCAGCAGCAACAACAACAATAACAATTGAAGTGCATCGATAACACAGTCTATCGAAGTCGAGCACAGCAATTAGAAAAATACCACGCCACCGATAAGTAGTGCCACTATTAAAAATTGAAAAAAACAGGAGATTGAGCCAAATTCTTATAATTTCCATAAATAAATTCACAAAAAAAATACATACATTACTTGAACATTTTTAACATATGTAAGAACGGCAACAAAGGCTCTTTCTCAGATGACGTCGCGATTACCAGGGCTGCATCAAACCCAACTAACTATCGCGCACAAACGATAGTAGCCCGAACGACATCGATTACAAGCTTTATAAACGTTTGCATTTGACACATCGCTATCGGTAAACTTTGCAGAATATTTAGTAAGAGTTTTGTGTTTTAAAGTGTTATAAGAAAAGACAAAGTGACAAAATGCCGCGTATTATGATCAAAGGCGGCGTCTGGCGCAACACAGAGGTGGGTAATTAAAACTTTAATAACAATGTGCAACAAATTGAACGCATGGCTTCCACTATTTTTTGTAGGATGAAATTCTCAAAGCGGCTGTCATGAAATATGGCAAAAATCAATGGAGTCGCATTGCATCGCTGCTGCATCGCAAGTCGGCTAAGCAGTGCAAGGCACGCTGGTACGAATGGCTCGATCCGAGCATTAAGAAGACAGAATGGTCACGCGAGGAGGATGAGAAACTGCTGCATCTGGCCAAACTTATGCCGACGCAGTGGCGAACAATTGCCCCAATTATTGGACGCACTGCAGCACAATGCCTGGAACGCTATGAGTATTTGCTGTAAGTAGGAGATTTGCAGCATGTTTCTGGATATCTTTCAGCTGTTAATATATATTTCATACTGCTACTCCACAGCGATCAGGCACAGCGCAAGGAGGATGGCGAGGACACCATGGATGATCCGCGCAAGCTAAAGCCCGGCGAAATCGATCCCAATCCGGAGACAAAACCGGCACGACCCGATCCCAAAGACATGGACGAGGACGAACTGGAGATGCTGTCCGAGGCACGTGCCCGCCTCGCCAACACCCAAGGCAAGAAGGCCAAGCGCAAGGCGCGCGAGAAGCAACTGGAGGAGGCACGTCGCCTGGCTACGTTGCAGAAGCGACGCGAGTTGCGTGCGGCTGGCATTGGTAGTGGCAATCGGAAGCGCATCAAAGGCATCGACTACAACGCGGAGATCCCGTTTGAGAAACGGCCAGCTCCAGGTTTCTATGACACCGCCGAGGAGCATCTGCAGAAGCAGGATCCGGACTTTAATAAGATGCGGCAACAGGATCTTGATGGTGAGCTGCGCTCCGAGAAGGAGGAACGCGAACGCAAACGTGACAAACAGAAGCTGAAGCAGCGCAAGGAGAACGAGGTGCCATCGGCCATGCTGCAGAGCATGGAACCGGAACGTAAACGCTCCAAGTTGGTGCTGCCCACGCCGCAGATCTCCGATCTGGAACTGCAACAGGTCGTCAAGCTGGGGCGCGCCAGTGAGATGGCCAAAGAGATTGCCGGCGAGAGCGGCATCGAGCAGACTGATGCCCTGCTGGCGGACTATTCCATAACGCCGCAAGTGTCGGCGACGCCACGCACTCCGGCACCATACACGGATCGCATAATGCAGGAGGCACAGAATATGATGGCACTCACCCACACAGAGACACCTCTCAAGGGTGGCCTCAATACGCCGTTGCACGAATCTGATTTCTCGGGCGTGCTGCCCAAGGCTGCGGCCATTGCGACGCCGAATACGGTGATTGCCACGCCCTTTCGCACACAACGCGAGGGCGGCACAGGCGCAGGAACACCAGCCGGGTTTCTAACACCCGCCTCGGGTGCTGTAGTGCCTGTGGCGAAGACAGGAACAGCTGGAGCAGCGAGTGCAACGCCTGCCTTTGTGCGGGATAAGCTCAGCATCAATGCGGAGGAGACAATGGGCGTCACCGAGACGCCAGCTCTCTATAAGAACTACCAGAAGCAGCTGAAGTCGACGCTGCGCGAGGGATTGTCCACGCTGCCGATGCCACGCAACGATTACGAGATTGTGGTGCCGGAGCAGGAGGACAACGAACCAATGGAGACTGGCCAAGAGCCGGCGATAGAGGATCAAGCAGATGTCGATGCACGCATCCTTGCCGAACAGGAGGCACAGCGCAAGCGTGAGCTTGCCAAGCGCTCCCAGGTCATTCAGCGCAATCTTCCGCGTCCCACAGAGGTCAACACGAAGATCCTGCGACCGCAGTCCGAGAAACAGAATCTCAGCGAGCTGCAGCAGGCCGAGGAGCTGATCAAACACGAAATGATCACCATGCAGCGTGAGTTGAATCAATCCTAGGTCGATTGATGTTATATATACAGTGTGTTACAGTTCATTTCGGGCAGTGTCTAGCAAAAATTTTAATTGCCTGCCATTAATAAATTATCCAATATTTTTCAAAAATTCCAAAGACCGGTGGCAGGTACGTATATTAACCACCATAATGGATATATGACCCCCATAAACTGGGGTTTCCCCGCCGGCTAGGCAGGGTTAAGTAAAAAAGTACCTGAAAATATGGTTACACATTATTTCGGGCAGTGGCATTATGGACACCTGGGTGCCATAAAACCCGGATTTTTTACGCCGGGATGATTATTTTTGGAATAAATAGACCAATCCTTCGTAGTCAGTTTAGTTATATCCTGCATCTCGAGTGCAACCAGCCAATAAGGACTATGGGCAAACGGACTACCATTGAACAACGGAAACTGATCCTGGAACACTTCAGGATTGGATATTCATATCGCCAAATAGCTAAAATGGTAAATCTGAGTACCACAACTGTATTCAATATCATTCGGCGCTTCGTCGACGAAAATCGGATAGAGGACAAGGGCAGAAAGGCACCACACAAGATTTTCACCGAACAGGAAGAGCGGAGGATCATCAGGAAAATAAGGGAAAACCCCAAGCTATCGGCTCCAAAACTGACTCAACAGATGGAGGACGAAATGGGGCAAAAGTGCAGTGTGGAAACTGTGCGCCGGGTTCTGCGCAACCATGACTTTAATGCCCAAGTACCACGGAATAAGCCCTTTATAAGCGCAAAAAATAAAGGGACTAGGATGGCATTCGTCAAAACCCACTTGGACAAGGATTTGGAGTTCTGGAACAAATTTATATTTGAAGATGAGCCCAAATTCAACATTTTTGGCTCAGACGGACAAAATTATGTGTGGCGACAGTCCGATACTGAGCTGAATCCAAAAATCCTAAAGGCAACAGTCAAGCACGACGGAGGAAGTGTCATGGTAATGGCATGTATCTCGGAGGCCGGCGTGGGAAATTTGGTGTTTTTTGAAACAACAATGGACAAGAGTGTGTATTTCAATATATTCAAGGAAAATTTACTCCAAAGTGCCAAGAAGCTAGGAATCCGACGTACTTTCCGGTTCTACCACGACAACGACCAGGACAAAAGCCAAGCATAAGTCCGGATTAGTACAGTCCTGGCATATCTGGAACTGCCCCCACATGATAATTCCACAGGTCCAGTCTCCAGACTTAAATGTTATTTAAAATTTGTGGGCTCTGCTGGAAAATAACATCCGGAATCACAGATCCGATCTCAAGAATGCTCTGCTGGATGAGTGGAGCAAAATCAGTCCAGAAACGACCCGGAAGCTGGTATCTTCCATGAATAATAGGTTAAGGGGAGTTATTAAGGCTAAAGGATATCATACTAACTATTAACATCCTTATTTAAGTTTTTATACGCCTAATATGTTACTTTTCCAAGACTGTTCCAAAAAAACTGTAACATGTATTTTGGATATGTTTTAAGTTTTGACTAATTTTAATTAATTAATTAATATTTTAATAAAAACTGAAGCTTCCTTTTCAAACGTGATATAACATAAAACAAATTGGCATTTAAATATTTTGCATTTGTTTCTTTGTTTAAACTTTATAGCACTTTAAAATTTTTTCTAGACACTGCCCGAAATGAACTGTAAGCCACTGTACATATATGTAAACCAATCTCTGTTTCAGTTTATGACTCTGTGCGTGATCCGGTGCCTGGACAATCGCAGCAGAAGCTGGAGCAGTTGCACAGCTTCTTCAAGGCCAATCCGTACGAGGAGATCACGCAGGAGGATCTGGCCGATGCCAAACAGATGCTCAGCGACGAAATGGAGGTGGTCAAGGAGCGCATGTCGCACGGCGAACTGCCGCTCGACGTTTACGGTCAGGTGTGGCAGGAGTGTCTCGGCCAGGTGCTCTACCTACCCTCCCAGCATCGTTATACACGTGCCAATTTGGCCAGCAAAAAGGATCGCCTGGAATCCGCCGAGAAGCGACTCGAACAGAATCGTCGCCATATGGCCAAGGAGGCGAAACGGTGTGGCAAGATCGAGAAGAAACTAAAGATTCTCACCGGCGGCTATCAGGCACGTGCCCAGGTGCTGGTCAAGCAGCTGCAGGACACCTATGCGCAGATCGAACAGAACACCCAGTCGCTGTCCACGTTTCGTTTCCTCGGCGAGCAGGAGGGCATTGCGGTGCCGCGTCGCCTCGAAGCGCTCCAGGAGGATGTGCGTCGCCAGATGGAGCGTGAAAAGGAGCTGCAGCTGAAGTACGCCCATCTCGCCGAGCAACGCGATGCGCTCTTCAACCAAATCGCACTGATCACCGGCGAGCGACCCACTCGCGAGCTACTGCTCGGCATTGATCCAGAGACGGAGCAACTGCAGCAGCAGCAGCAGCTGGAGGCCTAGATATAAGTCACTAGCAATTTAATTTGTATCCAAAAAAGAGAAAAAACTTCAATACACTCAAACAATCATTTAAACAAATTGAGGAACAATTTGTTTAGTGTCCGTATTTTTGGTAGACCCACTCCTTGTTGTCCAGAGGGCAGACGTGGCGCGTCTTCAGCCAGCGCGCGATGCAGTGATAGTGGAAGGCGTGATTGCACTCGCCCCATGCCACGGTGCACTCGTCCTTGTTGGCATTCGGATCCGCTTGGCACTCGATGCATAGATTCATGATGTGATTCCGACAGATGGCACAGTTATCCACGGCCACATCCCATGCCCAATTTGCATGGGCCACCCACTTTTTGAGCTCGAAGCGTTCGACCTTCTTCTGACCAGCACTCCCGGTTGCCACGTTGTCCTCGTCCAGATCGTGAAAGTCCTCGGTTTCCTCCACTTCCGTTTCCTCGGCAATGGATCCATTTTTACTACAATTCTCCATTTTTTTTTGTAATTTAATTGTTATTTGTTTAATGTTAAATGGATAAAGATCTCAAGGCTAGCTAGAAACAATTTTTGTTCCATTAGTTAGGTGAAATTTTCATTTAATGAAAAATTCAACTCACAATTGCGTAAGATATGTGAAAAGTTAATTTTTTTTTTTTTTTGAGTCTTTAAAATCATTTTTAATGCTAACATTTTATATACGTAGTAAATTCGAGTTGGTTTTGTAATATTTATTTAGTTCTGGGTTTCAGCATAAATACATAATTTGTATACGAATTAAATTTGGTGCTAAAATACTAACAGTTTTTACTTCTCATTTCCATTTTGTTTGCTTTGTTGGTTATTTATTTATTGTTCATTAGTATATTTACTCTCTGCAATTTAAACATTTTGGGTAAATAAATATGCAATTGATTTAAGCATTTCTCTTGTTTGTTGTATACTTGAATTAGGTAGTTTTGTTCTCTTTGTGTTTGTATGTTGTTGTTTTGTAAAATTTAGAATTGTTTCAGCAGCACTTGCGTGGATTATTGCCCATATGCGATATACATAGTTGATTACGATTAGTAAGAATAATAATACGTACATACATACACTCTAAATATATATATAGACACAGTAATTATAATGATAAACGTAATGATATAGCATAGATACTTATACACGACGTATACTCGATGTATCTATATATTTCTAAGGGTGTACTAACAATAAGATTGATTCCGTAAGTATTTAATATGTATATAGTAAGGATTGAGAAGAACCATAAGCGCCATGCAAGAAGGGCCATATATATATATATATATCTATATCTATATGTATAGAGAGGAAGATTTGTATTTAGATTGTCCACTAGTAGAACTTGAGGGGGGGAAGGGGGAGAAGTTGTAGCTCCGGCTTAAGGGTCATCATCATCGTTGATGGCGGCACTGCTGCGCGAGATCTTCATGTAGGCGGCACAAATGCACTCGCAAACGAAGCGATATTGACTCTGCGAAGATCGAAGATTGGTTTAAATATAGTATAAACATATTGTTAATTATACTTACCACATTTTGAACCATGCAGGCGCGTTGATCGCGCATTGTGCGCACTATATCCAATGGATAGACGGGCTCACGCGCCTCCATTAGCGCCAGAGCCGTGTCCATTAGGATAAGCACGCCGGTGCGTCCAATGCCGGCAGAGCAGTGAACAATCACTGGCGGATTGGCGGCGCTGATGCATCTGCAAAGGTAGCAAGTAGGTAAATGAATTAAACGATTCTAGTATATATATCCTATATATATATATCTCACTGATGCACGCTGGTGGAGACGGGCGTTTCGTCCTCTGGCGTGGCTCCGTTGCTCGCTGCACATTTGCGCTCGGACATTAGGCCACCATTGTCATCGGCATCGGCATCGAGCAGGCGCACCTGCTTCAGACTCTCCTCAATCTCCTGGAGAAGCGTGCGATTGCGTGCGGCGCGCACACGTTCCGTGAACTCCAGAAACAGATTGGGATCGGAGGGAACACAGTGATCGGGCCAGGCCAGATACTGCATGTGATGAATGTGCCGCTGTTCGTGCTTATCCCGCAGCACAAACTCCCGAAAGACAAAGCTGCCCGTCTCATCCGGTTTCTCGCTGAGACAACGCACCGAGAAGCCATCGCCCAGCTGCAGCTCATCACCGGTAACTGGCCAGTACTGGTGACACTTCTGCCTGCCTGCCTCCATCACCGTGGTGAGCATGACCAGCAAATGGCTGCTCTCCTGCTGCACCATGCGCCAGAAATCGGTTGTGGTGCTGGCCAGCGGTCCCTGTGTCGCAATATAACGATTCACCACACCACCAGGTATCTCCATATTCACATAGTTGGCATTGATATAATCACCAGTCAGCGAATTGACCAGCGAGACGCGAGTGCAGTCATCTGTAAGTAGCGAATGGATTTAATGAGTAAGTTTATCAATATACTATATATATATATATAGATTCATTTACAGGGCGATATGTCGCGATAGCGATTCTTGGGCGCATTAGCTGGCTTGCGTGCCTCAGTGATGGCCAGATCGGGATGCTTGCGATACATGAGCTCGTACTGGGCGAGCAGGGCACCTGAGGCGAGTCCATCGCTCAGCAGCAACAGGCTCTGGGTGAAGAGTGCATCGCCATCGAGCAGATTCGAATGGGAGCCAATCTCATCGCTTTCGGGCACATACTGATACAGTGGCTCCTCCTCGAAAAGCAGTGGCGCCGAACGCTTGGGACGCACCGTCAGCAGCAGTTCGCCGCTGGACTGATGCCGGCAATCGCGTATCATGGCCACCACCTGCTCGTGCCGCAGTCCGTGCACATCGCGGCCATTGATCATGAGCACCTCGTCGCCCTCGCAGACGCGCGGCGTACAGCGATCGGCGGGTGTGTTTGGCACCACCTTGGACACTTGCACGGGCAGACTCAGATCGATGCCGCCTTTGACATTGAAACCGTAGCGGCCCTGTTCGTCGGCCAGCAGTCGCATCGTGATCAAATCACTACCGCTCTCCGGCTGACCCACAGCATCCGCTATCGTTGTGGGCAACAACAGCGGACTGTGTTGACCCGAGCTATAAGCTGGCGGCATCGGCGATGGAGTGCCCGAGTCAAAGCGTCGCGTGCACTGCTCAATGAAGCCCACGTCGCTGAGGAGAGAAACGATTTAGGATTAGCGTAATTTAAGAGTGCTTTCAGATGGGATGAGAACTTACAGTTGTATGTCGTACTCATCGCTGTGCTGCTCCCAGGCCTTGCGTGGCATGGTGTCCGCCTGCTTGGACGTCACCTTGGACGTGTCATGTGGACGGCTAGTTTTCGTTATGGTCAGTATGGTGGATGCGGACGGTTTGCCGTTGTGCGAATTGGCGCTATCGGAGCCACCACCATTCGTGCCATTGCCATTGCGTTGCAGCTGCAGCGGAGTTCCATCCACTGAACTTGCAGCGCCACCAGCACCTGCTGCCCCACCACCAGCAGCAGCCAACAGTCGTTTGCTGGGCGAACGCACAAAGACCTTGTGAATGCGACCCCGCTGCTTGGACTCCTGCACGGCCTGGAGTTCGGTGCGGCCGGAGTAGTAGAACTTGCTGCCCAAACTGATGTTGAGGAAACGGGACAAGCGATGCGGCCGCTTCAGTCGAAAGAAACTGTGATGCTCCACACAGGATTTCCACAGAGCTTTCGCATGCTTGTGACTGCTCATGCCAAAGCCCAGCAGGGTGTCATAGCATTCGCTGGGCTCGCGGCGCAACTGGATGAAGAAGTCCTTGCGCTTGAAGGAGACCTTCACCATTTTGCTCCAAGAGAAGGTGTTGATGCGCAACGAATGCTGGAACACAAGCAGACCGACTGCTGAGACGCCCAGCTGCAGATCCTTGCCATTCGAATCGGTGGCCTTGTGCAGATCAATGCCATAGAGTTCCAAGCGCTTGCCATGCTCCAGATAATTGTATTCCGCATCGGCGGGCAGCTGGCCACGATGCAGCTTGTGCAGTTCACATATCTTACGCTCCGCATCGGGCGTTTGCTCCGCCAGCAATTGCAGGCCGCTCAAATAGCCCGTCTGATGTTCGACGGCATTGAAGTCGCCCAACTCAGCTGTAGATTGCGAATTGATATTAATATCTGGCTGGAATTGGGTTAACTATCCAACTGGATTACTCACACTGCACCGTATAGCTGGCAAGCAGGCACTGTGTATTGCTCGAGCAGGACAATTGTCCCAGCAGAATGTTGCGCTTGATCTGCAGATAGAACTGATAGCGTGTGAACTCCTCCTGCAGTCGACTGGGATCGCTAACATAGAACTGCAAAATAATTGGAATTAATAACTAATAAACCTCAAGAACCTCAACGAGAGTAGTATTCACCTTAACTCTAAACTCTAATAATGGAACGGCATCGTTGTCCAGGCAGACGCTGCTGCATTGCTTCTTGAATTGCTTCTGTGCGTCCACCCATCTCTGTAAATAGTGATTAATATTCATGAGTATTTGAATTAATCATTTGTATTCGTGCTTATTATGCACTTACCACAACGTCACCGGGCTTCTGTGGAAATAAGAGGCCAAAGTAATCCCTTTCGGATAACTCGAGATAGTGAAAGACCTGATCCAAGAGCTCAGAGCCTTTTGCACGTTTCTGCAGCGAATAGAAAATGGAAAATGCAAAATTTAATTGTGTATAATTAGAAAATGAAGATAAGTTTCAGTTTGGCTTTAAAGATGGACCTTCTTTAAAGTAATAACTGATGAATGATCTTGATGACACTTTTCTGGGTTACTTTCTTGTTAAAACTTTTTTCCGCCACTTTCTTTTTGGTAATATTAGCTCAGCTGTTCTTAAGTGTTAGAGAGTTATATATATGGAGCTACCTTTATGGTGTTTTGCGTTACTCTTAACGCATTCAGCATTAACCAGCATTTTCACTATTAGCCAGGTATTTTCTGCTGTAAAATGACGCTAATTTGGCTGGCAAATTGGTTAAGCGAAGCAACAACAAAAAACAGCTAATCAACATCGAATTTATCTACAATTTTCCATCTGCAGTTGGCGGAGAAATGAAGTCGTCTTTTGTAATTAAGAAAGATAAATAAAGAAAAACAATGCGAATACATTTTTGAAGAAGGCGTGTCTGTCTATCTGGCCTGTCTGTCTGTCTGTTGATCCGCCTCCGAAAATGAAAGTGAAATTCAGATGAAGATGCACTTTTCTTGAAATGAAGTTGGGGCTAAATTAAAATTGGCCAATATATGTATGAAAATATGTATTTAACGCACGCAAAAGACGACTTTCTTTATGTGTGTTTTAATTTATTTTTGTTTACACATTTTGCATTCATAATTTCGAACGTGAGCAATTTTTGGAAAGCAGCAATTATTGACTATGCAGCTGCGAGTGGGAGGATGTGGGAGTAAATGTTATATAGTTAAATCGGTGAATCGGTGAATTTACCTCGATCCGAAAGGTGTGCGTGATGTCATCTAGGAATAAAACGGTGACGCATTGCTGCCGCTGCTGTTTCTTGTCGCGAGCCAGTTCAGTGGATCCGCCGCGTTGTCGATAGTTTCTGCTCAGGTTGCTCAGGCGAAAGCGTTCAAACATGGCCCAGCTCCATACCGACCCCCTTAATTAATTGCTATACGTGTCTGTGTGTGTGTGCGTGTGTGTGTTTCGATTTGTTTTTACAGTTGCTCCTCCTTGGCTTGGTTGGAAGCGTTCTGCGTGGCTGGCAGTTCTGATTGTTTGTTTATTCGATACTAATAAAAAAATGGCAAGACTTTGACTTTTGGTTTATTCTTGGCTTTTTTTGCTGGACGTGTCGCGTTCACGTTATGGCTAAGACTTTGGATGGATGCGCTGCTCGTCGTTGATTGAGCTATGTTTTCCTTGCTGCAAATAAGATTGAGAAATTTTCCCATTAGAGATAAAGAGAGAGAGAGAGGGATAATAAGAGAATTCATATTAGGCTGTCATGAAACCAAAACGAATTTAGATTCCAATTCCGATTCTGGTACGCAAATTATAAAACTTCCGATGTTCCTGCAAACTTTTTTACGGTATTCGTTTACATATTGGTACCTTGATTATTCCTGGTACGATACGTTACAGTCGGGCGTAACTGACTACAGAATACTTTGATCAGTATCAGACAAACAAATTTAAATTTATAATGAAATTATGGTGTCAGCAAGGATCTGCAAGGACTATGACGTGCCTAATTATATTAATTATACATATATCCATATACCTTTTGAATAAATATATGTATTAGGCATATGGATCTACAAAATATATGTTCAATTTAGATTCTGATTCCGATTATGAATTTCAAACGGTAAACATTCGATTCTGATTCATACTGTACACAAAAATTGTTATTAATTTAAAGTCTACCGACTGACGATCGATCAGTTGTGATTATGCAATTAGTTAGGGTATTAAAAAGTCGTCTCTTGTGCCTCATATGCCCCCTTTGACTCTTTGCGTGTGCTTTGCCATTGTTTGCTTTGTTTATTTCGATGCTCAGGTGTGTGTGTGTGTGTGAAGGGGGAAAAAAATAGCACTTCCACTTCACATGACAAACGTTTTTGGCCCAAAAGACCTCTTGCACTGTCTTAGGGCGCAATCGACGCATATTTTCACGCGCTGACAAGCAGACACATATGTATATATATATATAATATGTATATATACGCATACATACGCATACGCATGCAATGCGTAGACAAGCGAAAGACAAGTGTAGAGTATGACTAATATTCTCTTCGCCTTCGTTTTCGTTTTTGTCTTTCGACTTCCTTTCTGTGTTGCCCGCAATTGAATCAATGAAACGTTGTCGAATGCATATGTATGTGTGCATTTATGAATGCATGTATGTATGTGTTAGATAAGACACATACAGTGTGGTTTCTATGTGTGTGTGTTTACCGATATGATGATTGATGCGCCGTGTAATTGGCTTATAAGCTTTCCTAATGATATACGAACTAGTTATAAACACCGATTTATTCGCTCACTGCTCTTCCTCTTTGCTGTTAAGCTCTTTTCTTTTGCCTTTGTTTCTTTCTATTTCCTCAATTTGACTTGTCATCTTTAGTTTTTTGTTTAGCCTGATTTCACTATCAACATATTTCTTACATTCTCGCATCGTCTACAGAATGTCAATTGTAAAGAATTCTGCGAATTTTAGAAATGCACATCGAGCATTTTGTGTTTTTGCGCTGATTTATCGAATATCGTCTCGATGTTATGGAAAGTATGGCAATATCAGGATGAAAATACAATTAAAATGTCATTAATGTAATTTATATTGTTTAATTTTCTAAAATAAATTGAATCGAGAAATGTAAGAAATGTTGGGCCTTCATTTTTTTTTGCCTTGAAAAATTTCACAATTGTTTCTAGGAACTAAAAACAAGTTCAATATTTAGATGTGTATATGAAAGAAATGTAAGTTGAAGGCAACATTAAATAGTAAGCTATTCCGAGGAATCGCTTATCATATGCCTTCAACTACTGTGCTACCAGTTGCTTCTTGACTTTCCACAGAACTTTTTCTTTGTACACACAGATATACACACACACACATACAAACACCCACATACACCCACACACATCGATGGCCATTAGTTATAAAGCAAATAGAAATAGTTGCCTTGCGCACTTTTCTACATGTGACAGATAAAGATATTTTTGTGTTGTTCTCAGTTCTATATTCATACACAATTTCCGGCTGGCAGAGCTAAAAAAAAAAAAAAGTCGCCAATGTGGGGAAAACTCAAGTGCGCAATATTATTTATAATACCAAATACAAACCAAACAGCGACCCCCCTCCTAACATTCGATTAGAGAACTGTGAACAGTGGCAGAAACCAGAAAGAATTCTTATCTACGCATTTGACCAAAATAGTAGAAAGTATCCAATCAAGGAACTGCCGATCTTGCAATCTTATCAATTGATTTAAAATAACACTTGCCAAAGCTATTATTATAAAAGAGTATCAAGCATATTATACACACATTATTTCGGAGATATTATTTTAGATTTGTATATTATAGAAAAAGAAACTGGATTCTACATGTTTTGCCTTACACAGAGCTATACCCACTATGCAGACCAATTCAATTCATTACAAGCCGGTTTTAAGCCGATTACATTGATTACCTTAGTAGGTTAAGCCACTTAGCGATGGGGAAGGCGAACTAGATCGAAGGGGTTGATGGGGGTGGGATTAATTTTGATACCTTTTCGTTGTTATCAGCGCACGAGTGTGCAAATTTGCTAAGCACACACGCACACTCACTCACACACACATACACACTCACACACATATGTGTTTATAACAGTACCAGTACCTCATATGTTAATTTGGTCGATAATTTTTGTAGATTAGGTTCGGGGAGGGGGCTGAGCAAGAAGCGTCAATTAGAAACAGCAACTGAAACAGAAACGAGGTTGCGTCATTTTTTTTCTTTTTGTGAATTGGTAACACCTACAAGGTTGCCCCTTCAACGCCCCCAAACCCCATTTCAGGGCATGAACAAAGCGACATCGGGCCGATTGGCTGTTGGCCATATATGAACTGAAACGGGAAGCCTTATAGACTCGACTCGACTCGACTCTCGTTGTGGTTAAAACAGCTTTGCTACACTGAGCGATATCTTTTCGTCTTTGATGTTGTTGATGGTGGAGTAAGCGTAGATTTATGGAAATAGCTTTCAAATCACTATTAGTCTTCGTTATAAAGGTTTTATTCCATTTTTTGTGGTATTATTAAACTTTTTTCTTTTTTTAAATTAAAATTAAATTGTTTGCGAACACTCTTTAATTATTCTTAAGGCTGTCAATCTTCGTGGCTTAATATTGCACATAAAACATAACAGACTACTTTTTTTGTCAAGTGTAGTTACCTTCTGTATACGGTCAATGCAAGTCAATGGTGTGTAGAAAGGGGATAGACAGCGGGGTTTTCAGGTGAGAAGGGGAGAGGTGAATTACAGCTGCTAAGTTTGGTTGTGGTTTATTACGTATGACTGAGCGTTTATTATGCATTAATTGAAAACGAAATGAAACAACAACAAAAACGAGGAACAACAAAAAGTTCTGAGCAACCAGTTATATTGTTTAAAGTGCATAAACAAAAGGCAAAAATATATGTTTACATATATATACTTTTAAATAAACATATATCAAATTAATTTGCCCGACAACTTTGCTGGTTCGTTGACCGACTTTTGGTCGATTTCTCCCCAACCCTCCACCAAACACCAACCCTCTCCCCACACTCCTTCTTTTCATTTACTTATAAGGGAATCGTGTTGCAAAATTTGTTTATTATCATTCGTTTCATATGTGTGTTTGCTTGTGTGTGTGCGTGTGTGTGAATGGGAATGTGTTTTTGTATGCAGATTCAATGTGCTTTTGTTTGTTTGACCAGTTTGGCAACTGGAAATGCGCTGTTTGAACAGCTTCCGTTGTGCGAATTACAGTGGCGCAAAACTCATTTGCATGCCAATTATTGTTTATTTATAAATTAAATAGAATGCCAATTTATGTAACACTAATTGTATTCACCTCTGCTTGACCTAGTTCAAATTTGTGCTCTTCATTTCCGTTTCAACCGGTTGCGTACCAGTGTGCGACTCGTGCTTTTTTTCTTCTTTGTTCGCGTGACCCGCTGAGCAAAAAAAAAAAACTGTGGGGAAATGGCAACGTAAGCAAATCCAATTTGCTTGCTGATGCTGAAGATGGGACGGGCGATAGTAGAAGCAGAGGGGGGAAATAGGGGATAGGGATAGAGTAAGAAAGTAACGACGACTGCAAACCGGTTGAGTAACTGAACATTTGACGGCGTCGCTTCTGCTGCCGCCACTGCAGCAGCTGCTCTGCTCTGCTCTCGTTCAGCTGCCGAGCTGAGCTTAACTCACGTAGATAAGCGAGGTGAGTTGTGGTGAGGAGATGGCAGATGAGTCAACCTGATAAGCTAAGCCACAATATATATATATACAATATTACCGTAATACACTTCCTAAGAGGTCAAAACAATTTCGCAGCGATAATCAAAAGACTTAAATAGAAACAGACGAACAAGAAGAAGAATGAGTAGAAACAGAAGAAGAAGCAGTGGCTGAAACAGAAGCCACAATTAAAGCAGCTTTTGTGCGTAATTGAAACCGTCGAGAAACACAAAAAAAAAAACGTTGAACCTGTCAGTCAGTCAGTAAAATCGCGCGCTAAACAACCAGAAATTTGAAACTGCAAAAAAGGGAGAAGGGGGTGTCTTGTGGGGGGAGGCGGGCTTTTGAGGTTGTCACTGGGATCTGGGTTTGCTGTTGCCTGTCACTCAATTTCAATTAGGACACATCAGTCAAATCACTTTTGAAAGTCTCGCAAAAAGGGTATAATGAATGTAAAAGAAACCATAAAATATTTAAACGTATAATTTAACAATAGAAACAAAACAATTTAACCTACAAAATTATTTTTGGAAATTTGAACAAAGTTTGTAGCAGTATTTTTCGAAGCTCTGACAGGGTATTTATTTATGCGAGCTGCCATTAAATATCGTCTTATATTTAGCGCTGCTTAGCAACCCTTATCAAAGTAAAAGCGAGCAACAGAAACAGACCCCATTCAAAAGCTCTCAGCTGCGCCACCTGAAGGCTTTCAAAGTGATAAGCAGAGCACAGAGCGAGGGACAAGTGGCGGGGGGAGTGGGGAAGGCAATGCAATTGAATTTGCCGTGTCAGAGAACCATCAATAATAATAATAATGTTGTTGTTGCACTTGCATTTGTTTGGTTTTATGTATGGGCTGCTTTACCGTCATGCGTCAGGGTTGCCATGTGTGCGTGTGTGGAGTGAAGTGTGTAGTGGGGTGGGGTGGAGAGGTGGATGGGGTGGGGTTGTTCTGGTCGCCGCTTATCGCTGTTTGCCTTTTAATTTGTATTGCTTCGAAGCGCAACCCGCACACAACGAGAGAGAATATTCTCTTATGCTATTTTTATGCTCATATTTCACACATGCAACAACAACACAGCAGAGACAACAGTTAGCCCCCAGAATTAAAGGCCCAAAAGCAGCCCCGGGCTGCACACACACACACACACTCAGAAACAAACATACACATATACTTCCGCACTTGTGTATATACGGGTGTGTGTGTGTGTACACACTGGTTGTTTACGCTTCGCTTCTTGTGCGATATTCTTAAATGCTCAGTGCTCTTGCTTTTACCGTTAAACGCCAAGGGATAGAAGAAAAAAGACAGACACAATTTGTCTGCTAAACTGTTTTTACTATAACCCCCTCCCCCTGCCCCATAACCATTGATCTCAACTAAATGCAGCTTGCTTTGAAACTGCGCTAAGCCAGATGCGCTGAATGGAGAACATGTGAAGGACGGAGGGGTGTGGGTGTAGCGCGTGTGACAACACGAAGAAAACAAGTTGAATTAATTAAACGATTTGTAACACACAACGCAATGATTAATTGCACAAATGCACACACACAGAAGAAGTACACTTAATATATATGTATGTATGTTGTGGTATTTATTTGTTTCTTCATTGCATTTGCTTTGCTTTTGCTTGTCACAGATTAATGTAAGATGCGCTCGTATGCGAGTGACTGTCTGTGTGTGTGTGCATTTACATTCACTCTCTCACTCACTCTCTGCGAGACTTTGATTTTTTTCGAAGCAAATCAGACAAGACGCGTTGCTGAGTAGGCGGCATCTTGACTGTTGTGTACGTGTGTGTGTGAGAGAGAGAGAGAGAGAGAGAGCAAACATAATAATCAAAGGCCAGCGTTGATTCTGCCTGCGGCTGCAGATAAGCCTACACACATACACACAAGACACATGCACGCGCACTCAGAAAAGGAGTTAAATGAACCGCTTTTGACAGGGATTTGTTAGCGCTCACCTTTTTGTCGCTTTGGGTACTCCTCGTTAGACAACAAAAACACACAGTTAATTTTAATGCTCCTTTGAAACAGGCAAGCACTAATACATTCACACGCGCACGCACACGGCCGCGAGTTAAAAAGGAAAACAAGAAAACAACAAAATATAATAATTTACGGCAGAACGATTAAGCCGCAATTGAAATAAAGATGGGCAACTTTTCGTGTTGCTGTACCGAGTAACGTTTTACATATGAGATTTGTAACGTAGCGTAAGCAAATTCGAGTTTTCGATAATGAACAAAATGAACAAAATAAAACAGAATTGAACTTTTCTCCGAAACCGAACAAACCAAGGCGAGCAGCGACGAACTAGTGATGCTAGCAGTGTCGACTGTGCAGGCGCATGTTTAATCGATATATCGATAGAGAACATGCTGATGCACGATATTTGTGGTGGGTATCGCAATGCACAGTCGATGATTTGCTCGCTGACATAAGCTCATTGCTATATACATAGCAGGCAGGCATTTAGTTTAGTTAAATTTCAAACAGTCTTTCAATCGAATAAATACTTTTGAATTAGAAATTTAAAAAATGTCCAGTCGTGAAGGTGGCAAGAAGAAGCCGTTAAAGGCACCCAAAAAGGAGGCCAAGGAGATGGACGAACAGGATTTGGTACATAAGCAAAAACAAAGAGAGCAGCAAAAGGCCTTAGATGCAGCAAAGCAAAAAGCAACTCAGAAAGGAGGCAAAAAATCTGGCAAATGAAGAATTTCCCTAGCTGCCCACACACACACACCCAGTTATAACTGTCTTGTCTTGTGGTGCAATAAATTGAGAGAAGAGCAGAGTTGAATGATGATTAATTGCCATCGTTAAAGGTGGGGTCGCATTGGTCAGCCAATCAGTGGCGCTTAAAAAGCCATCACAAAAATGTGACATTCAGTTATGGTTGGGGTATTGACTAAAAAAGAGAAGAGAAAGGAAAAAACCTAACTAGACACGGGTATTGAGCGCAACAAATGCGGCAAATTGGAATTTTATGCGTTTTTTATGTTAATCAAAAATGCCTAATGGACATTTGCGCCCGCTGTGCGTCTGTCAATATGTGACGTGTGTGTCCACTGCATTGAATTAATCAAAAGATGACCACATTTTAGTTGACAGTAGTAGAAATGCTGCTAGAAATATAATGTGTAAGGTAAATGAGAATATAAGTAAAACCTTTAGGGCTGTCGGGACATTTCTTGCGTCTGGGAAAGTAAGTGTGAGCGATGGAGATGGAGGGGGGATAAACCGTTATAGGTATATATAGAATTCCCCAACACAAAAATTAAATCGAAAGCATTTTTTGTTTATCATCATATTTAATATTTAAGCCTTTTTATGGAAAACGTATTTGAATTGGTTTATACAAAATTTAAATTACACTTTATAGCTAAAAATTTGATAGATTTGTTTAAATATATTGTACATAGAGAATTATTTTATTTTAATTTTTCTTTTCATTTTTTTTAGGCGAAAAACATAACACAAAATACATAAGCAGAACTCTTAGAGGTATTTTCATTTTTATTATATATTTTTAGGGGGGACGTTTATCAAAAAGGAAAAGGAATTAACGGGTTTTGTAAAGTTTTTTTTCTTGTTTTTTTTCTTTCTTTTTTTGTTTAATGCGTAATCGTAATCTAGAGAAGGAAGCATTTGATATGTTGTAAAAATGTTAAATATATATATATGTATATATATATTTATATATATTAATGTACTATACTATATATGCCGGAGTTGTTAATGTAATTGCTAAAAATGTACAATTAATTTAAATAATTAATAACAATTAGATTTAGGGAATAAGCATTTTTGATTTCCATTACGAGTGCTTTAAGTTTATTTATTAAATGCTATAATTATTATTAATAGTAATTTTATTAATATAAATTATTATTATATTGTTTTTGCTTTTCTTCTTCTTGTTGTTGTCGTTCTTGTTGTTGTTGTTGTTGTTGGCACACTATCCAAGTCTTATGCAATGGGTTTTAAAGTATGTTTTAGTTAAATTTAAATTTAATTAGTTAATTGCATATATGCCGAGTATTTTAAATTGAATTTCAATGGGTTGTGTGTTGAGTTTTTCTTTTAGTGTATATATATATATTTGTTTTTTTCATATATAATTTACAAGCTTACAAATTATTTAACAACATTGAATGTTTTAACATTTTGCATCGGTGCCAAAATGATTAATAAAAATTACTAAAACAATTTTTAGCGTATTTCTATTGCATTATTTATGAAATGTTTTCTTATTTATTTATTTTTTATTTTTTCTATGTACATTTTCAGCAGACAAACGATGTGAGAATTTCAGCTGTTGTAAATTTCATTTTTTTCATTTTCTTTTTGCTAATTGTGATTTTATTTGCTTTCAGTGTAGTCTTCATTTTGTGATCTTTACAGAGAAATAAGAAGAAGAAGTATGTTTTCTTCTTTCTACTTCTTCATTTCTTCTCTCTTCGACCTGTGTTTTTAGTTGTTACTCAACACTTATTCACTTTGTTCCTATTAATCAACACTATTATTAGAGTATTGTTTTATTTTATAAATTGCATTTTAAATGTTTTTTTTTTTTTGTTTTCAACTTTCTATAATTTTCTATATACATTAACAGCAACAACTGAAGTGAAGAAAGTAAGCAGCTTACTTTTTGTTCTATGCATTTGTAGCAGCGAAAGAGTAGCTTACTTTTCTTTGCATGTGCTTCTAGCAGGGCATCAAATTGAAATGTTTCTTGGTTCCGGTTAATTATGAATTGTTTCCGAATTCTTTTCTGTATTCTCCTCCAATATGGTTTTCAATGAATCAATATTTATATTAATAAATTAGTTTAAATAACTGATTCTTCTATTCTTTGAATTTTGGTTCCTTTTTGTGAACTTCACTTCCCATTTGACACCCTGACTTAAAGAGCTGCTTCTCTTTAAATGCTCTCCTGCGAATCTCTGCTGTTTACTTGGTGGTTGAGTGGTGCTCTCTTCACTCAGTGGTTGCCCTTGTGTGCATTGAAAAACATGCGTGCCACTTTGCCCAAGGCGCCCACAAAATCCCATCGTTCCCGCTGCTGCTGCTCCCTCTGCTCCCTCGCTCCACTGCTGTGCTGGCAATCGGGCAGCAGGAGTGGTGCAGGCGTGGCAGGCGCAGGAGTTGCAGTGGCAGCAGGAGCATCTGCCTGCTCCTGCCGAACCTAGGAGGGTGTCGAGTACCAGGCACTCGCCGGGCTGCCCTTGTGATACAAGTGGAAACTCGAATGGGGTGCAAAATACTGCGGCTGCTCCAGATTGCTGTAGGTGACGCCACCCTCGGTGGTTGTCGTTGTCGTCGCATGCGGATGCATTGCAGCCGTATACGCTTGCGGTTTCAGTGGCAACGCTGACGCCGTGCCACCATCGACTGGCGTCGCATATTGTCCGCGCAGCGGATCAGCATATTCATAGCCACCGCCATTGCTGCTGACCAGCAGGCCGGGCGGAGCTGTTGCCGAGCTGGGCACCTTGGCTGAGTTGTTGCTGTCGCGTGGCGACACCGAACTGGGCGGCGTCATCGCGTTGTGATAGTCAATGGAGCTGTGATAGCCACCATACGTGGACACCAGATTCGTGAACGCATCCGAGTTGCCCGCCTTCTGGCTGCCCGGATGCGAAACGGAGGCGGCAGCTGCCGCCGAATGCAGCTGCAGATATTGATTCTCGTAGGAGGATTCGCTGCCGGGTGGCGTCGGCAGCGGACCACCCTGCTGCTCCGAGTAGAAGGCGACGCCGGTGGGTGTCTGTCGTGCCGTCGCCCGGATCACACTCTCCCGGTTCGCGTAGAGCTGACGGAGCAACGCTGTGGCTGGCATCGGTGCTGGCTGCTGATAGGGTGCTCCAATCCACTGGATGGTGCTGCTCTTCTCGTTGGGATCATGATGCAGTTGCTGCTGCTGCTGCTGCTGTTGTTGCTGCTGCTGCTGTTGCTGTTGTTGTTGTTGTTGCTGCTGCTGCTGTTGTTGCTGTTGTTGATGTTGTTTCATTAGCGCATCTGTGCTGAAATCTGTGCTGGGCTGGTTGTTGTTGTTGTTGTTTGTGGGCGAGGGCAGATGCTTGGACATCGCATGCTCCAGATCCTTGACAGCGGAATCTGCCACCGAATTGGGTTGCTGATCGGATTCCACAATTGATGGCAGACGACTACGCGGCTGCTGCTGCTGCTGCGGATTCCCCGACTCCCTTTCGAGTGCCGGCAATTTGCTTAGCGGCTGTTGTTGTTGCTCCGCTTCCCTGTCCCGTTCCCGCTGCTCCCGCTGCTGCTGCTCGGCCTGCTCCTCGGCCTGCAGTGCTGCTTTGCTCTTTCGCTTCCGCTTCGTTGTGGTTGCCGTTGTGGTTCCCGAGCCAGCTGCTACAGTTGTGCCATTGATGGAGGGCGCCGGCGTCGATGACAGTGCTGGCGTTGTTGCCACTGGCAGTGGCAGGACTCCGTCCACTTCCACGCCCAGCGGCGTCGGACTGTCCTTGATCAGCGCCAGGCTGCTCAAGCTGCTGCTGCCGTGTGTGGCAGACGCATTGCGTCCCCTGCCCCGCTGCGAATGTGTGTCCCCATCCGTTTTGGGCGAACTCAGACCCAGTTTCATGTCGCTGTTGAGATGGGCACTGCCCTCCGGTCCGGTCGCATCGCTGCCAGGCGAACCGCTGCTCTTGTCATTGCCCAAACCCTCCTCGTGCTTGATGCTGTCCACACTGGGCTCCAGCTGGCAGCAGTCCAATATGAGATTCTCATTCTCACGATTGCTAACCGAAAGAAACCAAAAAGGGTATTAAATTAGTCAAGTGTTTTATGCATTTTGGCCGACAAGAAACTTGCCACAAATAACTTTAAATTGTATTTTATATTTCGATTGAAAATGATGCTTCGAAATTGGTAAACAGCATTAAACTAGAGTTCAAATGATGCTAAAGAAACTTATGATGAATCGGTTGAGATCTGACAAAGTTAAGTCAAGTCTAAAAACTATTTTTTAGAGCTGAATTTCGACTGCTATTTTAATTTTGAAGTTCAATTGAATGCAGTTTAAATCTAGTCACTAAATCAAATATAAAATGAATTGCTTTTGAAAACCTGCTAAGATTTGATAAGGTTTTGGCAGTTTAAATGCTTTTGGGGGAATTAGTTTTATCATGAAAATCTAGTCAGAATTTCGATTTATAATCGAGCCTAAGAAATATTTCAAAACTCTGCATTTTCAAAGTTGAAACACTTTTTGAGATAGTTTTTGTTTTGAAGCCAATAGAATAATATGGAATACTGAAAGTGGTTCCATCTTAAATAGTATAGTAAAATAGTAAATAAAAAATGCATAACTATTTTAAAAAATTTAGAAACATTTGATAACTATAATAATACCTTATAACATAGTTGACACAAATGATGTTCTGCTCATCGGCATTTTTGGTGCTGCAGACGACTGTGGCGCAGGTTTGCAGCCAAGTGTAGCCTCCACTCTTGTTCATCAGTCGATAGTAGCCGGTCAACACCTGACCCTTCTCGATCACTAAAGATGAACATTGAGTTGAGTAATGCAACGATAGCGAAAATCCATATAAAACTTACGATCTGAGTGACTTTTGCGCAGGCGATTGGCATCCTCAGCATGGCACAGTGAATACAGGCTCTTGTTGACCAGATCCTCGGGCGTGTAGTCCAACAAATCAGAGACTCTAAAAGGGAAGACATTTCGCATTAATAACCTAGTAATTACCAAGTAATTAGAGTAATTCATTTACCTGGGTTCACAGTGCGCGATACGCAAATCGAAATTAACCCGGGTGACAAACATATCGCATTCCAGGCGTATCTCGTGCACCGACGGAGGTGGTAGGGCTATGGCCAGGGCAACCATGCCCAGTAGGGGCGGCTGCGATTTGCGTGTGTGCGAGAAGGTGTACTGAGGCCGAAGCTTGCAGAGCAGCAGCACCACCTGCAAAAGGCAACAAGACAAAACGAGGCTTTGCTTTAGACAACATGCAGGCGACCAAAAAAAAACACAAAAACACCTTAAAATCTAGAAGAAAGTGATCAGAAATATGCAGCACTTTGCCATTTCACATACAGAGCGAGAGAGCGAGAGAGACAGAGATACAGAGAGATACAGAGAGAGAGAGAGGGGGAGCTTTTCTAGAGAGCTTTCACACAGATGGCATCAGTCGCTCGCCGCCTTTGAAAGCTCACCCATACTAATGCGAAATGACAAAAGCTGAGCTTTCGAGGTGAGTTGTTATTGCGAAGATACGATTTGATGCTGCTTTATTCGATACTGATCAATCTAAAATCAGTTTTACAGTAACTCAACTTGTGGCCGACAAATTCGAAATATTTATAAAATAAAAACTGAAACTGATTTGATTTTGATTTAAGAATACATCGAAATCATAAACAAAGTTAACAAAATTTTGTTGTTTGCCTTGCGATTTATTTTATTTTTTGTTGTATTTTTTTTTTTACTGATTTCAATTGATACGTACCGAATAGTTTGAGGCCGGATTCTTAACATTTTTACCATTGTTTGTATTGTTATTGTTACCGTTGCAATTGCTCGTTGCATCGCTGGCCTGTAGATAAGCAGTGGATATGGGATATGGTAATACGTATACTATAATGCTTACACAGAATGATCAACCAAAATGTTGTAATTTAGGTTAGTCTACGTGCCAACTCCCACCCAACTTCCCCAAAAAGACGGACAACAAACTCTAATTGTTATTAGCAGAGCACTACGAATCAACCAAAATCAACCATTTAACAATAACAAAACCAAACAAAATCAAAACAGAACCAAACAAAAGCAAAACCAAACAAAACAAAACACAATAAAAGTAAAGAAAATGAGTGCTAGGCAATAAACACTACAGAAACGTCGCAATTCACACTACACTACACACATGGCACCGTTCAGAGCTTAGTGTACTAGGTGGTCAGTTTCTCTAAGTGTAGTCGCAACTCACCCGGTAGCCGGACGACTTGAAGTGGCAGCCACGTTTGGTCAGCGTCGACTTCATCCGTATACAAAAACTGCGATCGTAGCCCTTGTAGCCACTGGTTGAGGCCTGCGTCATCGAGGCGGCAACTGCAACGAAGCAAAATGTGTAGAACAGATCAGTATATAGCTCAGCATATATCGGTATATCGGTATATATATATATGTGCAGAGTACACTCTATAAATAAAATCAGCTCATCATTTAAAGCAAGAAAGTCTCTAGAAGATTTGCAAGTATTTTCTACAACTAAGACAGAGTTCTCCTATATAAAATGAAAACTATTTATTTAATTTAGAAAAATAAATAATTAAGTTAAGGAAAAAGAATAATTAAATTAAGATAGGCTTAAATTCACATAGCAGAGTTTAAATTAAATAGTTTAAATAACAATTTTATTAATACTAAACGGAAAACTTTCCTAGTATTGAGAATCAATAAATGTAAATCTAAAATTTAGTATTTAAAATTTTAAGAATTTCAGAAAAGATGTTGTGGATTTTACGTCAGACAAAACTGGCCAGCTTTTAAGGAAAATATGATGAGGATAAACTTTTTTGCAAGCCTGGAAAAATGCTTTTCTGATCTTAAAAAAAGAGTTCTATATAATAATATAATATAAGAAAATAGCTTTTTATTAAATACTAGAAATATATTTAATAAACTTTATAACATGACTCTAGAATTATGAATTATTTTAGGAATATTTTGTTTGTATTTGTATTTTTATGGATTGTATTTAACATTCTAACAGGACAGGCCCCGGCTGCCCCCGATGCCCCCGGATTCCTCGTTTCTGGTACCGATCAAAGACGGACTCGACTCGACTCACCATCAGGATTGTTCGTACCGTGTGTGCCACTGCCATCATCGGATGCGCCCGATGTGGGTGAAGCCAAGCCGGCAGCACCGCTGCCACTGCCACCGCTGCCGCCGCCGCCAACGCCACCGCCGCCACCAGAGCCGCTGGTGAGGCTCAGTCCCAGCTGCTCGGCAATTTCGGAATGGTCCGCCTGGTGTATGTAGTCGAATATGCTGCTGCCCGTCATCTCCACCTGCGACAGGCCCAAGTAGATGGACACCGTTTCCGATATATAGAGGAAGCGACCATCCGCTGCCACAGCCAAAGCGAAGCCATCCAGCGACTGCAAAGAACACAAAAATAAAACCATTTGCATAACTCAACTTTGGACATGGCTCGAAGCAAAAGATGGCTGCAGCGCTGCCGGTATAGCCATCTCACTCACAACTCACTGTATCTGTCTCTCTCTCTCTTTCGCTCGGACCACCTACCTGCAATATGTGGGTGCCCTGATGTTGCTCGAACAAATCAACGGCGGGACTGCGTCGAATGGCTGCACCTGGAAAAAGAGTGGACAAAAATACATGAATAACTTGATATGTGAATATATATAGATATGTACATGTCTTTAAAAGGAAGTCATAGCTTCTATATAGTCCCTATATCTTTAAAATAATTTGGCCAACAGTTTGCAGCTGCGTGTCAAACAGGAAACGGAAGCGGAACTGCTTACCAAAATTAACCAATTGCAATTCAGAAACAGATTCGCTGTTTTTAACTAAAACGAATATATTTCTACAGACAGATTTTGTAAATGAAAATATATTAAATTTTAAATGATCTGCATATATAGTTTGTATATATTATATATCATAAAAAGAGAAATTTTAGCTGAAAGAGAGACCATAAAAAGTCATCGGCTGCCTTGCTTTCAATTCTGATAATTCTACAAATATTATTTGAAGAAATTTTAGCATAAAAAGAGAAAGCAAAATGTGTTAAGCTGTCTTGTTTCTTTTCAATTAAATATATAAAGAAAACTTGTGCAAATTTTAGCTTAAAGAGACTATAAAGAGTTGTAAGCAATCTTGGCTTCAGTTCTGTTAATCTTAAAAGAGAACTTGTCATAAATTGTTTCTGTGTTGTGTGAAAATAATAATTAATATAAAATAAATATACATAATATATACAAGAGACACTATAAAAAGTCTTAAGCTATCTTGGCCACATTTTTGATTATTTGAATAAACTTCAACTTGAAGAAATCCTAGCTTAAATAGAGACTATAAAAAGAGAAATTGGAGTAAGCTTGAGCGAACTCCCAAACTTGATCCATACACTTCAAAGCACGTTACATAAACTTGATTTCTACCTAACATAACTCCCGATACTGTTTACCAAAACAGATATATATATAATTCCAATTCGCCCCGAAACCAATCCCATAATTCTCGCCGACACACAGACAGACAGACAGACAGAAGCCAGAAAGAACCGCAGTGTCATAAATATATGAGAGAGGTCTGTGCAATATTTTCTCAGCTGATGCCCATTTGACCATATTTATTTAATTCAATTATTGAATTTTACGATTATGGGAGGACCAAGCCAACAGCCAAGCAACCCCAGAGCAGACCGACTGAGTGACCAACTTCAGGTCATAATTCGCACAAGTGCAAATCGCTTTAGTCCCCCCCCACATATCCCATACCCCTTCCCCTGCCCCACATTCCCGTTGCCAGCAAATCCCCAGCGATTTCAATGCTTATGTGGCAAACAGTATCCGCTTCCGCTTGGCCATATGTGCTGGAGGAGGGGTGGGGGTGGCGATTGTGTTAGCCCTCCCATACAACAACAGTGTGTGGCTTTAATGACCTTCGCCCCGCTTCAATAATAATATATTTTTTATATATACCCTGTACGCACTATACGCACAAAGGGTATATCAAAAGAATATACAAGCAGCAAAGCAGCAAAAGTAAGCTGAGCAAAGCAAAGAGAATCGAATGCTTATTTATTTAGTTGTTTACTGGAATTGAGCGTGGCACAGCAGAGATCGTTGGAGATCTGCGCTTGCAGAGCAGTTATATCAATTATATATATCAATAACATTTATTAACGTTGAACATTTCGCGACTTCAACTCGTTGGGTGCTAATCAGACCCTAATTTGTGTACAATTTTCAATTTTCAATCAAATTAGTTGAAACGTTTTAATTCAATGCGTAATTGTTGTTAAAGTGTTTTCTGTGCAAGTGAAAAATGTGTACGATATTTGTTGAGAGAGAGTGTAGAAATTGGTTCCAGTTGCTCTCCATCTGTGTGTGTTATATAATGTGTAGAGTGAAAGATAATGTCTATATAAATGTATATATATAAATAATAAGCTGAAGAGAGTTTTAGCTGTTTGGCTTATAATATTATTGCTCTTAATACAATTTTACTCGTAGCAGAAACACAAGCAAATTACAGGGCATCTTCAGAGTGGTGCTGTTCTCTCCCTCTCTCCCTCTCTAGACTAGAGCGCTCTTCCCTCTCTTTCTCTATATTTTTTCTTTATTTTTTTTGTTTGTGCTTGTGGGTCAAATTGAAGTGCTTTTTATTGCCCGCAGCTTGTTGCTCTGCCTTTTTGGGTTTTAGTTCGTTTCGTTCGTTTCGCATAATAATCCAATTCAATGTATGTGTCTGGCCCCGCCCCCTTTCCTTTGCCACACTCATACATAACGCCCCATTGATTTTGGATTATTTTTTAGTGGCTTGTGTACCTTTTTAGCTGTTGCCCAGCTGCCATTGCAGTTGCTGCCGCTTTGTGCCCCTTTTGTGGCCCCCTTTTGGCAGTTGTTGGCAGCGCCTTGAGCCTCGAGTCTTGCTCTTGGAATGCTTTTGACGTGACAATAACTCGACGTCGTTGACGTGGCCAACCAAGCGCGATGCATGACACGGCAACGGCGATGACGTTGACAATGATAGTTGCGAAAGCCAGTTGACAGAGCCATGATTTGGGCTTCAATGTTCAATGTCTGCCAGCATTTAAAGGGAGCTAACTGATTTGGATTGCCTTGAACCTAACCTTCTATATATGATAACCCTGCTTAATTTAAAGCCACATTAATACATTTTCAACATTTAATCATCACTAAACTTAAAACTTTTATAGCTTTGTCACAACTTAAGCGATTTTCAAAAGCAAGGCATGATTTGGCCTCTAGATTAGTACTGCATTTAAAGTTTAAAGTGCATTTCTGACTCTATTTTCGTGGTAAAAATGAATCCACAAAATCCACAATATAACTTTGACAAAAAGTTTGAAACGCAATTTCAGTTTGAAATTCGTTTAAAAAATGCTACCCTCGAAAAAAGATTCATTAAAGAATCAAGGCAATAAGAAAAGAACAGTGTTTTTTAATCACTATCAAAACTACATTTAAAGTTGCAAGTGAAATTTCAGCTAGAAAAACTGTAAAAAAAACGCAAAAACAAAAAATCGTATTAAGGCAAACTCAATTTTTGCTTTTATCATTATTGCATTTCAAATTGGCAACACGATTTGATGACTTTTTTTTGCGTATATGGACAGATACTTTAACTAACAGTTGTGAAAGCTGTAATTACTTTTGGGTTCTTCACTCGATTGTCTACAAACAGTTTTACCGATATTTTTGCAATTGAAAAGGTGGCCAATGGGCAATTGACGGTTGCCAATCGGGCAATAGTTTTATAGGCTCTGTGGCTTGAAATGGGCTAAGTTGTTTTGGCTCGTTTGTGACTCGTCTGACACATTGATTGGCCTTCTGAAATACCACAATGGCAGCGATGACACACGGCACAAACAACAACAATAAAAATGCTCCAGTGACGTGAGCAAAAAACTACAGAAAACAAAAAATGGCTGCGCATGCGCAGCACATAAAAAATCATAAATTGCGCTTAATAGCGATATTTTATGCAAATGGGCAGCTGGCGGCCCCCAACGACATTAACGTCGACTTCGACTTGCCATAAGCAAAAGCCCAAAAAAACAAACAAAAATAAGACCAATAAATTGCTGTCAACAGTTTATATTTTTTTTTAAGGTGCGCGCGCATATTTTGATTATTTTTATTTTGGCATAGAAAAGTTGACAAATTTTGATTTCACTGAAGGCATCCAAAAATAAATTAAATATAAAAAATCAACCTAAGTAGCTAACCGCGTCTGTTAAATGTAGGCAAATGTGTTTCCTGCTTTCGGTTTTTATTGCTTCTCATTCTCTCTCTTCGCGCCTCTCCTTTAACGCTTGCCCCGCTTCGCACTCGCTTCGCTAATGGCGGCCAATATGGCCGCCTACGCAAATGCAAATGAGCACGGAAATTTCACTCGCTACTCGACTCGAAAAAAAAATAAAACAAATACTGAAAAAACTGTCTGATAAGCTAAATTATTCAGTTGACAACACAACTGCAGGCAATCTTGGCGTATTTAAATGGAAATGCGACTTTAAATACTATATATACTCAATATAATATATATTTAAATTATTTGTGAAGTTTAGTTAAATATTTTAGTCTGAAAAAGAGATAGAAAAGTTTGGAAAAATATTTAGCAAGTGCGAAAAACTTTTAACTAACTATTCGAATAGTTAGAAAAGTAGAAACTATTTTGCTAGTGAGAAAAATACGTAAATTAAAACAAGAAAAAAAGTCAAAAATTATATATATATTATAAACCGAAGCCAAATTGTCATTATCTTAATTTCTTTACAAATTTTAAGAACCACTTAATTGTTTCTATGAATATATAGCTATATATATATGTGTATATAGCTAAAGCTGAATTACACATTCTATGAATAAAAATCTACTCATTTCTTTATAAATTATATATTTTGTTATATTTTTTATATTTGTCATATATATATATGTATCATATATGATGAGGCCTACTCACTTTTGAGCTTACTGCTGCTGGATGCCTCGCGTGTCCATGGCGGATCACCGTGACCGGAAAAGTCTCTCAATTTCAAATAGCTTATGGTCAGTCTTATAATGGAAGCCTTATCCAGCTGGCTGGTGATGGCCGCCGGCAGCGGCAACATTTTGGCCAGCTCATAGAACTCATAGTTCTCCTTGCCACGTCGCGATCTTGCCGCATCCCGCGACTTCTCTTTGCGCAGCTCGAGAATGCTGCAAAGAAATAAGTAAGTCAACAAAATAGAAACATTATCAACAATGGCAGAGGTAATAAATATTTGTTAAGTAGACACTGACGAATGCCTGAGAGCTGTAACAGAAAGAGATGGGAGGGAGAGAGAGGGAGAGAGAGAGAGAGAGCAGGCAGATCCTCCCGACTCTCACCTGTCGTTCGAGCTGTCAGCAGAGCTAATTTGGCCAATTTGTTTTGAGACTCTAGGCCAGCACTGGCAGCCCACGCCGCATTGTGACGAAATGGTGTCAGAGATCCTAACTAATTGCCGCACATTTATCAGTCTTGCAACAGTTGGGGAGAGTCTCTCTCAATGACAATAGACTTTGGCTATTTTTTCTTCTTTCTTTGCTTCTAGCTAGAAAAATATATTGCCTCATTTTCTATGCACTACAGATTTTCCATTGTGCCAGTTCTTAAGTTGATATTTGTTATTATATATACAGATATACATATCTATATATAGTATTTGTACAGTCTGCGTTTTGAGTCGTTTGTCAAGTCGCTTTTATGTGAGTCGCGTCTGGGTCTTGTTGCAGATGCCGCTTTACAGATACTGTGTTTTCGATCTCTGACTTCCCCTTTAATGCACAGACTTTTCATTCAGTAACTGCGCTCGCGAGCTGCCTCAATGTTGCTGCAACATGGCTCTTAATGTGGCTCAAAGCCAGCCGCTGCAAAGCTCTGAACACTCGCATCTTGGCCCTATCAACGGGCCATCATCTTTGCCAGAAACTTGGCTTTAAGCCGCTCATAATTTAAGTTTGTTGTCATCTTTGTTGTCGTCGGGTTTTTTTCTGTAGTCGTTTTTGTTTGTGTAGTGAAATTTCGTTGTTCGCTAACAAACTACATAAGGTGGCATATTAGTTAGCAGAACAGACTTGTCTTGCAGTGTGTGTATTGGAATTGTATTATTTTGAACCAGTGCAGTTCTTTTATAAAAAGTTAAAATAGGAATAGCTGTTTTTATGACTGCGAACTAATTGCAAAAAAAGCAGATTTCAAGTAAATATTCTAAATATTTCAAAGTTAAGCTAAGATAGACAAGGAAAGCATATTTAGTATTGGGTAAATCAAGTTCTGTTTAGATATTCAATAAAAACAAAATCAAACAAGATATCTTAAGATCTGTGAGATGTTGTACGTGTGTGCTAGACTAGGAAGAAGTGAAGAAAGTGTTACTAAACAGATTATTAAGAAAGTTCTAATTCATATTTAACACTGGTGTTAAGCAACACTTCACTTCCATAGACTGGTACGAAGTTGAGAATACATTACTGACAGATTATTAATCTTCAAAAGGGTCAAACAATTATTCCACAACCAACTATTCAACACTGGTGTTATCTTTAGACTGCAATAAAATTGGGAAATTGTCATAAATGTCTATAGAAGCCTGACTAAATGATTCACTACTCGAATCGAGTCGATACTACACTTCCATTGACTGAAATGGATAGAAGATAATATTACTAAAAGATTATGTATCTAGAAAAGTCGAACTCAATCATTTACTATTCAACACTGGCGTTAACAAGAGCAAAGTTGACTTTCTTACTAATTTCATTACATATTTCCAGCTTGCACTTCTGAAAATGTAGGGTATTCGGAGCACGCCCATCACTATGCAACACTCTTGTTATAGAGCACTACACTCCCATTCATCCATTTAATTTGCTATCTTAAGCTGGCTCCACTCAATTGCAGGGTATTTCCAGCACGCCCATTGCCTAAACGATCTTTTAGGCAGCTTCGCATGCTACTTTTACATTTTTTTTGAGCGTTTTCAAGCGCTTTTGGCCTTTTACATATATTTTAATGGCTGTGGGGCAGCTGTAAATGCGCTCATCACAAGCAGCGAGCCTCGCTTTGTGTAGCTTGATTTAAGCCGCGTTTGGCTTCTGCTTAGCGCTGTCTGGGATTTCTTCAGGTTGCTGCTGTTGCTGCTCATCTCTGATGCTTATCTCAATGCGTCGTTTGGGTTATAAAAATATTTTTGATAATTAAAATGAAACCGGCGTAAAAGCAAAACTCGTACAACATGCGTCTGCCACGGGCCAAGCCAGTTTTTTGGACTTTTTTTACATTCGTTTTTTAATTAGTTTGTTAAATCTTAGCTCATTGTTATTGTTATTGTTGTGCTGCAATTATGTTTAAATCTAAAGTTTACCTGGTTTTTTCTCATAAACTTCTGGTTCAAAGAACCTCTAGAGAGAAATGGAACTGTTTCAGCGCAAAAACTAAAACTCAATTTTGTTTGGCCAATTTGCCACACGTCAAACCAAATTACATTTTTTGTTTGACTGAGAGAAGCATCAATCTTCTCGTCAATAATATCAAACAGCATTCAAATTGGCCTCAAAAGACGAAGGATGCCTTTCAGCATTTGTCACGGCCCATGGAACACTATATTTGGAATTCCAAGGTGTCGCCTTGATAAATGATTCTTGTGTTCTTTTTTTTAATTTTGCACAAGCAACAGCAAAAAAAAATTGGCCAGCTCAAAAACAGGGGCTGCAATTTGGCAACTAACGGCCGTGTAAATTGCTCGTCATTAGCAAAAATGAGGCACGCCACGCGAAGCCACACAGATAGAGAGAGAGAGAGAGAGAGCTGTTTCTGTATTGGTGAGCTTTGAAAGCTCTGTAATCGCAGGCTCATGTGTGAGACGTGTCTGTGTGAAAGCTTCCTTAAAATGCTATAAATAAGTATTTGTTTGTTTAGTTTATTAAGTGATTAGCGGCAGCAAAACTAACAAATCAACTTTGCTACGATATCTTTAAACTATTTGATTATAGAAGTAAGCTTTTCCTGCTCATGTAAAAAACATGAATTGCAAGTTGGAAGTTCATATAATAAATGTTTAAATTGAAAGCATGAATTCATGTTTAACCATTTTTTGTCAGCTATTTATTTAAAAAACTGCTTTGTTTTCACTGTAATATATAATTCCACAAAACACGAAATTGAATGCTTTAACTAATTCTTATTTATTCCACAAAAATCCTTCACATCTTTCTGACTTTACTCAAGTTTCTTTCTTTCTACACATATTTTACAACATTGAACCACAATTTCTTATCTAATTTCTTTTTTTCTTAAGCAATACATTCATTAAAGAAACATATGTAAAAGAAAGCTTCCCTCAATTTTCTTACTTCGATTTTTTCTTTACATTTCCACTTGATTAGCTGGGACTGGATGATTCAAGGGTATTAGTGCTCAATATTGTCATTTTATTAGGGGCTTAATGCGCCGGCGAATAAAAACCCTAAGCGGATTAGATGATCTTAAGTTGCCGCTGCGGTTTTCCATACTGCCAATTTGTTTGGGGCATGGTTTTTGCCAATCAAACTATGGACCAAAGCAAACCGATCAACCGATCTGCGATAAGGGTAAAACACAAGAAGTAGTTCAACATTTCGCTTTCTGCTTTTCCTTTTTGAGTTTCCCACACACACAATGAAAAACTGTCAACATAGAAGGATAAGATTGTATCGAGACCATTGTTTATGGGCTGTGAGAAGTGCCGTTATGTCTTTATCAGTTCTAGCTTGTCTTGCTGCCAACAACAGCAAACTGAACGCAGCGGGATAACAGTAAAACTAACTCTCAGCTAACTGTGCCACATTATGTAATCACAATTCGTGGAAAGGAAGCCAACCCAAAAAAAAAAAAGAACAAATCAAATAATTTGTCAAACACTTGTAAAAAATGTGTTTTAGCCTGTTTTGAATTGATAGTGAAAGAAGCAAATATTTGAAATTATAATTGAGAAAATTCTTAAACCTTTTCGAACTGATGTGAAATATGAATCAAACCTGGACAGAATCTAAGACAGAAGCACTCATTTTAGCACTAATAAAAGTAGTTTTAGCGTCTTTTTCTGAGAATGAGAAACCTTTTTGAATTGATGTGGAATATGATTTTTATAATCATTCCTAGACAGTTTTGTTCTTAGCGCTAATTTAACACTTGATTTTAGACTTATATATATTATATATATGGATTTATTGTTGGTAATTTACCCGGTATCAACTAACCCCGGTTCGATGGGTTGCTGTTGGCCGTGCATGCCCGGCACACCCGGCTGGTGTTGATTGGGCATTTTGTTGTAGGGCGGCATGCCGCACAGATCCTGTGTGGGCACCATCCACGAATGGCTGAACGGCACCGCTGACATGCCCAGCGAGCCGACCATATGACTGCCGGGATGTCCGGGCGTCGGCTGGCGCTGATAGCCGGCGTAGTCCATGGCCACCGCCTGGTACGGCAACATCTCAAGCAGCTGAGTAGGGTACTCTAGGGTCTTGCTTAATTATCGTTGGAGGAGCACTCAACTAGCACTGGCACATTTTAATATTATTTTTTAAATATTGCACTTTTTTTCGAGTGGGGTTTTTTTTTATTTTTTGATTTGTTTTGGCACACTTTAAAGCTCAAACGGTTGCCAGTTTGCCCGGTAGGTCAACGACGCATCCTTTTGTTGTTGCTGTTGTTGTTGTTGTTGTTCTGTCTGGGCAATTGGAGAGCACGCGTACGTGTCAGTTTGCCAGTCTTCAATTATCCTTGACACACACACACATCCACACACAGAGAGAGATACACACACGAGTTAAGGAGCAGGGAGTCACGGAAAAAACTAACTGTCGCACTGACGGTACGGCTGTACGACTTGTCCGTGTCTCTCGATTGGCATTCAAATTAGCGAGCTATCGACTTTTGGCCAGCGGTTAGTGCTTAACTGCTACCGTGTGGCACGTTCGATCACGTTGCAGCATCCAAACTGTGAAAGCGCCGTGCGAACTGTGATTGTTGTACGGGTATTGAGTGGTACGGGTCTTGGATGCGGATGTGCTACGGATGTGGTAGACGCGACAAACAAATGGGCGCCAATTACGCACGCACAGGGTGTTCCGCACACACACACACACACACAAACACACACACTCGGAAACTCGCACACACTTGGCGAATACGGAATACGGTTGCACGGCCCGGACAGCAACAGCAACAGCAGCAGCAGCAGCGTACGTGAAAACTGCAGCTGATGGAAAGTAACGTAAAATGTTGTTGCTGCTGATGATGATGATGATGATGATGTTGATGTTGATGATTATGATGAAGAAGAGGAATAGTAATCGTTATCGTTGTGGAGAACAGAACTGTGCGCGCGGCGCTCGTTACGGAGAGTCTTGTGTGATGTTTACGTTGTACGTCCGTTGCGGGCGACGAATACGTGCAGAATAATTCAGAGTCACGTTCACGTCACGAACAAAACCAAAGTAAGGCAAAAAAGGCAGCACACGCACACACACACACAAACACACATAGAGCTCAATAGTGAGCGAGAGAGCGTCACGCACACAAAGCTAGACAATTTTTTGGGGGTGACATCTTTTGACTCGACACGAAGCAGTAGCAGCAGCAGCAGCAGCAGCAGTAAACGAACAAACGAACGTACGAACGAAGCAAGGAACGGCAAACGAGCAGCGCACGAACAGCAAACGACGAACCAACGGCGAACGTGAGCTGCCAGCAGCGGGCGCCAGCTGTATGCCTTTGTGTGTGTGTGTGTAGTCTCTGGCTTAGTGTGTGTGTGTGTGTGTGTGTGAGCACCTGACACAGCGTTTGGTCATGTACTTTTGGGCGCACCAGTAGCATTTTAAGCAGCCTCACGCTCCAATTCGCCGCAAGCTCTCTTGTGTGTGGGTGTTGTTTGTGTGTGTGCGCGCCTGTGTATGTGAGTATGCGTGCAAATGGGCGGGACGTGACTGCCGTCGAATCGGAATCAACATAGCGCGCATACCAAATGAGCAACATTCACAGTTGCGAGCGAGCGAGCGAGAGAGAGAGAGAGAGAGAGAGCTAGTGTGAGCTGCTGCAGTAAAGCAGCGCCGCTGTATGTGTGTACGTGCAGACATAAACTAAAACTGGTTTCGCTTGCGCTCTCACTTGCACACAGGCGTGCGCATTGAGCACGACACACGTTGGCTCTTTCTCGCACGCTTTTATATACTTGGAGTCCAGAGTTGTTGTTGTTGTTTTTTTGTTGGGGCTGCGTCACGCGCAGCAATTAGTTTACTTCTTTACACATTTGGGAATTTGTTTAGCGGCTCTTTCGCTCGCTCGCTCGCTCACACTCACACACACACACACACACACACAGACACACTGCCTGCGTGTGGGTGTCTATCTGTCGTTGGCGTTTTTATGTGTGTTTGTGTATGTGACCGAAATGCCAATGACAACATGCCAATGGTGGAAGCCAAACACACAAACACAAACCTGAGCAGCAAAGACCCGAAAGCGAGCCACAAAAAAAAGAAAGAGCTCCTGTTCAAGGAGTGCGACGCAATAACGAAGGGCGGGACTGGGGGCGGGGGTGCGTGGGTGGGGATGGGTTGTGAAGCGTTGGGGTTAAGAGATACCTGTGTCAGGGTTTGGAGCAGGCTTTTAATATTCCAGGCTCGCACTCACAGCGCAGGCGACCGGCTTGAATTGAACTTTTTCGCCTCTGTTCTTGTGTGTGTGTGTGTGTGTGTTTTTTATATGCGTTTATAATAATTTTCAAGCAATTCCAGAAATTGTTTAATTTCATCAATGGGGCGAAAAACATGAAACACTTGTGAAAGTCTCGACGGCCATTTTGTTCTGCTGAAAGGCATAATCACATTTTTAGCAGGGCCAAACCACTGTGCACAGTGACACCGGAAGCGAGTCAAATAATGCTAAATAATATTAGTGAATTTAAAAATAGATTTATTGTTATCTTAAAGTAATTATGTTCTTATATTTAATATGTTTTGGAATATTTATTTATTGGAGAAAAATTCTTATCTGATAGCTTAGTTTAAACTATGGCTAACTGATAATAATATATAGTATAATAATATATCTATCTATATAAAATCTAATATAATATTAAATAACAATCAATTTATATATTGTTCATTTTAAACTGTCACAATATATACAAATATTTTATATTTTCCTATGCATTTCACATTTCCTTTTACTCATTTCAACTCAATATGTATGAAGGCAGATATGTATTTAATGACATATCATTTCCCAATATCGTATTACATGTAATTGCAGATAATAGTTCATTTAAATTGGTATTTAAGATGAGAAAGGAAACTAACTCGCAATCTAAGAGATACAGGTATAATTTAATTTTAGCTAATCGGTAATTGAAAGCACTTTCACTAAATTGTGCTTGTTAACATATTTTTGCTTTTGGCCACCAGTTTCGTTTGCTATCGATTGTTTTGGAGCTCTAATTGGAGCAGCCAAATGACTTGCAGTTTATTTGCAGCTGTTGTTGTTGCTGCCACATCCTCGAGAAAGAAATTACGTAAGCGCAACGTAACGTAAGTGAGACATGTGTAGAAACGTGATCGATTTCTTGAGACCACTTGCAGACTTTTCGCGTGCGAACGACTGCTAGAGAGAGGGGGAGAGAGAGAGAGAGGAGAGGGAGGGAGGGAGTAGGAGACAGCAATTGAGACAGAGTCGCAGCCAGACAAGTTGGCGTAGCGAATTCTCCCACAATTACGCGACGCTGGCGGCAATTGTGAATTTTAAAAAGGAAACGTGCCAAGTGCCCCACTCGCTCTACACGCTCCACACGCTCTCTCTCTCTATCTCTCCCTCTCAAAAAACCACGAATGGAAGAGTGTGTTGGGGGGGGGGGGTGTAGGATATGGCCTGGTTGTGGGTTGCGGTTGTGGGTAAGTTTACACTCAGCAAAAGATATGATAACAAATTAAGAAAATCTTAAAAGGGGCAGCAGTCTTCACTTTTAGAATGCAATTTGCTAAATCTCAAAGTTTAATCAAAGTCAATCTGTGTAAAGAAGATGTATTTTAGAGAGTGTGGCGGGGGTAAGTAGCCTCTACATACGTCCTTGATTCTGTATTGGGAAACGCCATGAGTTTTCTTTCAACAGGGAGTAGAAAAATATTTCCCAATCAATTTTTACTGATTTTTGAAAAAGAAAGTTATGAAAAGTCTCTAAAAATGTAAGAAAAATTCTATAATTATCTGAAAAGTTGCATCAGCTATGATTTTTTTATGTATTATCGTTTACTTTTGAGACATTTTTTTAGTATATTTAGAAATTATCCCAAATATTCAAAATGATGTCAGGTTTTTAGCAATTTTCATTTTAAGGGGCCTTTTTCAATTCCAGGCCAATTTCAAATCACTTACTAAGATATTCTGTACTTAATAACTTCCAATAGATTTATTCTAACTCTCTAAAAAGCTATAAAATTTGTTGTTTCTACTTTTGAGACATTTCGAGAGGCTTTTGCTTTAGCTCTGGTTTCCAAATGGCAGATTCCATATCAATTCAGAATTATATAACATCTGAAATCAAGCTGATCCACATAATTTATACTAGAATTGATTTTTTCGCAGTGCAGTTGAAGGTGTAGACAATGAATGAGGAACTAAAATTCAACGCCAGTTGCCCAGTTTGCCATAAAAATCGAACGTGAATGCGAACGTGGCCCGGCTGCTGAGCCGATTGCGTTTCCGGTTTTTGGCAGCGCCGCAAGTCCGTCGTCCCTCGTCCAAACGTCCGTCTTCCGTCGTCCGTAGTCCAAAATCCACGTGCAGACAGCGTTCAGACGAAATTCGAAAATTGGACTGGAATAGGTCGGGAAAAATTGATGCGTGTACTCGGCTGCCACGAGGACAATGGCCATGAGGACGTCGGACGCCAGACGTTGGACGTTGGACGTGCAACGATGCGTGCCACCCCCAACCCGCCCCTTTGGAGTGGAGTCAGAGAACCATGCCCATATATAAATGTAAAGGTGCGTGCGTTGAGCTGAGTGCGTGCTGCGGCTGTTGATGGACCTGTGTGTGTGTGTGGTGTGTGTCTGTATTGGACATGAGTCTCTGTTTGAGTCTCAGTTTGAGTTTCAGTTTGAGTTTTCATTTTGGTTTTGGTTTCGGTTTCAGTTGCTGTTTTGGTTTTGGTTTTTCAAAAATATATACAAATATATATGTGTGTATATATCGCATACACGAAATGTGTATTCCAGTCAGGAGCTCAAAGTCTGCCAATTGTTGCATGACTTTATGAATGGGGGGGCCGAGCACGTATGCAACTGCTTCTCTCTAATCAGCAACACACACACACACACACATACTGAGAGACAGACAGACAGACAGGAAGAAGCGGAAAGAGTGTGGGCCTGGTCAAGAGTAGCTGTGAGTCCGAGCGCCACTTTGTTGCTTGGCTGCCTGGTTGCCATCAGTTATCCATCACGTTTTCTCGGACACACGAGGCATCCATTTCAAATAGCCAACGGCAAATGCGGCAATGCGGCAAAAAAAACCACACCAAAGTCATTGGCCAAAATCAAAACAAACAAACCGAAACCGAAATGAAACGCATAATGTTGCCGGCATATAACGATCTACAAGCTAATCGATAAAAGCTTATCGATAAATGCTGTCGAGAGCAACTAGCTGCCACTCTTGATAGACAAACTTATAGAAACTGTTTCATTTTGTTACATATGCAACAGATTCTTAGTTAAAGCTCCACTCTTGGTGCATTGCCATCGATAAACGATAAACGATAGGCAAGCAGTGACTCAGCTGCAAGCGCAGGTTTCCACTCTAGATATAGAGCATAGTATGATATAGAACATACTTTCTTTTAGTAGGTATTAAGCATTCAGACTTAAAGCTGCAATTCGATTGTTAATTTATCGATTTTTACTTGCTATTTCTGAATAAATTTACTTATAGAGTAAATCATTTTCTTGTATGGGAATTAATTCATACTTCAAGTTACAGTTTTGAGCCCATTCTGTTTCTGACTTTTGATGCTTTACTGTAAGACTAGAATAAACTAAGAATTTTTCCAATAGTTGTAGTTAAAGCACTAAATCGAAGTTAAAAAACAATCCCATATTTCCAGTCTTGAACACCTTTTATCAATAAACTCATCGCTGCAGCGATTATCTCATCTGTAACCAATCCAAAAGGATACACGGAGTAGTTTCAGTTCCCGTTCAGTGCCAGTTGATCTCTGAGGAGGAAGCAATAAACTAAACGCGATCGCTGATCTGTCACAAACTGTTTTTGGTTTTTGTTTGGCTAACAAAAAACCAAACAGAAAAAGAACTCAAGCCCACTGGAGAAAGCAATAAAAGTGACACAGGTGATAAAATAAC